TCGAGGTTCCAGTTCCAACTGCCACTACCACTAAAGGTTGGACTGGTACTTTCACTACCACTGTTACTAGAACTGGAACTGATGGAACCAACACTATGGTAATTGAAACTCCAGCTCCAAAATCTAGCATTACCGTTACTTCTCCATGGACTGGTAGCTTCACTACATTTACTACCGCCACTGGCACGGATGGTGTAGAAACTTTGATCATCGAAGTGCCGGTTTCAATCAGCATTCAAACCTCTTCCGTCACCTTGACACCAAGCAGTTCTAGAAGACTTCCTTGGAATTCCAGTTCCATAGAACGTTCTAGTGGTATTGATACTACTTCCTCATCTTCTTCGGTTCTTTTGACTACTATTTTGTCATCTTCCCCTTCGGTTGAATCTTCAAGTTTCATTTCAAATTCAATTATTCCTTCTTCATCTTTGATTCCATCCGCAACCCATTCTCAAGAGACGTCTAATTCTGCTATCCGTCCCTCGAGATCTGGTGGAGACCATGGAATTCCAGTTAGTACTGTTGACTCGACTACCGTTACATTGCCAAACTCAAGCAATGCTTCCACTGATTCTAGTGTAACCGTTACACTGGTTACTTCAAACTCTAGTCCAGAACAAAATGGCAACACAGTAACCACTATGGTATCCAGTAACAGTCACCCAGCTGTTTCTGCATCAGTATACATACCTTCGATTTCCAGTTATGAGGGTTGGGCATCGAGACCTCAAGCTTCTAAGCTCTTATTAGCATTGCTTCCATTATTTGCATTCTAATTCTGCTCAAATGCAGCTCCAGCATTTTATATTCATTATTTCGGTATCTTAAAATTCAATTGATAGATTAAAGATTTTCAAAAAGAACTGTAAATCTCGCTGTTTGGTTTTTCCCATAGCCTGAGTAAATTAAAATCCCCTTTTTATTGGGAAGGTAGAAACTGATTGTTTCCAGAGTATTTAGCTGGAAAGTTTTAAATAGTGGTAGTAATAGACATTCAATGATGACAAAATCAGTGACATTGCTGGAATGATTCCAGGCTGAATTCTTAGTGAACATTGGAACTGGAGTCTTAATAATCATTGGGTGGTAACAACACTGGTTGTAATATTGATAGTTGTGTCATAATCTGTCAAAGCCATAGTAAAAGCAGTTTTAATAGTTTGGTTCTTAATACGGGAAAAAGTTAAGGATATGTGGGGAACTCAAACATCTCAGTGTGAAACAGTTACGTCCAGATTACGATCGGAGCTTTCATGAAATTCCTAAAACTTGGCAAATAGTATTTTTAGCAGTAATCAACAAAGTGGGTCTTCATAGTAGAACACTTGGCTTAGTTATCAGAATAAGAATAAAGGAACAGACTGGTAGGAATATTGCTTTAAATTGTGGGACCAGTGGGGAAGCTAGTAGGTTCGAAATTGAATTCCAATTAATTACCTCGACACCGTCCCAGCGGTTATTTCATTGGTTAAATCGGCATAAAGGAATCACAGGCAATATGAAATTGTTTGGTGACTTGACGAGAAACAGAAGTGTGACCATTACTTTCACATGTATTATGTAAAGATTCAAAAAAGAACTCTGTTGTAAATTCAACTTGAACCACACTCAAATTTCCATTAAGTTTACAAGTATTATACCTCAAGCGTCACGGTAGTGGAAGTTAGATTGCCCTGACTTTAAAAGAAACTTATCAAAAACTGGGGTAAAGCTCCTGGCTCCATCTAAATCAGTTTTGATTTCGGATATTCTGGTATCAACAAAAAATAGAATCGGTATAGTTTCAAAAGTGCATCCACCACCAACAACAGGCATTTTCGCAATTTGTCATTAAATTGAATATTAGACCGTACTCTCTGTTTATCAAAGTTCATTCTGCAAATGATTTTCCGGTTGGCTTAATCGAAGATAGTAGGCAATGACGAGTTTGAATGATTGAGCATTGTACAAGTGAAAGTGTCTCCAGGAATAAGTCTGAACTCTTGAATTCGGTCTTGTCTCTCGAAAATTTCTTAATACAAAATCCTAACTCGTGGAAGAATTTACAACCAATCTATCCGTTCCTTCTCTCCTTACCAAATAAGTTTCAGCTCCAAACCAACACAAGGATCATCTGGCCGATGAATTTGTACGGCAGAAAAGGTATTTCTGAGTTAATCAAAATTCGAGGGTGTTGAACCGTTCCACTATCTGAACAGCAAATTATCCATATCTAGAGTGAAACATAACTTAACAGAATTATCCCATTTATTGTTGAAAGATTAGATATTCTACGTCAACTCCAGTATTATTGGATTTGGCAAGCTAAAGTTCATAAACAAGAAGCCAAGCATCATCTGTGCTCTTTCAAACTGACAATAGTGCAAGAAATATGGGAGAAATTGGAAATTTGCAAAATTATCACCAACAGACCATACTTAATACCACTGGTGTTTCGAACCATGCTAGGTGCAGGAAACACTGTAACATTCCGATTCTAGATCTGTGGGCTGCGTAAAATTAAGCATCAGACGGGCTAAGCCTTGGGCCGTAAAAAAATGGGTCTGGGGAAGACAGTACCTTCCTGATTAGTCGACCGTTACTCACTCAAAATCCGAAATGAGTAACAAGAAAGACCCACACGTCCATGCTGTGGGGCGGAGAACTGTTAGCTCAATACTTTGGATAACCAAGCCTGGGGAAATCAATTCCTATAGTTGGCACCACCAGGCGGAACCGATACAGGTAAGTGCTACGAGAGATTACGGATCACTTCACTTCAGCAGCTAAGATTAGGCAGTGAAGTTGGCCAGAATTGGCCCCCGACTGAGAAATTAGGAGTTAAAAGGTGTAATTAGAATCAAACACACTTAGCACCCACCAAGTGGAAATAAACTGAAAGTAGGACCCAGCTTCTAGTGGCATCCAAGGTGGGGTTGGAAATTGGTCGATACTTCCCTTCATCAACAGCAATTACCTGACACAATTGTCCTTGGAGGTGGTGTAAATCGGGGCTCCGAGGACGAGCCGATGGTGGGAGACCGGGTCGTGGTGGGGTACGTATGCATTAAAACCCTTGCCTCCATCCCCCTCCCCCAGAATCAGAGGCTGCGCAGCGCTTGCGAAAACGAAAAATGCCCAGCCTTGCACGGGTTAGCAAAAGGCCCGTACATCCAAATGGAAGTACAACCAGAGTAGCGGGTGGTAGCTTGTGGGGTACATGGTACTTCGTGGGGTACATGGTACTTCGTGGGGTACACTGTAAGCTAGGGGTAAACTATCCGAGATCCACACGCTGCTTAACACCGGTAGGTAGCGGACCGATACCTGGCCCGTTCCGTAGGATCGCCAGAAAGTTCGTGGCCCACCGTCGTGTGACCTGAACCAGGCAATTCGTGTCGGGGTGCGGGGCACTGTGCGGGCTGTCAGGCAGGGCGTAGGAGCCAGGCAGTGCCAGTACAGAGACCAGCAGCGGGCCAGATCTTTACCCCAGCGCCCCTAGATGGCCTCGTTATCAGCGGCATATACGGGCCTGCGGGTCCGCCTCAAACAGGGCCTGATAGATGCTGCTGAACGGGGGTTCTTATCGTTGCCAGTTTCTATTGTGGGCTAAAGTGCCGTTCCGCGAATTGCTTTTTTTTCTGCCAAACAAGATCCGCAGGTTTAGGTTTTTTTTGCAATGCAGACTCAAAGTGGGGCTAGCTGGCGGCCGACACCAGGACACGAGGGGATGAGGGCAGGTAGTAGCCACCACTGCAATCATGCTGGGCACACCCTTGCCGCCAGGGTAGTCTCCAGAACGCGCTGCTGGCCGGTCCGCTGCCGCTGCGGCACAGATAACGGTGTCTTGGCTGCCGCCGTGCGGATGCCATCGCCGGGAGAAAATGTCGCCAGGCCCGCCCACGCATGCAGGCCCCCTCCATCTGGCCCGAGATGGCAAAAGAAATGGCTGCAGCCAGTGCATATATAACCAAGCCCATCCTGGAGATTTAAACTTCAGACTCCACTTTGCCTACCAGTGTCTTGTTTGACGCAACGCATGCACTACAAACATAAAGACTACCTTCCCACCGTACACTAGTCTGCTAGTCTACTAGTCTACTCCTCTCCTCCTCCTCCTCCTCCACTCGCCAATGGAAGCCCCAAGAAAAGACCAGGACATCGTCGAGAAAGACCTCGGGGTCTCCCTCGAAAAAGAGGTGTCCACCGATGCCCAATCAGACTCCTCCCGCTCCTACATGCTGAAAATCAAATCCAGATTTCCCTGGTACAAACTCGCTATCAGCATTTTTGTCGGTGCATTCTTCACTGCCTGGTGGCTCTCCATCTTGATCCAGGACAGAACCAGACCTAAATGGTTGATTCCAACCGTTTTCTACTGGATGCTCATGATCAGGCTCATCACCCTCCACACGCGTATCTTGCCGTGGGTGTTCTCGAAGTGCCAATACGTGTGGTACTTCGTGACTGAACGTCTCTACAAGCTCATGCCCCAGAGATACCAGAGATTGCTTGTTGGTGCCACTGTCACCGTGGCTGTGATGTTGGTGGGAGGTTTTGTTCCCACCGAAACTGAATTTTCCAAAAGACAGGACCGTGCGGTGTCGTTTTTCGGTATAGTCGTGGCCATCGCAGGCTTGTACCTTACCTCCAACAACAGATCCAAGATCAACTGGAACACCGTCATTGGTGGCATGTTGATGCAATTCATTGTAGCGTTGTTCGTGCTTAGAACCTCGGCCGGTTACGATATTTTCAATTTCATTTCCGTTTTGGCCAGAGAACTTTTGGGTTTCGCCAAGGAAGGTGTGGCCTTCTTGACCAACCACGACGTCGCCAACATGGGTATGTTCTTCTTCGCCGTGTTGCCCTCGGTCGCCTTCTTCGTGGCCTTCGTGCACATCTGGTACTACTTCGGAGTTATCCAATGGGCCATTGGTAAGTTTGCTTACTTCTTCTTCTGGTCTTTGAAGGTTTCTGGTGCTGAATCTGTGGCTGCTGCTGCATCGCCTTTCATTGGTATCGGTGAGTCTGCCGTGTTGATTAAGGACTTGATGCCCTTGTTGACCAAAGCCGAGTTGCACCAGGTCATGACTTCTGGATTTTCCACCATTTCTGGTGCTGTGTTGGTTGGTTACATCGGCTTGGGTCTTAACGCAGAGGCCTTGGTCACCTCCTGTGTCATGTCCATTCCTGCCAGTTTGGCCGTATCTAAGTTGAGATACCCAGAAACTGAAGAGCCAGTGACTGCCGGAAAATTCCAGATCCAGAAGTCACACGACGAAAACGACCCCGACAAGCCCCAGAACGTGTTGCAAGCGTTCTCCCAGGGTGCCACTCTTGGTATCAGAATCGCTGGTACCATGTTGGCCCAGTGTTTGTGTATTATTGCCTTGGTGTACTTGTTCAACGGTATCTTGACCTGGTTCGGTAACTTCTGGGGCATCAACCACTTCAGTTTGGAGTTGATCTTGTCCTACATCATCTACCCAATTTCTTTCCTCTTGGGTACCCCAAGAAACGAAGTTTACCTCGTCTCCAAGTTGCTTGCTACCAAGTTCATCCAAAACGAATACGTTTCCTACACCATGATGATGACCCAATCCCCATACAAGGACATGTCCAAGAGAGGTATCTTGATTGCCACTTACGCCATGTGTGGTTTCTCCAACTTGGGTTCCATGGGTATCACCTTGGGTGTCCTTAATACCTTGACCCAAGGATCCAGATCTGCTGATGTTGCCAGTACCATTTTCTCTGCCTTGATCAGTGGTGGTATCAGTACCTCCATTTCTGCCGCCATTGCCGGTATGCTTATCCACGACTTGGGTGGCTACAACTTGGGCCCAGCCAACAACGCATAAATAGTGATAATGACCGAATTGTGCAAGTAGATAATAATTGATAATGACTGAAAATGTGCAGTAGAGCAAGATATTTGCAATAGAGGAATCGCTAATCACTGATAGATGGTGATAAAGCCAATTGGACTACAGTATGGATTCTTGTAGCTGAACGATACAAAACTGACGATTGTAGCATGAAAGCTTTTTAATGATAACGACTGAATTACTGGCTACAACCTGGGGGACACAACAAGGACTTCCGTAGAAGAAGAAGTTGAAGTAATAATAATTGATAATGACTGACTGTTCAGTTCTTAGTAGTCGTACACGTAATAACTGATAACAACTCACAATTATAGAAAGTAGAAACAATAATTATTGACGACTGATATTTATAGCGTTAGAGTCAAATAATTGATAACGGTGACATTTGAAGCAAGTAGACATAATAATTGATTACTCTCACAAAACAACTGCTACATAAAAATATCTGACCAGCCGCTACTGTGCAGCTACTGTCTAAATTACCAAACTGACTCGGCCTGCGGCTAGTGGCACATTGGCGAGACTAATTTATTAGCGCAGGGTGCTCAGAGTGATACTCGTCGAGTATTCCAATTCATTTTGCAATCACCACCATAAACCTCGTTCTGGCGGGGCCTGCGGAGTCTGGGGGCGCTGGCGAGGATGGTTTGGAGCCGTGCTGGAAAGGGTCACTGATGGTGGTGGTGTTGGGCGGCCCAGCGCCTTATCTTAGTCTGCTGATTCAATAGGTTGGGGTGCCAATCGGTGACGATAAGGCGTAGCAAAATTGTCGAAGATATTTTTTGGCTGCAGCCGTCTGGTGCCAAGACCATGTCGGGGAAAGCAAGAAGGGAATTTCCTGTCCATGCACGGCTCCATGTCATGCCGACTTGTAGGTGCACGCACCAGCGGGGGACTCCTGCAGGGAGGGGACAGACACTGGAGGAGGGCATCTGTCTTCCGTCACTGCTCTGGCAGAAAATAGCATCCTCTAGCAGCCGCTAATATCTCCCTGGCAGCCATTGGTGCGCCCCTAGCAGCCTCCGGGGTGCACTACTTTCTCCAGCCACCACCCAGAGCCGTTTCCAGCCGTTTCCAGCCTCCTTTCCCGGACTCCCGCACTTCCCCGTTTAACGGTGTCTGTCAGACGCGCGCTCATCGCCATCCCGACATCTGAGAAACGGCCCCCACCAAATCCTCCCCGACACCATGCCCACCATACCGCCGGTGCTACTTCCACTCATCAATTCCAGCCATCCCGAGGTGCTCGTGTTCAATGTCAACGACATCAGGACGTTGCGGGAGCACGGAGTGTTGGGAGTGCTCATCGGCACTTTGGCCCAGTATCCCCAGCAGAACTTCTATCTATCAGTACCATTGAGACTCCAGATTTGGGAGGTGCTCTGGTTGCTCGATCGGGGGTTGGCCCGTTTGGTCGACTACGTCAAGTACAGACAGTTTCTGAGTCGGACAGGTCAGAGGCACGAGGTTCTTCTTAAGGACGGGGGGTTTGTGGAGTCCGAGCAGGCGAACTTTGTGATGATCCCAAATGATGGGGAGGGAGACGGTAATGGGAGGATAGGTGGAAGCGAAGAAGGTGGAAGAGAAGAAGGTGGAAGAGAAGAAAGTGACAAAAGGGTTCTTCCAGAAGACATTACAGTTTCTTCGGCAGATGCCGACAGCACAGTACGAGAACACGCCGACAGTGCACTTTCTCCAGAAGCTGATACGGTTCCAGGAGTCGCCGACAATACAGTTTCGCCAGAAGATACACTTTCCCAAGATGCACTTTCCCAAGATGCACTTTCCCCACAGAATACACCTTCCCACGATACACTCTCGTCTACCAATTCCCTTTCCCCCTTCGAGGTGTCCTCCCACGACTACCTCAACCGCCTCCCAGTCACCCCCGCCTTCGTGTCAAATTACCTCTCCTTCAAGTTCCTCAAAGAAATGGGCTACTTCATCAGTCCAGGCTTGAAGTTTGGAGGCGATTTGGTGATCTACCCTGGCGACCCGTTAAAGTTCCATTCGTACTCCATCGTCAAGTTCGGCCACATCAACGTCAATGATTTGGTGGTAGGAGGAAGATTGGCCACGGGAGTCAAGAAAAACTATGTGATAATGGACGATATGGAACAGCCAGAAGCTACGGAGAGTGAAATATTTAGTGAACCCAAGAAGCTCGCTTTCTCGGTGGAATGGGCTGGTTTTGGCTAAGTGTATTGTGCATTAGTGGGCTTACTAGTGGTTGATTATAGCATCAAAAGGCCTGGATCAGCCTTTGAACAATTTATTCATTTTAGGTGGATGTATTCATTAATTGGTCCTAAGGGTATTCGTTTTGTGGTGATTGTCTTTATTTCATTTTGGGTGAATTTGTTAGCATTAATAGGTCGGGGTCGGCAATTATGCGTGGGAAATATATTGGGTGTATTTATTCATTAATGTCTGCGGAGAATACTTTCTGTGATGGGAGCAGTTTTCTCGTAAAATAGCCCTAGTTCTTCCAGATGTATCTGTATTTTAAGCTTGTTCTCAGATGGAATATTTAACAGAAGTATTGGAGAATCTAGTGATTTATTCCTATAGAATATTATAATTGATGAAATAATAGTCTCATTCGTTCGATCCAATCGGCGACAAATTCTTTTGACTTCAAACTAATATCTACGTATCATAAAGTGTTGGGTCCAGCACATTCTTGTATGCCCTAATACTGGAAGGTAAAGTTTATTCATTAAAATGGACCAGAAAGTCATTAAGTCCAATTGGTAGATTGCTTCTTCATCAGTGGAATCGGTATTGACAATAGTCTTTCCATTACGCATAACTAGCTATAACCCAGCAGTCCAGTTGGTTCTGACGAAATCAATCATGACCAGTTAGCTCATCGAGATCGTCTCTAACTTCAAACTTTATCCTACCCTCTGCCAGTTATAAGAATACAATCCAGAACGTTTAGTCTGAACTGCTACAGAAACCAGAGGATCAATAATATCTATTTGTTAATTATCTAATAGTTTATGTGCATCTGAGTCCTTGTCTAGATATACAATTCAGGGTTTCTTAGCTAACGAGCTTAATAGTAAATACCCAACTAGCTATTTTGAGCACAATTTTCATGAATATATTTATCAACGACTCTTATCACCGAATAACTTGATTGAATCGGGCGATTTGATAGCTTACAAGCTGTATAGACAATTATGTGATTTCACTGAGGATTCTGGTACTAGAGGCGAATACTATTAAATCCTATATATATTTCAAGTTAGAAATTTATCACCTATATCATAGCTATTTCGATAATCGAACCAGTTGCTTTGACAGAATGAATCTGGCAACAACAACATAATCGACTATTCAGTGCATCTGGCAATTTCCAATCAATTCCAGTGCAATTCTGACTATTTCATTATTCTTTTCTTACGCTTAGGCTTCCAGGATATCTCATTCACAGTCGCATACCTGGCTTAAACTCGCTAGCAAGCTCATACAACTATGCCTTCAAAAACATCGGCCTGTTGCTCTTCCGCAATATACTCCAAGGTTCTTTGGAAGTACTCTCTACTGAATCTGAACAATCTTGCTTCTTGGTTGTTTTCGTCCTCTTCATTAAAGGCCCTAGCAGGATCTTCCTCATCATTCAAATTATCAATGTTAGTCCTGATAAGATCAATCAAGCCATTGATGTATTTGGCATCAATAACGGTATTTCCTTCATCATCAGCGACGTTGAAAATCAAACACCTGTTGAGAATTTCAATGAATAACTTCAATGACAAATATGGATCCATACATGAATCTGCGACTCTCAATGCCTTCTGTAAACATTCCAAAATCCGTTTGAAGTCGTCGTCCACATTCTCTCTACTATTATTGTCTTGCTCATCTGGCAAATAAGCACACCACCACCACAAATGAGCACAGAAGTAGACTGCACGACATTGATCTTGTTTCTTCAATAACTTGGATCCATACAAGGTAAGTTTGGTAATTAAATTCTCATAGTTCTCCTTGTTGAAATTTCTCAACGTGTACAACTTGTCTGCGATCAGTAAGATTGATTGGTATGGAACCGAAGCCTCTCCTAAAGAATCGTGAGGGTTTATTTGACGATTATTGTGAGATGGGTTCAAAATCAAATTCTCTTCATAAACAACGAAACATTGATTGAATAACTCATAACTCAAGGATTGCTGGCTCAATTGATCAGCTGCTGATGCTGCATTCAAATAGATTTTCAATATCAATTCTGAATGATATTCTTGATGGTAATGGTACAACTCGTCGATAATAACTGATAAGTTCTTGAAATTAGATGTGATCAACAACTCCTGGTGAGTTATGTCTTTTCCTTGCTTTTTCAATTCAGCAACATAGTAACCGATCAATCTCAACTTGTTCAAAATCTTCATGATAAGTGCTGGATAAGTGTAGATAATATTCTTGAATTCTTTGTTCAAATATTTCTTCCTTACATACATCAAGTTGGAAATGTTTTTGAAAGGATCCGTTGGGGTTTCAATCAAGTGGATAACCTTACATATCTTTTCTTGGTTACTTAAAAACTCTTGTGTGACAATCCCTTCCCCGTTGTTGACTTTATATGTTTTCGTAATCCCCAAATTCTTCGCTGTATCCAATTTTTCAGTTGGGTCTTTAATCAACACCAATAGGTACTTGAATATTCCATCAATATCTTCGGTGGTGGAAAACTGCTCATTTTTATCCGACAATAGCTTGTTGATAATTTCCAACGAAAGTTGTTTTTGATATTGGACACTCGTCAACTTGTGATAAAACTCAAAAAAGAATGGAAGTTTGAACAATGTCTTGATAGATTGGAAGTGTTGGATTGGTGCAACCAATAAGCGGAACCATAAATCTTGCTCTTCTGATCCAGATTCTTTTGTTGCTAACTTTTCAGTGGCAAATTGATAGATGGTGTCCAAATTTTGATAATTATCAGGGTAGTAAGTTAAAGACAAGGTGATAAACGATTGTAGGAATATGGAATGTTCATCTATTGGAAGTTCGGAGTCCATCTCATGGAGCTTGACGTAAAAGTCCCAAAAAATTGGAAATAAATCAACTTGAGGTTTATTTTCAAGAGAAAGCTTGCCCACCATTTCTGCCTCATTGTTATGATAATTAACAAATCTTTCAATAAGAGTGGCCACCAACTCGCTTTTCTTGAGGAGAGGATGGAGGTTGATGAACACGTCATTCAATAAGAACGGCAAGGTAGCAAAGTGGAAATCATCCGGGAAAATCTGGATCAACACATCAATCAAATAGCTTTGGGCCAAGTGGTCACGACACTGGATGATTTGCTCAGTGATGGTTGGTAGAATATTTTCCGCGTAGTAATTGATGCTAGAGTACGATTCGCCTCCCTGGTAATCGTCGATGATTTGTGAAAGACGAACGAGGTTGGAGCCTACTAAAATCTTCAATTCCTTTCTTTCCTTGTACCTTAACTCCCGCTCGGATGAATGGCCCTGGTGCTGGAGGCGCACCCATAACTTGGTCATTTCTATGAAGTTGGACACCAAGAAATGCACGGTTTCGTTGAAGTCTTCCTCGTTGTCCAAAGGCAATAAGTCCTTGATTCTCTGCGACAAGTAGTACCTCAAAAACAAGCCTCTGATGGGGTGCTGGACGCCTCGACACATCTCGATCATGTCCTTCATTATTTCCTTGGTTGGTGCTCCAGGAGTGGCCATGTAGGTGGTTCCAACCATGATCATCATGTAGAGCCTGGGAATGATATTTCCGGAATATTGCACCAACTCATACAAGTCAGCCAAGTAGGGAGTGTCTTTCTTTTTCTTCTTCTGGGTAGTTTGCGCCAAGTGGTTCAGCAACACTTCCAACGAGTCGAACACCATCATGTATATCTCGTAGTACTGCTTGGGGGAGAGTTTGTTAATTCGCAACTCATTGAGGAAGTTCAGGCAGTGCTTGAGAGCCTGAAGGAGGTTGTTGTCGTTGAGGTTCTGCTTCATGAGACCTGACTGCTGGTTGATGGTGTTGATGGAGGACTGGAGGGACATGGCTGGCAATTGGGTTTCTGGTGGACGAATAAGTACGAAGTGGTAGTTCAAGCAGTAAGCTCAGTTCTGATATGATAAAGGATGTCGGCTGTAGAGGGAACTGGTAGCAGCTGTATTTCTACTGTCAGTATCCAACAACAACTAAATTTCCAGATTGTGGCAGTAAACTAATGGGGAGCTAGCGAGGTCTAGTCGTGTCCTCTCTGTGATTCCTTACCTAGACTATCGAGGTGAAGATGTTGTCAAACTGAATAATTACCGATTATGACAAGTAACTGGATTTTTCAAGCGTAAATCAACGTGAAATCCAAAAAAGCAAGACAATTCAGCGCAATCGGGCTGATTCTCGATATTTCGAAGCTAAAACAAGTGTGATTCGATCAGATTCCCAGCAGTAATAACTCCTACTGATACGCCAATTGGAATAGTGGATTCGGCTAACAAGAAGTGCAGATTGGGGCAACGAAAAGGCAGAGGGTCTAGCTGGAGGGTTTGAATTGATGCACAGAGGGAAGGGCCAATTGGTAGCCAGTACGGTTGGGAGGAGGTAGTTCGTAAAGCCAGACAGGGGTTGGTGATCGCTGGCTGGTGGCGTCGCGTGATCTTGGTCGCGTGACCTACACTTACTATTTGTTAGAATTTAGATTCTGTGTGCAGGTGTACTTTTGCTCTTTGAGAAGAAGACTATTATATGTAAATATTTATTTAATAATATTGTAACACACAATCTAATACTATTCGGCACACCCATTAATCTCTGGGATTTACTGCTTAATTTATACTAATTTTAATCTCTTTCATCGGATCCGTACGGGAGTATTTTCACCCGTTCTTTCCGTCTCTGTTTTCAGTTGAGCGATTACTTTCGTTCTTTTTGGTAATTGCCCANCAGCTGGATTCGTTCATTCTGTCTTGGCCTGTTTCATCTTAAGCTTTTGCCGTATGAATGACAATGGTTGTTGTCCTGTTAACATCATGATGTAAGCTCGTCTTATTTTCAACTTTGCTANAGCGGAATTTTATGTCGTATTTCATCAATGTCGCGTTTCTCATAATGTCGTTAGAATTATGATGTCGCGCCATAATGTCGCTTAGGACGTATGTTCCAACACTATTATCCATTTCGTTACAAAGTACTGTAGTGTGGATGTTCCGATCCCAACAACACGTTTCATCGGGAGATTGGTCTTCGAAGGCTAGGGCAGTAAAACTATGTTCTTCTTCTATTATCCTATTTAGCAATCGTCGTCCTCATCCATGCTTCGATACGTACCAAATGGAGGATAATACCATTGAGAGAGTTTTAGATACGAGTAGTTCGAACTAATAGTGAGTAGTCCTAATCGAGAGTAGTCCTAATTTAAGTATCCCTAATCGAGATAAGTAGAAAACGAGAATAATCCAAATCGAGAGTAACTCAAATCGAGAGTAATTCAAATCGAGAGTAATGCAATTTTATCGAGAGTGATTGATCTGATTCGGACGATGCGTTGCTCAGCCTTCATACAGCTGTAAAGTCTTCTGATGGCCCCTAGTATGTATGTATTAAATACTATCTAAAGAATTTCCATAGTCTACACTGTAGAAACCATACACATATTCATCGTCACAATTTCAAATAAGGTATCAAACTAAGAGTCGAATGCTTCGCACTAACCGCTCATCAATAGCCTAAGTGACCTGCTGGAAGTTCTCCACAGTTCGGTTAGGGACTCTTCAGTGTGGTGTGAAACGATAACAATTTTAAAATTTACCGCTACATTTCTACAAAACTAGATAATTTCTTCTTTGAAAGTTGTGGAGTAAATTAGCAGAATGGCTGACTACTCTGTATTTATCGTAGATTACTGCTAATTGACACAACAAAAAGAAGTAACTAACCAATGCTGATATCATACCTAATAATCTAAAACAAATAGCATACTGTGAGCTTAAAAATCGCCTAACCGTTGCAAAGCTCTACACCATTACGTCATGCTCTGGGACTATTACCAATAAAGTAGATATTTGCAAGCTTATGGCATCCAAACCCAACTACAGAGAACACAAAGGTAAAGAGTGATAGCTTAGTATTCCAACTCGTGATGATAAATTAATTTATAGATTTGTTCATGAAAGTTCTCATCTTTTATCGTCCCTCAAGTCAGCACTCACTTATGATTATTCATAATATATTCTGCCATTGTAGTCGAATTTTATGGCCCTATATAAACCATTAAAAAAATCGTGAAAAGGAAACACCGAGTATATAGGTTCCGTAATAGTAAGTGTTTAACGGATAAAATTATTGGACAAAGGGACATGAGTTGAATTCTGTTGGCACAGTGAATTGATGTCGACAGAAGTATGAAAAGCCTAAAATTTTGGAGAAAAAACGGCTAGTTGGGATGTTTACAAACTATTTAAGAACGGATACAGTACTACGAGTTGCTTTGCACGAAACATGTCTAAATTTGCAACAAAAAATGACATGTATTGACCATATTTTGTTAAATCGGGGTTAAATAAGTCCCTTGCATCTGGCTTCCGCCGTTTCTCGGGGAACTGCCTCTATGCTCGTGCAGGTAGTATCATCATTATTACCTTTAGTGAATGATATATTTGCATTACAAAAAGTAATTGTTTTACAAGGTTATTAATTCTCAGAGACGGTAAATTTCTAAGGGAGATGATCAATTAATGTATAGCAGGGGACTAAGTTCCTTTAGCTCATTATTATTTAACTCATAAATTCTGTAAAATGATGGCTTTCCTCGACCGCTGTCAGAAAGTCAAGCAGGCGACCAAAGACTCTATACTTGACTACCTGGCTTTTCCTAGCGGTACCAAATACTGCATACATTAAGATACCTTGAAGGTGACTAAACTGCACCGCAACTAAAGTCTCAAGCAGGTTTTCGGAAGCCTGGGGCATGGTTATGTAATCAGTGGCCATTTACTTGCCGTCGTGGGAACCAAGGAGGTTACAGTCTACAGCAGGCTACGGCCTGAAGCAGTTTGAAGCCCTTCAACACAGATAAAGGCTCCTGAAGGTGAATAAAGTCAGTAGGCGATTACCTAATCACCACGTGACCACTATTAACGTCGTGAAAGTCCAATGCAGTTAATGTCCCTAGACGCAAGTGAAAGTTCGTTAACGGTCCTGACGCAGGTGAAGGACCTCGGTACGCTGGTTACACGCTACCACGTGATTGGGTTCACGTGACTGACATTGCTATACATGTATTAGAAATTAGGGATAATACACTGCCCAATCAATGGACACGGACGCTGTACAGCCAGTGTGTCAACGTTATGCTATTTGATCAGCTGATTAAGCTGGAGACCGAAATCTTGGTTTTGCCGGCAGGCGTCGTCTTGTCCATCTCGTGGTCCTCGTCATGATCCCTGGTCCTCTTGTGGGGAAGCTCATCGTCCTTCACGTGGCTGGGGTTGAGCACAGACGTGTTGGACGAAACCGAAAAACGGCTGGATGGCGTGATGCACGGCGAGTTGAACGACGAGTTCTGGGAGATGTTTCTCTTGTGTGAAGCAGCAGATGCGTCCTTAAGAAAACTAGGAAACAAATCAGGAGCGATCGACGAGGAACGGCGCGACGATGGGTTGGTGGAGTTGAGGGCGGAAAACTCGAAGGAAATCAGATTGTTGCGCGAGGCGGTGGTACTGAGGAGGAGGGGCGAGCCGTGGTAGGAGGGCGAATGGCTGCCGTGCGCTAGCGAGGAGTGCGAATGTTGTAGGGAGGCGGACTGGGAGGAGATGATGGAGGAAAGGTTGGGGTGGGAGGAGGTAAGCAAGCCGTGGTGCGAGGCGTGGTAGACGGTGGGGGTGGTGGTGGAGTGGCGACGGGAAATGGGGTCGTCGAGGAGGCGGCGTTTGTTGGACGAGGTGATGGGGGGGAGGGCTAGCGAGGGGGTGTAGGGAGGGTTGGAGAAGTCGAAGCTTGCGGAGCGAGAGTCCGGGGGGAGAGTGTTGGGGATGGATGGTGGGAGGGAGGGAAGTGGGTCAGGTTTGCCGAACATGGAGGTGTTGAAGGAGATACCACCACCGCTGCTTGCACCAGCGTCTGCGGTGGTAGCGTTGGTGGTAGCGTTGGTGGTAGCGTTGGTGGCGGCGGTCGCTCCAGTCGCGGCAGTAGTAGTAGCCTCGGTACCAGTCTCGGTGGCGCTGGCGGCAGTCGCAGCCTGAGCCTTGGTCTCGGTTGAGCCGGGAGCATTAGCAGTCGCGGGGGCATTGGCAGTCGCGGGAGCATTAGCGGACGCAGTCACGGCAGTCGCACCACTCGCGGTAGCAGCCGCACCACTCGCAGTAGCAGTGACATTTCCGGTACCACCACTGGCGGAGCTCGTGGTACTGTCTCCAGGGGTCTGGGACGCCCGTCTCCGACGATTAGCACCCCCATTCCACCAGTTCTTGATGGCATTGTCGGACCTCCCGTTCATGTGGCGGGAAATCTCTGCCCATTTCTTGCCATACTTCGCCACCAACGACTCGATCAACTCGCCTTCCTCCACCAGAATGGGTGCGCGATTCAACGACGGCTTGAGGTTCTGGTGGAACCGCTCGCGGCACTGCTTGGGAGTGCGGGTGGCCAACGAGTTGGAAATGCGCACCCAGTTAGTGGGCCCGAACACCGCGATCAAGTCCAAGAGCTTCTTGTCTTCCAACGGCGACCACGGCCCGCGGCGCGAGCCTGTCTTGGTGCTGGGGGGCGTGGGGCCAGTCTGGTGGAGGAGATGGTCGCTGGCGGGTCCTGGGAGGGCGTGGGAGGCGTGGGAATGGTGGTGGATCTCGCTGGTGCCAGCAAGTGGAGGTTGGGGCTGGCCCGGTGCGTGGTGCGCGGCGAGCGGAGGGCCTGGTACCGCGCCAGGGGGGCCCAGGGCGCCTGTGTAGCCGTAGGGCAGGCCTCCGTAGTAGTATCCCTGCTGGGAAGGCTGTGGCGGGGGCGGGTGGCCTGGGTGGTGGTGCGAGGGGTAGTGGTTGTACATGAGGAGGGTGTTGGTTACAGACTGACTGTGTAGGGAGGAAGTCTGGGTGTGTGACAGGGTGGCAGTGTCTGGCTGTTGGACTGTCTAACGTCTGGCTGTTTAGGATCGAAACGCTGGTGGGCCGTCGGATGGTGACACCACGAGTGGGGACTGTCTGATAGTGTCTGGCTGTGAAGGCGTCTAGCGTCTAGAGGGGACAGCAGACGATATTAAGGGTGACGGCTCTGTCTGACAGGTCTGTGTCAGGAGGTGATCTGATGTAAGCGACAGTAGGAATGTCGATGTTGTCGGGTAGGAGAGGTCTGTCTAGTGTAGGCAGGTGTGACAGATGTGAAGTCTAACAGGTGTGAAGTCTCAAGGGTCTGACAGGGTCTGAGTCGAGTCTAAGTCGAGTCTGAGTCGAGTCTGAGTCAGCAGTGGCAGGTCTGATGTAATCAAAATGTGTCTGATGGTATCAGGACCAGTCTGTCTGATCTATTCAGTGTCGAAGTCTCCAACAGTTGCAATGCACGAAGAACAACTATCCAATCGGACAGCGCAGTGGCAAGGAGGATCAAAAGGTATCAAGATCAACCTAGGCCAATTCAACAAATAAATAGCACGCCAGCAAACGCAGTGAGGCGTGGAAGAATCGGACACGGAGAAAGGCGAAGTAGGAAACGCAAACGCAGACGGCGGACACGAAGCGGGGGAGGTGCGCAGCAGACAGCAGACGGCAGATGGAAGATAACGGGGGTCAGGAGCAAGCCGTTGAAACAACCAGCAATCAGCAGCGATGGCAACGGTGAAATAGTCGGTGGTGGGCCTCGTCGGTCATTAGTGCTGGCACCGAAAATAAATTGCGTTTGTTGGCTACGGACGGCCCAAACCGGCTAGTGACGAGGGCAGCCACGGAAATGCGACATGCGCCAGTTGCAGTTCCGAGTACGCGGGCCTGGGAGTACCAGGCACCACCACCACCACCACCACCACGGTTCGCCCCCGGGTGCGGCCATGGTGACGGGAAAAGCTGGACGGGGCCAAATTTCATGTGGAGCCCTTGGTGCACAAATGGCCTGATAACATGTACCGTGTCACCCACTTGCCCAATCTGTCGGGCAATTGAGGATCTGTTTGACAGTGTTTCCCCGTCAACTGGGGGTCGGGTCGGAATTGTCTGCGGGGGGTCCAAAACTCACTTACGGGGGATTTGCGCAGTGAAGACGGCCAAATCCGAACCCCTCCCCACGGATATGCCCGCAGCGAAGACCACCGTTCGATGCCACGCCGCCTGCGCACGAAGATTCTGCCGACATCCACATTCCCATGCACATGCCACCCACGCAACACGTCTTCAGCACTACTCGCACCACCGTCCTCGATCCTCTGCATCCTCCTCGCTGCTTTCCCAGGCGCCAGCCCACGTATTCCAACACATGATGTAACGCATAGAATCCATCCATCACGCCTCGCCTTAACCCGTCATACATCAGGCGGTTTATTTTACGAGGTGGCTCTATGCGTACGGACAACCGGCCCTAACCGAATCGGATGCTCAGAATCCGCGGATTTATAGACCGTACCTGCCCTGATACATGCAACGGTCCACCGACAATGCTTCGCAGGCAGTGCATACCGGGCGCCAATTGCGTCGGGAAATTTACCGGCGTGCGCACAATGCATTCCGGAGCATGGGATCTATCGCTGAAACGCACGGCTAGCACCCCATGCTGGGAGCCACCCGGGCCTCGGTCTCTGTCAATGGCTCCCGTGCGTTTGACTGGCTACCATCGAGAGAAGCCCCGCTTATTGTCTGCCTCCAGATATCCGTTCATGCATGCACGCTGGCATGTGTATGTCACGTGATACATGCAATTCCGAGTGTGTTTGCCCCAATTCGCTTTTGCTCGGAATCGCTGGCGAACGTTGCTGTGTCAAGCCTTCTAGCCACCTTCCAGAACCCACCTCTCCTCATCGTCCCCCAGCATACTTTTTTCCCGCGGGCTGGCCCATCTAACGTCTCTAGCGTTTCAAGAGTATCGAGTTATACTCTCTTGTATGGTGGTTGCATGGCCCAACGTGCATCTCCACCTCACCCTGGTGTGCTCTACGCCTTATCTAACGTTCTTCCATGCATCATGAATGGCTGTTCCCCAGATGGCGGAAATCCGGTAAAAGTTGGTGATTTGGGGCATTTCGTCAGGAACAACCGGGTGCAAACCTTAATACGGTCGTTTAGTGGGTGACAGCAATCGCCTAAGGTTAAGGTTTGCAGGCCTATAGCAGTTTTGGGTTTTGCAGTGCGAGGCTCGCGCATGCTGGCAGTTGACATTCTCTCCTGAAGATACACAGCCCATCATCTCCACTCCAACCCCCCATCTGACACGAACTCGAAACACCACACCCCCAGGTGGAGTAACTGGCGGGGGTCGGGGCCCCACCCTCTATTGTTGCCCCTTAGGGAATTTTCCGGACAAAATTGTCAATGCGCACCTATTTTGTCTGTGCGCCTGACATAAAATAAATCATGCCTGGCCACTGGCTGAGATAATTGGGACTGTGGCTATAGCCCCCGATTCTGTATTAGCCCATTTGCTGCTGCTGGCTAGCCGATGCCAATGCTGTCCTGTGAAAGGATGCACGATCCACATGCACATCGAATCTGAAGTTGCGGAGTGGGCGCCAGATTCGGCTGGCGGGATGGGTAAGAATATGCAGTATTCGGTTGCATGCAGGTCGTGTCGCTTAGGGTGCACGCCAAAATAGTTCTTTCAACGTATATCGAGGCAACTTGTCCGAGTGGTTAAGGAGAAAGATTAGAAATCTTTTGGGCTTTGCCCGCGCAGGTTCGAATCCTGCAGTTGTCGTCATTTTTTGCAATTTCAACCTGTCAGCCCTGATTTGGGTGCTGACGGTTATACGTCTTAGATACTGGTGTCTGCATAGGCTCAACGCATGAATATGTACATTTGACGTGTGGTGCAACTTTTTCTATATACAATAAACCAACAGTAAATATGAACTGGATCGTCATGGCTACTTTTCTGCACCGAGACTCCAGTGGTGGCAGCTTGCCGGAGAGAAGGAAGGACTGTTCTGGAAACTAGAATTGTATGCTCTGAGAGTAACCTTCCGGATGAACATTTCTTGCAAGAACTTTGTCCCCCCAACTAGTCTTTTTTATCAGCAGGAGTACTTCAACATGTAGACTATTATCGCCTCTTTATGTGCAAGGTACTGGATCGTCTATGGCTGAATATGGATATCTGGTGTAAGTTATTTGGGGCATCCCTGGCGAGATTCTTACCTAGGGAACCATCTGCACCTGAGAGGTCAAATCAACTCTCAAACTATTGAATGAATTTTAGTAGTAATTTCTTCAATTGCATGTTTTTCTTTACAGAAACCTGTGTTAACTCATTTCATATAGATTCAGTATCCTCGAATCTTTGCAATGACCCAATTCTAGTCTGCGGCATGTTTAGACCCTGAAGATTATGAAACTCGATATGTGTAGTCAATACGCCCTCTAATGAATTTTAGCAAACATTCAACTTTGTAAATTTCAAACTTGCCAATCTCGTCTCAAGAAGTCAATCTATTGAACATTCAACGTTGCAAATTCAAAGTCGCCAACTAAGAAATGTTCTAGTTGCTTGCAACATCTAGGTATATGATATTCTTACCACGGTGGAGCATCGAAGCTTATGAGTATTCTTGACGCGTTGAAATTTCGGACGTACTGGAATCCTCCGACACTGTTCAAGCCAGATCCTAACAACAACATCCACACAGAAACTGTAGTTCGTGTGCTAACTGTGACACCTCGGCTGGACCGAACACACATTGGTTATCACCAGAGCCTATGTGGCCCATGGCTCGTATGGCTCCATTTGGCTCCATTTGGCTCCATTTAATCCGTGTTTGTTGGCTCTTCTGCATATTGCTCTTCTGTCTTTGGCTCTTCTGCTCTCGGCTCTTCTATCTTTGGCTCCAGACAGAAATCTAGCCATCTATGGTAGTTTCAGCCTTCGGATGGGTGCTAGATGCCGTCTGAAACAACCGAACTTGCACAATATAATGCTTCTGACACTCTTCTGCTCATTCGCCAATCACTTCAACTCCTCCTCGAACTCCTCGAGGTCCTCAGGCTCAAAGATCACTCTCACCATCAAAGAACACGAAGGACACACGGCGATGTCCTCGCCATCCTTGAGGTCGTCCAACGCAATGGCAAAACGGTCGCCACAAGGACAGGGGTACTGGAACAACTGGGTGATGGGGTCGAAGGTGAAGTCCTCGATCTCGATTTCGTCGTAGATGGTCTCCATGGCGGTGTGGATGGTAGGAAGAGAGGGCCGATTTGGATCGAGCTCATCGCATGACAGATGTGGTCACGTGCCGCTGCTTGTCGCTAGGGCTCGCGCCCTCCAGCCGGTCCCCGTCCCCCGGGTGCAACCTGCACTTCTGCCCGCAACCCGCACACGACACCGTTTTTCATGGCCCAACCTGCACTTTCCCCATTTACACCTTAGCTCCCACACCATAACCGTCCTCACCACGAAAATCTTTCACTCTCTGGTTTTATAAAAAAATTTTACCGCAAGATTTTGAATAGTTTTCTTCCTCATTATCAGTGATATTCAATAGTGTATGTAAAGACAATCAGACAGATAGGTTGACACACAAACAGACAGACAATCAGACACACACACAGACACACACCGTCAACTCCATCCACGTCTCTCCTCCCGTCCACTACTAACGTCTAGCAACATGGGTATTTCTAGAGACTCTCGTCACAAGCGTGCTGCCACTGGTGCCAAAAGAGCCCAATTCAGAAAGAAGAGAAAGTTCGAGTTGGGTAGACAATCTGCCAACACCAAGATTGGTGCTAAGAGAATCCACTCTGTCAGAACCAGAGGTGGTAACCAAAAATTCAGAGCCTTGAGAGTCGAAACCGGTAACTTCTCGTGGGGTTCCGAAGGTGTCTCCAGAAAGACCAGAATCGCTGGTGTCGTCTACCATCCATCCAACAACGAGTTGGTCAGAACCAACACCTTGACCAAGTCTGCCATCGTCCAAGTTGATGCCACCCCATTCAAGCAATGGTTCGAGAAGCACTACGGTAACACCTTGGGTAAGAAGAAGGCCACCGACGAAGAAACCAAGAGATCCAAGAAGGTTGAAAGAAAGTTGGCTTCCAGAGCCGGCCAAGCTACCATTGAAGAATCGGTTGCCCACCAATTCAACGCTGGTAAATTATACGCTGCTATCTCTTCTAGACCAGGTCAATCTGGTAGATGTGATGGTTACATCTTGGAAGGTGAAGAATTAGCTTTCTACTTGAGAAGATTGACTGCTAAGAAATAAACCTTCGGTATCATATAAATATATATACTAATGTGACATACTTATTAAGTGACTGGCCATGTTGGCGTGTATGAATAATTCGAGTAATGCGTATCGTGCGTTAACTGTGATGGAGTTATAGTATAGTCTGAGTGTAGTAGTATAATCTGATATATTTCAGTATAATCTGATAGATTTCTAGTACTGTCTCTCTGATAGATTTCTAGCACGATCTGTCTGTTGTACGGGGCTTGTATATGCATCTATTTTTCAATAGTTGTGTAATCTGTTTATACTTGTCCAAGTCTGCTATTCAATTCTACTTCCATCTTGCCTGCTAACAATACTCGTATACTACACACTGCCTGTTATACAATCCTAGATCTTTTCATCTCGCCTGTTATACAAGCCTTGAATACTCGTAATTAGTGTCTGATACTTACAGATTCGGCTGTCTGATAATATTTGCATCTACTGTCATATTCTCATGGCATCTCAACGGTTCTAAAATACAAGGTGAAAATTTGATCGCACATTAGAGAGTTTGCAGTTAGTGTTGAAATTGATGGGTTGAGATCAGAACAGTGGCACTTTGTAGAAATGTAGAGGATTCTGACGTGAACAATTCACGATGAGTGTACTTTCTGAATTGCACCAATGCTAAGATGGTTTCACCCAGCTTAGGGTAGTTGCACCGGACTTAGTATATAGTATAGTTTCACACCGCTTATGCTCGTTTGACCCAACATAGGAAGGTTTTAACTGGCATAAGTAGATTTTGTCAGGCATACTATGGCTATGTCGGCATTTGCAAGTTTTCCTATGCGTGTTATGGTTTTGTCTGGCAAATGTGAGTTTGGCCATGCATACTATGGTTTTGTCTGGCGTAGGTAGGTTATACCGTGCGTACTATAGTTTTACAGCTTGTGCAAATATTGCCAAGCTTAGCTAAGCTTCGTTGTTTGCCAGGCAACCTATACTGTTTACCAAACAACTTCAATTATTTACCAAGCACCATAAGTTGTTTACCAAGCAACGCCAATTGTTTACCAAACAACTTCAACTGCTTACCAAACAACTCCAATTGCTTACCAAGCACCTTAAGTTGTTTACCAAACTTAGGTATGTTTACGAAGTGTGTCATAGTTTTAAAGCCTAATCAAGCATACCTAGAAACATACTTACTACCACCACTATGCCACGTAAAAACATCCGAATGACAAGCACCCTCATGATCTTGCCAAACACTCTCTGCTACATTTCCCAAAACGTCTGAAAAATCACCAAGAACGCCAGTCCTTGAAAACCTTTCACAATCTGGAGAATTTTCTTATTTCTGAAGGTTAGTTGTGTTCGTAAATCGTTTGAGTCAGAAGAGGCATGTCGCTGTCGTTCAATCACCTTGCTTGGCAAGGCTCAGTACAGGTCTGTGTAACATTTTGTTCATCATTTCAAATGTATGATTACTTACTGGTAATAATACTATTAGGTAATCCACCAAAGTACTGGTAAATATGACGAGTGGTGAAAGCGATGGATGTCCCCTCTTTTTATACCAACAGTGAATCCGGGTAATCTGCGTTCACGTGATAGGGTTCCTGTGGTGTATAGTATTGGTTGTGTTGGGTGCGAATAGCGGATTGAACCATATTGTAAGGGTTTACCGGATGGCTTTAGCGTACAGAAAGATATTGAATGCGTTTACCGGATGGGATTCCCGGGCTAAAACATAATTAATGAGTTTAGCGGACGGGTTTATCGGAGTCAGAGGTGTTGTATGGGTTTACCGGACGGATTTACCGGATTGACAGGTGTTGGGATGGATTTACCGGATTTACTTGATGCATGGGAGATTGTTTCTGGAAACTTACCTGAAACTCTACTAGTTTACAGTTTCAAATAAAAGTATCTATCATGACTGCTGCGAAGAAACCCAAGTCGACAGATTATAAACCTTCAGAGCCACTATCATTGCCACCTCTACCTCCAGCCCCCACCCAGAGACTTATTCACAAAGTTATTCTCCATAAATATCCAATACTTTACATAATATGATCTCTTGAATAACCCAAGATCGTAGGGCCTTGCGACACTAATTTATTTGAAGAACAATTTGGGTACCCGATCCCAAATATTCAGTAAGTAAATTGCATTATTAACCAGTCAGTGCACCATAAAAAACCTCTTCGTATATTTCCATAATTATGAAACAATCCATGTAGTGTCATAAATTATTATGAACCACTCTAGTTCTCAATAACACTCTAGAATGCTATAAGTGAAATTTTACTGTGATCAAAATATCCACCGCTTACACCATAATTATAGATGCCTAGTTTATAAGCGGAATCTAAGGACAGATCAATTTCAAAAATTTCACTCTTTTCGATACTTGAGTACAGAAAGATTTATTGATTTCAATAGCCAAATAAGGTTGTATGGCAGTAATAGCAAAATAAAGGATTTTTATGGCACTAAATGCATTAACGAGAAATTAAGAACGGCTATGCCAGTGATATAGTTTCCCTTAAATTAAGGCTGTTTAAATCAGTACCTCTCAATTAATCACTTTATACGATCTAGTAACTTATAAGGCTACTTATGGGAGTAATACCATACCCTTTAATTAATTATTTATGGCAGCAACACCACTAACTATCAATTAAGTCATTAGACAGAAAATCACATTTCATTACCCTTCTACCTACGCATTAGTTCAAATTCAACAATAACCCTTTGCTCAACTTACCTCTCGATCTTCCTGCACACAACCACCACTACTTTTTCTCATCTTACAACTACAATTACCACTATCACCATGACGAATACCTCCCCCGACGACACAGTCTTTGAGGACGCCGTCAATCACTCGTTCGCATACGGCCCTACCGCCATGCACGTCCCCTCCAGCGCTTTTTCCCACCTCCAAAAGCTTCCGGACGCGTCCAGCGTGCGTTTCCATCAACACCAGCACCAACAACACCACCAGCCACCGCCAACAAACGATGTTTCTGTCCAAACAGCTGCCAGAACAGCCGTCACTGATGCTGAGTTGCTGCAGTTTCGGCTTCACCGCGAGAAACTCGCCCTAGCAGCGTCCAGACTCGCGGTAGACGCCCAGCGTCCTTCCCCCGCCAGTAACTCTGCAAATACCAGCAAACCTCCTCCCATCTACTACCGTCCGCCATCCTCCAACATCAAGGGCACCCAGTTCGGCATCCAGAGCTTTTTGCCCCCCGGTGTGGACATCTCCAGCGCCAAAAAGCACACCACCAACCACGTCCCTCTCTACATCAACAACAAGCGCCCCCAGGCACCTCCCACAGTGAAGAGCACAATTGAGGCGCTCCAGCACCAGCAGCGTCCCGATCTCCAGGAGGACGACGTGGATGAGCATTCAGAAGGACCCTCTGGTGACTGGACAAATCCCATCATGATCCAGGCATTGGCCCGCCAGATCGACAGGGAAAGCTACACCAGACGCTTGTTGCAGAACGTGCTCTACCTCTTGGGGTTCCAGTTCGTGCGCACGTTGGTGACTAAAGTATGGGAACTCTACCAGACCCGCAAGAAGTCCCAGCTCCAAATTCAGTATAACTTGCACCATCCGTTGGCAGGCTCGCAGGAGCTACTTGCGCCCGATGCCACACTCGTGGTGGCAGTGGTGTGCTGGGCAGTGGTGGTGATTTTTGGCGTCAATATTGTGGGATCTGCAGTCATGCTCTTAAAGGGCCAGGACCAGTGCTACGACTTGCCTCTTAGCGACTCCCAGAGAAGATTGATCGGGTTAAAGGCCCGTTACGACCGTGAGGACGATGCCAGCGACCAACTGGCGGAATTGGAGTTGAAACAGCGTCGTTATGCCACCACAGAACCTGTTCCTGCATTGCCCAAATACACCAAGTTAAACCAATACGAACATTACAATTTTGGAACTTCTACCAGTGTTACTGAGCCTGAGATCCAGTTGTCGTTGGCAGAACCCCAAAACAGGCGCTTTTTGGGAGGACCAGTGGCCAAGCGGGTGGAGGTGAGTGCTGAGGAGCGGGAGCAGTTTACAAAGAACTTTTCCGTGCGTTTCTGATAGAGCAAACTGTTTTGGCAAAGCCCAATGCTTTTAATGGCTGGTAATGCCTTTCCATGCATTTTTAGAACACTTTTCGGGCTTATTTGATGTCTGGAGGGGCCAGATGGCAACATCACCTTCAAGCCTGGATACACCTAGTTCATCAACAAGTCTCGTAACTGGAGACAAACGGAATACCTGTAACTATAGTACTTAGCATTGAATGAGACATTTCATGATCTTGTAATGCTGAGTAGGTAGTTGAGTCGAGAAATGATATTCGAAAGCTACAGGCGGCCATATGCGCCACTGTCGATGCCCTTAACGAAAAATGGTGAAGCCATCCAATCAACAACTATCTTTTGCAACAGGGAATCATTTCTATAGGAATTGGATGCTACGAAAATGAATCAAATGGTTTTGCCCTGGATAAACTGGGAAATGGTTGCAAAAATTGAGAGATAAACTACAAATTACCATACTGGGCTTAATATCGAACGTATGGGGGTAGCCAACGGGTTAACACCGGGTTAACACCAGAATTGGGCATACTTCTGCCAGGAATTAACCTGCCATCTAGGAGAAAAAGGGACCTTTGGACATACACGCTCTAAAGACAATTGAAAGAATCATTTGGGAGTCAACTCTGGGAGTCTCTGGAATTCTGGAAGTCAATCTGCAGCCCGCTGGATTCATCTCTCCTCTGGACTTAACCGCTCTTACACGGAGTATGTCCACTTCCATCTCCCATCACGTGCACCCCATCTCGGCCTGCCAGTAGTGCATCTGATAGATCCTCCTGCATGTGCACCCCCTCCCCACCACCCCCGCATGTGCATGTCCACTTTTCCATCTGATCAACGGTTACCACGATTACTGTCCCACTGCGCCGTACACGTCCACCATCCGAGACTTCCGCCGCACAAGGGCCCCCCACCACCTCCACGTCCTCCACCGCCAGTTTCCGGCGTCTGCACCCTTCCAACGCCCTGCACCCTGCCCCACGCTCGTCAGCGCATTTTGCGGGGGAGCCCAGAATATAAAAAGGGTGCCGAACTCGCTGTTGGCCTCCACCACCACCACTACCACCACCAACATGGATTTCGAAGAAGCCCTCCGAGTCATCAGAGTGGATGACTCCCACTTCGTGGGCGCCCATCCCTTGCGCTTGCCAATTGCTGGTGCCAGAGGAGTGTTTGGCGGAAACACAATTGGCCAGACGTTGTTGGTGGCCATTGAGTCAACCAAGCACCACACAGACGGCTACTTGTGGACGCCCACAGCGTTTCATCTTTATTTTATCCGAGCTGGTGATGCTCGCGTGCCCATGGAATACAAAGTAGATCTGTTTGAGGGTAAAAATGGCACCATCTACCGGTCGATCGTGGCTCTCCAGCACGGCAAGGTGCGTGCCACTGCCAGCTGCACGTTCGTGCGGCTGGGACTGAAGTTGGAGGACCACGGAGGACCTGCTCCTCCTCCATTACTGCTCAAGTATCCCGATCCTTCCCAGTTGTACCAGACACACCACACCAGCTACATCCGCAGTGCATACTCGGACGAGTTCTTGGACTATCGCTTGACACCCGAGGAGGAGGCATTGCCTGCAGCAGACCGCAAAATCACCGTGTGGAACGCCATCAACAACTGCACCAGTCCCGAGTTCCAGGGCCGCGAAGACACTATTCGCACGAAGATGTTGCAGCCTCCAGGCTCCGACGGTGATCTGGGGATGCTGTACCCCGAGCCTGACGCCTATTACATCCCGTCTCAGTACCAGCAGCTGGTGAAGAATCCGGTGTACAATTTCGTGGGCATGGGAGTCATCTCCGACAGCTTGTTATTGACCACGCTTCCACGGATCCTTCATCTTCCCTGGAATCCTACTGAGAACCGTGCAGTGGACGAGTACGACGCAGGACGGGACTCGCGGATCCTCATGAAGCACTCGATGAACATCATCCACCTTTATCACTACAACGCTATGTCCCTCGATCACCACATGTACTTCCACACTGACGTGATGGGGAACGGGTTCGACGTGGTGAAGGACTGGCTCTGCTTCCACTACCAGGTCAAGCGGCATGCCAACAGCCGTACGCTCATCCGGGGCCACTTCTTCAACAAGGACAACCAGGCGGTGGCCACCGTGGTGCAGGAGGGCTTGACGTACTTGTTCAAGGGTTTTGCGGACAATGCGAAGCTCTAGGAGGTCTACGGTTCAAGCTGGGAAATGTCGTTCGGTTTTAATTGCACTGCTGCACCTGTCATGTTGATTATCATCTCACTGCTGCACCCGTCATGTTGACTATCATCGCACTGCTGCATCTGTCATGTTGGTTATTATCTCACTGATGTACCCGCCATGTCAGTTATCAACTCTACGAACTTCCCTGTCAGTTATCTATCCTTCACATTGTCTCAAATACGAGCTCCAACTGCCGCTATTTTTAGTGTGGCTGTGAAGCCCTGCATCACATGCCTCCTTCGCACCCTGCCCACGGCTGCAACTCACCCAACCGCCTTCCCCCTCTTGTCCTGCAGACAGTCCTGAGGCTGATACCTTTCGATGAGCCTCGGCCTAGTTGCAACCGATCTCACCGGTGCCAAACACAACCTATTTATTCGCTTGCCACCGTTACTTTCTTCATCATCTCCAAATCACATCGCTTGTTTCTTGAATCTCCAAAAAATGGCCCAATTGCATAAACTTGGCCTCCACAGCCCCAGCAAGCTTTCTAAGAGCTTTGCCGTCAAAAAAGTTGGCGAAAATAAGTACCAGGGTGTTGTACCCCTAAGTAAGCCCTCTGCCACCAGCCGGGGAGTTTTTGGGGGCAATCTCTGCGCCCAGGCAGTGGTAGCTGCTATGGAACATACTCCTGGGTTTGTGCCCCATTCGTTGCATTCCTACTTCGTCAAAGCAGGAGACGACCAGTCACCGTGCGAGTTCGAAGTGGAGACCGTCAGCGACGGAAACAATTTCGCCAACAGGCTCGTTCGTGTGGTGCAAAAGCTGGAGCTCAAGTATATGGTGATGATCAGTCTCACCAAGAAGAACTCGATGGCCAGTGCCCGTCACAACTTCAAAGCTGGTAAGAGTCCTCACCCAGTAGAGTACCAGGTGCCAGCGTCGTCGTCGTTCTACAAGTACAACCATCGCGATCTCCCGGTGCATACTACCTACGACCACGGAGGCATGCTCCAACACAAGTTTCCTCCCGACTTTCTAGACCACTCATTGAGCCATGGCGAGCACGAGAAGAGCCCGGGCGAACGTGACTTCTCGTTCTGGATCAGAATCGGAGACGAAGGCTCCAAGGGCGTAGGCGAGAGCAAATTCAAGTACGCTGGCTTCGGGATGATTTCCGATTCCTTGTTCTTGACATCGCTAGCCAGAACGTTGCGGTTGCCGCTCGTGGATGGATCAAACGACGCTGCAAGTATGGGTCCGACTGCGATCAAGAGCAGCGGTGGAAAAGGCCCATACTTCTTCTCGGTGTCGCTCGACCACTCGGTGTTTTTCCACGACGACGACTTCGATCCCCACGAGTGGATCTATGCTTCTTTCAAGGCTCCACGGTTGTGCAACAACAGGGTGTTGTTCCAGGGGTCGTATTTCGACACCAAGGGTCGTCTTTTTGCCAGCATAGTGCAGGAGGGCTTGGTGTTCTTTGACGAGGGAAATGCTCGCAAAGCTAAATTGTAACGGTCCTGGAGACCACGGATAGATAGGTACTACAATAATAGAATAATACTAGACAAATTAATTGTAAATGGTACCCAGAGTATTACCACAGGCAGAAAGAACTCAAACGGGAAAAAAAGCTGTTCCCAACGGGTTTGAGGTCCTCGGTACGGGGCAGGTTCACGAAGCGCATGCTCAGTATGACCGTCATGCTGCTTAGTTATTGCACCTGCCACACCAATTACGGTTTGGCACCTGCAACTGCCATGAGAATACTGGCCACATGACAGTTGGAGAGAGGAGGGGCTTGCTACTGAGGATACCCGCTGGCTCTGAATATTGAATGACGTTAAAGTAATATGATATATCGCCCACCCTACTGGTTGCTTTGCTGAAAACGCACCGATTTTGCAATCATTTTCGAATAGTAGCTAAGGAGGTATCTTGGCCGGAACACGCGGAAGGGGCACACCAAATCAGAGAGCCAAGCAAGATTGGGGTGGCTCCTAGCATGGACTACTCTTGAAGCACAGTCTGCTATTTCCCACCTCTTCTAAGTGGATATATCAATCGTGCAGAATTAAAATATGAATCAATGGAACGGTGAGTCTTGAAGTGTTCACACAAGGTTGCGAAAACATGAGATCAAAAAGTAAAATAATGATGAGCCTTGATAACCTCGAATTTCAAAAAAGATACTACAAGACCATAATCTATCACGGATGAGTTAAATTAGCGGAGTGCTACTCAGTAGAATAGGTACGTAGTCTTCTCCCCGGTTGCTCTGCGTAGCCATTTTGAATAGGTAATCTAACAAGTAGATTGCAATCGTTATCAAAAAATTACTTCCATACTCCGGAACCCTTCTGCACATGTTGAAGAACCTTCTACATCAAACTCACACAAGCTTTCTTTTTATCATTATTGGTATCTTCTGTTGATATAGACCTGCCATAAAAGGTAAACTTTCGTTGTTGGAGCACCCACTGAGCTGGTATGAGATATCCGGTTAAGAGAGGTGATGCATTTCCAGGCCCAAATCCAACATTACTGACAAGTTCTGCCACCACCACTGCCTTACCGCGGTCCCTACCGCCCTACCACGGTCCCTACCGCCCTAAAACGCCCCTACAACCCCCAGGGTCCCTACCCTTCACATGCCCTATCCCCATCCCCCACGTGAAATTCGCACCGGTTCCGCCCCGTCCCAGCCATCCTCGGCTTATTTCCCCAACACCCAGCTCCGAGCCCGCGTCCCATCGCCATATAAGACGCCTGCTGCCCCTCTAAACACTACTCTTCATCGCGATGTCTCTCATGAAGGCCCTTGCTGAGAGCTCCGGCTCCAAAATAGAAGAAAAGTTCGCATTATCTGTCACCGACTCCACACCCTCCTCCACCACCTTGGAGGGCAAGCATCCCCTCCAACCATTCAGAAAGGGTGCCAGAGGCACCTTTGGTGGTGAGCTCGTAGCCCAGGCGTTGAACGCCGCATGTGCCACCGTGGAAGTCCCCGAATTCACCCCTCACTCGTTGCACCTGTACTTCGTCAAGGCAGGGCTGGATGACACCACCATGGTGTGGCAGGTGCAGCACGTCAGCGACACCAAGAACTACGCCAACAGGTTGGTGCAGGGGTTCCAGGGTACGGGAGGACGCTTGGTATATGTGTGCCAGGTGTCGTTCACGCGAGCCAACCACTCTGAGCACAGGATCAAAGCAGCCGAGGAAAAGGCAGCTGCCGTGGTCCAGGCAGGAGGCATAGCTCGTGAGCTTCCAGTGCAGTTCCAGACGAAACCAAATTTTTTGTTTGAGAAGTACCGCAATCGTTTGGACGAGTTCAACTCCCACATCCACACTTTCGACATGCTCGAGCACATCACGCCGCCAGACTACTCGTACCGCGACCAAAAAACTGATTTGGGGGCTGCTGGCAACAAGCAGTTCGGATTTTTCTTCCGGGTACGTGATGACTGGCGCAAGGCCCAAAATCCCACAACCACCCGATTCCTCCAGCTCGCATTTGCCTCAGATTCTGCCTATTTGGGCACAGTGGTGGGTGCGCTCGGCTTGAGGCTTCCTGTTGACATGAAGGACCCAGCCATGTTGCCCACTTTCGCCTTTTTCAGAGTGTCGCTCGACCACACCATCTACTTCCACGACCTCGACTTCGACCCTGCCAGCTGGATGTTCTTGGACTATAAGTTTTCCAGACTTAACAATGACCGTGTGTTGTGCCAATGCATCGTGTACACGTTAGAAGGCAAGATGGTGGCGCTGGTGATACAGGAAGGATTGGTATACTTTACGGACGAGATTTTGGGACGGGTCAAGCGCTTGGGCGTGGACGGAGACGACCTGGGGGTCTCCAAGTTATGATTGACGACGACGGTCTATTATGTAATGAACTAGGTAATACTATTTATTTATGGCGTGGTGTAGCCGGTGCAGCTAGATCTCCGGAACCAGATGGTCTACTAATGATTATGTTATTTATTATGCTGTATAGTGCCTACCTGTAATTATGTAATAAATTAGGAAAGTCGTGTCAGATTTAACCAGTGGCTCTCAGGGCAGGACATTATCAACCAAGAAGAATCGAGTCTCGTAGTCGTGATTCCAGGTGGTGGCATATCAATGGAATAGGTATTATTTCTTTAGGACTGTTCACTAGTCCCCTGGTTGTTCGGCATAACCATCAGGGCACCCACTGGGTCTTCGACTCCCGCAACTAAGGCAACCCTATTCATTCTTTAAAGCTTGAAGTCCGCCCAGTGGCTGTTCAGTGTCTGTGTCAACACAGCCATTATCGGGATTTCGTTTCTAATTTACTGTGCTTCAGCCTCGACTGGCTCAATTTCTTTTGAAGCATCCCTACCCTGATTGCTAAAGTTTTACTTCTAGGCCGAGTCTCTGCCTGGTTTCTTCATTCTTTCAATTTCATCACTCAGCCCAATTTCAGGAAGTACCATGCTGTTGGGATACCATTACTGTAACTCAGTAAATTTAAGTAATAGACTTTTATCCCAGCTTGGTTGGGCTATACGCGCATTAATTAATTCTCTTCAATAATCCGATAGAAGGCTTTCGCGTCCCTTTTCGGGCCTCGGTCAAGACCCAATTCTTGGTGCAGGAGTGAATGGTTTCTAGACCACCTTCTAACATTAGAACTAAGAATCGTTCCTATCGTACAAATTGTTCTCATGGACAAATGAATCACATTATGTGACAACTGTTAAAGATTACCAACCGACTTCATGCGATTTGTCTGATTTCCGAGGAAGTCGAATCCCTTCGGATGCACCCTGGCGTCTTCACTAATTTATTTTTTTGCATAAATTCTACAATTCTGCCGTAAGAGAATTATCCACCAACCAGGTTCTGCTTGTAATGCGAGAACTGTGGGCTGGAAAGGCCAGATCCCTACTTGCTCCCGTCTGCGATTACCTTCCTTGTAGATAAGCCACCCTAGAAAGGCGCGGTGCACCATTTTCCGCATGTTTCACGGCTAATCGTACCTTACAGGTGAGACCAGAGGGAAGGTGAGCGGACCAGATCCGCCCTTTGTTCCTTTTCCTCCGTGCCACCCAGAGTAGATTCCGAAAGTAAAAAATCGAAGCAAGAAACATTTCTAAAACGAATGTAAAATTTTACGCCAACCTAATATAAGGTGAATACTCCGAACCCAAGGAACGTACCGGCTCCTGTCATTGGCACTGTCAAAACCTCCGAATCAAACAATGCGCTCGAAAGCCAATTAATTAAGGTGTAGCAACGCTTCTGTGCATGGCATCTGGTTGGTTCGATGGCGCCAGCTAATTCGCAGCTGGCACGACGGTCCGGCAAATCACAGCCACCCATCCTCTATTGTGGTGGCAGTTGATCTCGCAAAGAATAGCGCCCACGCATATGTCCGCCCAGCACCTAAGCTGCCACAGGCCAGTATAGCCTGGAGATGCTCAGCAATATGCACTGGACAGCCGTCTAGCTGTCAGTTCACTGCCTGGACCAGAATTGGATTCGCACAGGCGGTGGTGAGCATGTGCTGGAGTACCCCTCGTTGGCGGGGCATGTTGGGCCAGCAAGAGGTCTAACTGGGTGACGTAGTGGCTTCTCTGGGTCCGGGACTTCGTGTTGTGACTCTTGATTCTGCTAGATGTTGTCCACTTGGTCTACCTGATTAGGACTACCGAGACTACTTGATGGCTACTTTTGATTCTACTTCGACCTCTACTTCACCAATTGAAGCTCTTACTCTTGGTTGGACTTTATCACGAGTAGTCTCTTCTGCCTCGGAGTACTCCTGTAAGACTTCTCCTTCTGATGCCTCCTTGCTCTGCCCGGCCTTGCCATGCCAGGACCCTCGCGGCGCCCTTCGCCCTGCTCTCTAAAACTTGACAGTTTTATTTCACTTCCGCATCTGGCATTGTCAATCCGAGGTTATATATCTGGCCCCTCTGGCCCAGGCCAAGAACTAAAGACTGTTAATCTGGATTGGAACTCAGTACATTCGTATTCTTAATACACTCTGGTCACGATTCTGCCATCGACTCTGCCAGTTAATCGACTCTGATCACTACAATCGTATCACCGAATTCGAGTCTCCAGTCCAAGTCACTCGACTGTTCACAACTCGAGACCTTCTGTTAGTTGATCCTGCAAGTGTCACTACAATCGAGCCACTGTTAGTTGATCCTGCAAGTGTCACTACAATCGAGCCACTGTTAGTTGATCCAACAGTCATTCAAGTCCTCGGTTGTTGGGTCACATTAGTCAATTCCTTCTGCTAGTCTAGCTGATCCACATTTGGTCTACTTCATACCATCTGTTGGTCTAGTTGATCGCTTCAACAGCCACTAATTCTCGAGAGACTACTAGTTGGTCCTCTGCTGCTAAAGATCCATTAGTTGACCTAGCTAGTTGATCCATTCGTCCCACTACTGATCCACCAGTTGATTCCTGGTCCCAACCCTTAATTCACATGGCAGGCCCAATCGACGTCGAACAACTCTTGGGCGTCAACAAGCTCGCAGACGGCTCCTACGTGGGCCGTCTGCCCATGATCAAGGCCCATCCACAGGCCCGTGGCGCCTACGGTGGAAACATCGCTGGCCAGGCGTTGGTGGCTGTGGCCGCCGACACACCACCAGGATTCGTACCCCACTCGTTCCAGTCGTACTTCATAGGTGCTGTGGACGACAAGACTCCGCTAGAGTGGAAGATAGAACAGATTTCCCAGGGAAAGAGTTTCTGCAACCGTCACGTCCGGGGGTACCAGGACGGCCAGTTGAAGTTCTACGGTAATGCATCGTTGACCCGCAAGAACTCGCACGACGAGCAGGTCAGGGAGTACGAGCAGTGGGTCAGTCGTCGCCAGGAGCAGGAAGAGGACGACGACGACGACGACGACGATATGCCCAAGCCGTTCCAGTTCCAGACTCCGTACCACCAGTGGTTGGCCTCCAACAAGTTGGACGCTATTCCTACCGACAACCGCGGCCAGCACTTGCACATTTACCACAAGATGCCCCCGCAGTTTAGCGACCTCGCCAGCACCCGCAGCGAGGAATCTCGCGACGTTACCGACCGCAGATTGGCGTGGTTCGTGCGCTGGGGCAACGACGAGGACCCATCCCAGCAGCTTGTGGAAAAGGTGGCAGGCCCCTACAAGTACGCAGGGTTGGTGGCGTTGTCGGACTCGCTCTTCCTCACCCGTTTGGCACGGAACTTGCGGTTGCCTGTGGACCATCTCGACCCTATACACTACTTCTCAGTGTCGTTGGACCATGTGATTTACTTCCACGACGACAACTTCGACGCCACCCAATGGTTGGGGTTCTCGTTCCGGGCACTTCGGTTGGTCAACAAACGGGTGGTGCTTGAGGCCGAGATCTACGACGTCAATGGCGTGCATGTGGCCACCGTGATCCAAGAGGGGTTGATCCACCTCAACGGTCTTGAGGAGACGGCGAAGTTGTGAAGTAAGGAATGTTATGTAAAGCATGACAATAAATGCATGAAAGAGCGGTGACAGTAGAATTAAATATTAAACTTGTCTAGAATCGTACTGACAATAATATTATGAAAGAGCTGGGCTAGCCCAGACTTGAATGCTATTTTATGTTAGTAATAACCCATTTTATTTCATCCAGTTACAACCCGAACATATATTCTTACTTTAGAAGAGTAACTGTACTTAGTAAGAAGGCTCGAAATGTACCCAGCTCTCACTATGTTGAAGAATGCCTTGATTTACATACAATTCTCTAAAACACCATTTGTGAAGTAAGCAACACATTTAATTCTACCCAGCTCCACTGTATAATCTAGTAATATCTAATAGCCTTATTTCTGAATTCTTCGCGTTGTAACAGGACAGTGTTTCTAAGGATTTTAATTAATGCCTTGAGCTGGAATACACAACTACCCACATAATGAGTATAAGGCAACGCTAAATACGAAACAGAAGCAAGTAGAACAATGTTGGTTATTACAATTTCCCAGCCAACATTGCCACGTTTTCTGCCGACTTCCTCAATTAAATTCGTACTACTTCTCCTTGTCTACATGTTGCTCCATACTTCTCAGAAACTCTATCTTCTACCCCCGTCACCTCCCACCACTAGAGGGAATGAAGCAACCAGCCATTCCAGCCCCTCAAAACACCCTTGCTGCCATTGTCACCGGTACACCACGGATCCATATTTATTTGCATCACCAGAATCCAGACCTGTACAATGGAGATGATTCCAGAAACGCACTCCACCAGCTAGCCTGGAGAATAGTCATTGACAATCCAGCACCACCACGCCACCCACGCCATAAGTGAGCTCGTCAATCCATTGACTGGAATCGCATACTGCCATTGAGTGTAATCATTCGTTACTCATCCCTCATTGACTGGTCACACGCCTTAGCTGAACCATTCACGCCTTGACTGTAATCAGTTATTCAGTACAAGTGCTACTCTTTCTGCCATCAACCAGCACCAATACACCACCAACCAGCACCGATTCACCACCAAGTAGCACCAATACCACATCCTTCCTCCCATTCGACTACTTCACCCTCCTTCATCTCCAGCCATCCCACCATGTCCTTCAACACACAGACGCTAGAGAGCCTCACAGCCACCCTCGCCAGAGTCCTCACCTCAAATAACCTCCTCGTGCTCGACCGCCTGTTGTCGCCGTTGATCAACCATCTCACCTCGTTCCTGAACCTCAAACAGTCAGGCAAGTTCAACAACTTGATCTGGCTCGATGAACCCCAACAAACAGAGGTGTTTGACTCCTTTAACGGCTTGATCGTTCTCCTCCAAGAATCGCCCTCAAATTTGGCTCTGTTGGCCCAATTGTACAATACAGTGCCCAAATCGCTCAAGATCCACCTCATTGTGAGTGACTTGTCCAAGTCCTTCTTGTACCAGTTGAACGACACTTTGGCAGGAAATTTGAACTTTCGATCATTGCTACATTTTCAGCAGTCCCAGATAAGCTTGACTACTCGAATCAAGGCATACAGCTGGAAGACATTCCCCATAGAGGACGAGTTCGTGCTTTTCAGCGACTTGCAATTGGATGCCCATATCGACCACTACTTGGACGAGCCTTTGAAGCAAGTCAACGAGCTCGCATCAGCGTTGATCCAGGTTATGTTCCCATCAGACACCAGTTTCAAGCACAAGTTGCGAAACATTTACGGCAAGGGGGATCACGCCAAACTCTTCATCGACTTGCTCAACGACCATAAAATCCCCGAATATTTAAATGCATCCTTGAACCCGTTAGAGTTGGAGTTTTACCGGACCAAGTTTGCTAGCAACACCGATTTGGTGGTCCTTGAGAGAAACTTGGATTACACCTCGGTGTTGTTCAACCAGCTCAACTATCATGGGTTGATCAACGATTTGTTTGGCATGGAATTCACCCAAATCGTGAATATTCCAGAAGATGTCGAAGACGAGAAGATCTCAAAAAACTTGAAGGATGACGTGCTCTACAACAATACCCTCAAGCACCTTAATTTCTCGTCCAGTGGTCTAAAGTTGAGTAAATTGGCCAAGTACGTACAGCAACAATTCAAATTGAAAGATAACAAGTCGGACGACCTCGATGACATCAAGAAGATAGTGTCGAGCTTGGGAAGTTTGACGTTGAAGCAGGACTTGATTAAAAAGCACACCATGATCAGCGAGGCCATAATATCCAAAATCAACGCTGAATACGAAGAGTATCTCGTGTTTCAGAACGACTTGTTTGAAAATGACTACAAGTCTCATTTAGCGTCGATAAAACACTTCATAGATTCCAATTTCGACCAGCAATTAATTTTCTCCTCGTTGATATTGGTATCGATAGTGAACAACGGGATCAAGGAGCGTGATTTCGAGTGGATCCTCCAGGACTGTATGGATTTATTCGGACTAGAGACGGCTTTGGCCCTCGAAAAATTGATAACCTACAAATTGATAAGGCTCCTCCATGAAAGCTCGGGTGATTTTTTCAGCAACTTGGGAATTACTTCGGCACCCGAGGAGGTGGAGAAGCCCAACACCGTTGGCATTACTGCGGGTCAGGACGTCTATTCTAGTAATTATGCGTTGATCGATAAGTACTGGAACTTGCACCCAATCGATGAAGACATTGCACCAGCCAATGGTGATGACGAGGAGGACGTTTCCTTGATAGACTCGTACCAGAACCCGTCGTTTACTTTGCCATCTAATACAGTACCCATATTATACAGGCTCGTGGAGGCGCTTTACTTTCGGGACTTTTTGAAGTACAAGCCCACCAATAACTTGAAGAAAAGACCCAACTGGGAAAACCTCCAAACAGACATGTTTGGGGGAGCTACGGTGGATATAAACGTGGACGATCGCAGCGACATCCGAGGCAAACGGGTCAATGGCACCGAAGCCCAGCCGCGAGGCTCAGAGTACTTGGTGATCGTATTGCTTGGAGGAATAACCCGAGCAGAAATAACCTGTTTCAAGTATCTACAGCAGAAGTTGGACCGCCACAACAAGCGGAAGAAGTTGGTGGTGTTGACCTCGGGAATTGTCAATAACAGGTCCATGTTGGAGTTTTTCACCGGGTAATGGAGTTTTTAACCGGGTAATGGAGTTTCCGAAAAGAAGCACATGGAGTTGGAAATAGAAATAGCTGGTTTAAATGGAGTTTCCACAGCCCAAACATTAGCATATCTCGACTGATCAAAACGATTGTAAGGCCTCAAGCCAGCTACGGAAAGAGAATCTGTGAGGCCTGTAGAAATGTAGTCCCACTGTGCGCTGGTCCTCAGTCCACGTTTGTAGGAGATTCCATGGACTCCTTCGTTTTCTCGAGGCCAGTTCGTCGTTCGCCTCTCGATGTTCGTTAATTATTGTTCCAGTCTCTCGATGCTTCTGAGGCTTGGTTCTTTGTCGTTGTCCATCGTTCTTTCAAGTTCTCGATCCTCCCTTCTCCAGTCTTCCTTCCCCATTCCAGTCTTCTCCATCCCCTCCTCCAGTCTTCTCCCCTCCTACAACTGGTTCAAATATCGTTTATTACTATAGACAGTTGTCTTCTAGAACCAACCGAGTATCGATGCATCCCTATTGGGCTTCGGCTTCTTTTTGAGCCTTCAACTGAGCATAGTAAGCGTCTCTCTTGGCCACAAGTGGCTTGTGTTCAAATTCCCAGTAGGCGGCTCCCAACACGAAGCCGACACCGAAACCAATGCTGATGTCGGTGATGATCTTTCTTCTTAAAGTTCCAGTGATAGGTGCAATGGCCATGGTGTGTGTCAATGAATAGTTGCAGTTGGTGCAAACGGGCTCACTTTTGTTAGCTCGATCAGCTCATTTTTTCCGCCAATCAGCTGGCGCGTTTACCAGCCGTGGTTAGCGCGGCGGCGTGTGCCCACCGTTTTTTTCATGATGGTCCCATAGTTAATTCTCACCCGGGGTTTGCTGACCACCACACCTCATCCACCATGTTGCCTAGATTGTCCTCTAACTCCCTCAGCGCTGCCAGATTGACCAGAACCTTCCGTTCCTCTGCTGTCGCCAGCAACGCCGTCTACGGTTCCCCAAAGACCGGTCCTTACTCCAACTTGCCATTCAAGGTCAAGGACAGAAAGATTCCTTTCGGTTTGTTCTACTGGTCCATCACGGGTCTCTTCTTTGCCTTCCCATTCTTGTCCACCTACTGGCACATGAAGAAGGCTGGTTCTTTTGATATGTAAGTCTGAATAGCCCCATGCATCATCCACACACAGCCTTGAAACTGCCCTACATCCACTGGGTATGTTAAATACATACACATCAATACACATTTGAACAGATTTCAGCGGAATCGCTACTGTAGGATATGAATTTGTAATATCACAATTAGCCTGAATTGTCAGAGTTTTTTGCTATTTTTCTACGTATGTCCTACCATTTGACAAATTCTCTTATTCTAACCTTTAATTATGCTGTTCTACCATTTGGCAAAATTCTCTTCTTCTAACCGTTAATTATGCTGAATTACTCTACCATTTGTAAAAATTACTCTCATCCTACTTTTCACCACTAACAACCCTGAATTTTTCTATCATATAATTCCACTCCCTCTATCACCAATTATGAATTCGGTTTGTTTCAGTTCTCGTTAATTCTCTATTGCCACTTACTAAATCTTGCTGAATTGTTTTGTATGTGGTAATTCGTCACTTCACAATATATTGAATTTTGTACCGCATCATCAAATATATCAACGCTGAAGTACTATCCGTCACTTCACTAAATAATTCTACTGTTTCCTGACTGGCTCACTACTTCTACACTGATATTATTTTGGTTTTGTAGTGTCTCCTACTTGTTCTTTAAAGCTTTTTCATATTTAATTCAGTTGTACTGTCTATTTATTCTCTCGATAACATTTCTATCTGTCTAGTCACTCACTAGCTTTTTAATATGAGTTCTGTTGACTCTGTCACTGTCTCTGGTATTTATATCAAATTCTTTCACTTTACTTAGTGTGATGTTTTGCGCATTTCTACCACTTTTCGTAGAGCTTTACTTCTAGAATTCTGATTCCAATTTAGTTAACAGTAATTATCAGTCAAATGGGAACAGCGGTGGAAGAAATCAACCGAGTAATTCAAAAATACATAGAGAATAGGACTATTAATTGAACCTGATTATTTGTTCAAAGTGAATCTTTCCATTAAATTATTCAATCTACAAATTCGCCTACCCGCTCTCATTTGTAACACCCATTCCAAGATAAAACGATTCTAGCAAATTCTCGTAGAACCAAGTAACCTACGTCGGTTCTCATTTATAGTAACTCTTGCTATTCTTCTGAGGGAAATTCATTACATCAAGAATAAAATGAGCTAGCACCTTCAGGAGATTTTACATAATGTGTATTACAATTTCTGAGCTGATAGCAGTTCTTATAATGCTAAATCTCAACTCTCAATTATGGTATTATATCTTATGAATTATATATCGAATCTGACTCTTTTGACGACTCTTGCACCATCTGAAGCTTTACGCTTGAGAATCGACGGCCTCCTGGGCTCTATTCCTGGTGCTGTCATGTTGTACAACGCTTCCAGTCTAGGGGGAATCATTCCCGTACCGGTACGCATGTAGTATTGCATTTGGGGTATAACATGCTCCTTTTCTTGTGACGTCTCTCCATCAAAAGTAGGCTCATAATCGTCCTCTTCGTCTTCTACCGAAGCTGGCTCGTTGGAGTGGAGTGCCACTTCTACTTCAGGCGAAGGTGACCGCACTGGAGGTAAGGGAGGATCGTATGCGTCCTCATCCTCATCCTCCTCTTGCATTACATCAGATTCAGTATTCAGTATACTTTGCGGTATGCCATCGTCTGAATCAAAATCTTCTGCATTGTGGGCCTCGACTGGAGTTTCTTCATCCACAACTTTTTTGAATTCGGGAACAAGGTTGGGGGAAGATTCTTCCACTTCAGGCACCAATTTATCGGACAGTTGTTCCACTTCAGGTACTATTTTGTCGGATGTTACTTCAAGTACAGGCTCGTTTGCTGGTTCTTCGGTCTCGGAGGATGAGTCTCGGGAGGGTACTTCCACTGTTTGTTTCGGTTCCAGGGCATGGTCCACAACACCATTACTCAAAATAGAGTCCAGAAAGTTGAAAGAACCAAAATTCATTCCTAAGCTCAGACTCAAGTCCACAGTAGGTTTTATGGGCTCTTGGGGCTTTGTGGGTATTGCCTTAACCACGGGAATCTTACCCCATGATTGAATGAAATTGACTATTTCCGGGTTGGCCTTGATGTCTTGAGTGATGTTTGTGAAGTATAATGGGTTGGGCTTAGCATTCAATAACACCTTGTTAGCTGCTATGAATTCTCTGATTTTGGACCGTTTGGCCAAGAGCTTCTGTTTCAGCTCTTGTTTAAGTTTAATCGCATGTAATTTCTCATGTACTTTCTTCATGAGGGTTTCCTCTTTGATAACCTGCTCTTCTAAATCCTTTCTGACATTTTGAAAGTTGGCATGGTATTTCTTTACGTTAGCTTCGAATTGCATGGTTGGGGTGGAGTCTGCATCGCTACCTCTCATATCAAACATGATTCCATCTAGAGTCTCGTTGATCATGGATACCAAGGTATTTCTATGTGCTTCGCCCTGGTTGACGCTCTTCACGTCTTCCTCGGTGATCAGGTCGGTGTTCGAGAGCAAGTACTCCGCACCTTGGTTGAGCTTGATGATCAAGAGCAACAAGCTTCTGCCCTCTTTCATTAGCCAGTCTGGGGCAAGCCTGAACTTCTGGGACACGGCTCCAGGCCCAGCAGTGGTGGGAGGCGGCGTCGAGCCGTTGATGGAGGTGGCCTGTATGATGAATTTCTCGATCTTGCCGAGTATGGGTTGGGGGAAGAGTTCTGAGCCGGTGTTTGTTTTTGCATTTATCCAGGTCTTAAACAAGTTTATGAGATGCTGTCTGGTGGGAGTGTCTGTGACGATGGAATAGGTTTCTGTGAAGGTTTTGAATAGATTCTTGCCAAAGATAACGTTGTATGGATTCCCCACGTTTTTACATATGGAATCCAATAGATACATGGCATTGAGCTTGTGCTGGGGAAGACACTTCTTGATGCGGGTCTCAATCATCTCACATATCTCGTTACATTTGTCCACGTTTCGTTCGGCAATGTTGGTCAAATCGGTGATGACTGCTCGGGAGTTGATTGTCAAGGAAGCCAATTGCTTCTGGTAAAAGTCTGGATTGAACTCGTCCATGGTTGATGCTGTCGTTTCTCTTTATATGTACATAGTCCTCTGACTCCTTAGTTAAATGCCCCAAGCCTATTACACACCAAAGTACATTTAAATGGAGGCCCAGAGAAACACACACTCTGTGGCTGAGAAGAGAAGTTAGGAAGAGATTACGAAAACAGTCGCCAGATACACGAGGACGGGTTACTGGTTGCACTTGATGGTACAAGTTGGATTGACTGGCCTTACCGTGGTATAGTTAGGAGGGTACCAATTTGTTTCCAGCGCAGGCGGAAAACTTTTATAGCTGATGGGCGACATTTTTGTCTGCAGGAGGGCATCCAGGTGTCGCGCGGTTTGGCGTAAAGAACCGCGACACTGTTTCGGTGGCTGCTTTGGGGAATGGAATCGTGCTCTGCCTGGTCCGTTTTCTGACCCCCAACGTTCTGACTCTGCTAGTGTGGGGTGTTCTTGTGGGTGTAGCCGAGTAGTAGCTTTTCCCAACGAAGTCCCGACTTTCCGCATCGCAGTTTCCAGTTTTCCCTTCTTCGCCAGCGTCGTGGGGGCTGCTCTGCTCATGGCCAGGCACACCACTGCAGCTACTGCCACCGTCCCTGCTGAGTTGCTCAAGCTCGTACCGTACGCTCCTGGCCCAAAGCAACTCTTTTCTTGCAGCCAATAGCAACTCGTTTTGGAGGTGGATCTTTTGCACCAACTGGATGTTGGCGGTTCTGTAGTTCTCAAGCTGGGCCGCCATGCCACTCCACTGCAGCTCAGCAGCCTTCACTACTAGCAGTACCAGCAGGAGTCCCAGACATACGAATTTCTCGAGGTCAGGAGGAACAGAGCCGAGGTCAACAGTGGCAGCACGGCTATCACAGACTGGACACACGAAAGGAGGCTCAGGGACGTGGTTTTGACAGAAGAAGTGCATGCAAGAGGTGAGTACGATACTTTTGGCGGTGGAACAATCGATGTAGCAGACGCCACATAGGCGGGGGATGGTGTTGGTCATGGCAGTTGTGGGAGTTGTTGCAAATGGAACTGGTGTCACGTGGAAATGAAGTGGTGGATGTGTTATGTGCAGGTGCAAGGTTGGGGGTTGTAGATTCAGGATTTAGATGAATTGGGCTTCTGGAGCTTTGAAGAGGAGTAGTTGGGTAGTAAACTGCTGGGCTTGTGTTCAAAGGATTTTTTTCACAATTCTGGTAAATTTTGTAATTCTGGTAAGGCAGGATTAAATAATGAGAGGTTTGTTGCGAGAGAACTGGTAAGTATGAAACCTTATTCTCTTTCTGCGTGATACTTTCGCTGTCTTCCGGGTAAGCGTTCCAGCCGTACCCTTGTAGCCTAACTCTAGCCTAACTCTAGCCTACTTCTGCCGACTGTCATCACTTCCAGATCAGGTGACTCTCAGTCACGCGCACCGTAAATCATCCCAACAAAGTCAAGACGATGTTGTGCCGGCAAATCCTGCAGTTCAGTCCATTGAGGGACGAGTCACTGGCTGCTTGGAGGTTTCTGAAGTCTGGACTTCATCCAGAGCCATAGTATGCTTTGAAAGCCATGGGAACTACAAAAGCTATGGAAGTTAATGAGATCGTAGAGAAAAGCTACGAGAACGTAGAGAAATCGTACTGCTCCACCACAATCCTCCTCACACATATCCTGTAGTACTTGCACCCATTGAACAATATTGATCCGCCCCAACCACCTCCATCTACAGCCCAACCACCAAGAGACTCAGGTCACGTGTGCGACTCAATGAGTCAGATCCGGAAGCGGCTCCGCTCCGGAAGCGGCCACGACCAAATTTTCCACCAATCTCGACTATATAACCCCCACCATTCCTCGTTTTCCCACCACCAAAAATGATCAGAACTGCTGCTAAAAACTCCGCCCGTGCGTTCTCCACCAGGGCCCCCGCCTTGGACAAGATCAAGGTCAAGAACCCCATCGTCGAGTTGGACGGTGACGAAATGACCAGAATCATCTGGCAAGTCATCAAAGACAAGTTGGTCAACCCATACTTGGATGTGGACTTGAAGTACTACGACTTGGGCATTCTCGCCCGTGACAAGACGGATGACCAGATCACCATTGACGCAGCCAATGCCATCAAGGAGTACGGAGTGGGTGTCAAGTGTGCCACCATCACTCCAGATGAGCAGCGTGTGGCCGAGTTTGGGTTGAAAAAGATGTGGCTCTCGCCAAACGGTACTATCCGTAACATCTTGGGCGGCACTGTGTTCCGTGAGTCCATCATCATCCCCAGAGTGCCCAGATTGGTGCCTGGTTGGGAGAAACCAATCATCATTGGAAGACACGCTCATGGAGACCAGTACAAGGCCACCGATTTGGTGATTTCTGAGCCTGGTAAGTTGGAATTGACCTTCACTCCCGCCAACGGAGGCAAGCCTGAGACCAGAACCGTCTACGACTACAAGGGTGCAGGTGTAGGCTTGGCCATGTACAACACTGACGAGTCCATCCGTGGATTTGCCCACTCGTCGTTCAAGACTGCGTTGGCATCCAAGTTGCCATTGTACTTGTCCACCAAGAACACAATTTTGAAGAAGTACGACGGAAGATTCAAGGACATTTTCCAGGAAATCTTCGAGGCCAACTACGCCAAGGACTTTGAGAATGCTGGCATCTGGTACGAGCACAGGTTGATCGACGACATGGTGGCACAGATGATCAAGTCCAAGGGTGGTTTTGTCATGGCGTTGAAGAACTACGATGGTGACGTGCAATCGGATATTGTTGCACAAGGCTTCGGATCTTTGGGCTTAATGACCTCCGCGTTGATGACCCCAGATGGAAAGGCCTACGAGGCTGAGGCTGCCCACGGAACCGTCACCAGACACTTCAGACAACACCAACAGGGTAAGGAAACCAGTACCAACTCCATTGCTTCGATTTTCGCCTGGTCCAGAGGTATTGCCCAAAGAGGTAGACTCGACCAGACTCCAGATGTCGTTGACTTTGCCAACCTCCTTGAGAAGGCCACCGTGGACACCGTCCAGGTCGATGGTATCATGACTAAGGACTTGGCTCTTGCCTGTGGTAAGACCGAGAGATCTGCCTACGTGACCACCACCGAGTTCTTGGACTCTGTAGCTGATAGAGTCAAGAATGCCGTCAACAACTAGTTATGGGGATAATTAATGGAGTTTGCTAGCAGCGCTAGTGAACGTTATAGAAGTACTCAGCATTATCTGTAGAGGTAGATAATTTTTTGGGAAAGGGTGGTTTGACAGGTAGTAAGCATCTCGACATTTAGCGGGAACTTGCCACTAGACTTCAAGATTTAGAAGCCTTTAGTCTTGCCACAAAATTACTCTGATTCCCACCCCTTTGAGATCACACTAGAAACTGTTCTACCCGCAACTGTTTAAGTTCTGTAATTACAGGAGGGACGTATAACTTCGCCAGTTTATTTCCAGCTCTTCTAATTACTGCTTTTTCAATCTTTCTGCGTCCTGACAGCGTCCCAATGCCGCTAGTTGAAATTAGTTCATTAGTTCTAATTTCTCTAAATCCTTCTGCATCACGGCCTTTTAACTCCGCTGAACTTGACAGATCTCTTAATTCTCTATGAATCTAACAATTGGCAGGTACCTCAAGCTCGTGATCTGCTGAGACCGATGTAGCAGTCTATTGCTAGATTTCGCTAGTGCTTATTTTATGTTATTTTATGGGGATTTCTTGAGCCCCAGAAATTAATTCAGGTATTTTGGGGCCGTTAATTGCTCAGATTTTGTCCAAATTCTCTTGAGATGAATATTAATCTGGAAGGCCGAAAACAGCGTTCTTGATGACCGCTTTTGACTATAGGGGCAAAAGTCGAGGACAACTGCATCACCTGCTAAAATTCTGGCTAATGGCTACTTCTTGCAGACACTTCTTTTAGGTTTATTTTTTTAGTTTTGATTACACCCTTTGTAATGTGACAGTATGTGAATCTAATAACGGTACCGTGGTTTCCGCCACACCCACCAGGTGATGCAAAACGCACATTTCACTCTCAAACCAAAAATTTGTGGCTACAATCTAGTGAATTTTAATGGAACCGTCATTGCCCCAATATCCTCAATTAAGGTCAGAGCTTGCATTGTTGTGCTCTGCATCGTTTCGTAAACTAATGGTACCCTGCTTGCGAGACAGGTCCATTATTTTACAACTTGGTGACGCCTTGCAGCATGTATTATATGGTGTCTCTAGACAGGTTGCATATCACATCGTTAGTGGCGTGGAGCCATTGTCATCTGGCTGCAACCTCTAGCCTTTCGTAAATATACTTCTAACAGAGAATGAGGCGAAGCACACAGTTGGTGGCCATAGCAAGGATCGAAAGGCGTAGCTAAGCTTCTTGAGACTAGATCTGCTCAACCGGTTTGGCCAGCCAAATAATATTCTCTAGACCTTCTCCACTAGGCCAGACTCGGGGTCATTGTCGTCCAACACCTGCCATAACCCATGCAACAAATAGTAGGTGCCTATGGAGAGCAAGCATATCTTAGCGAACGGCTTGCTGAACTGTCTGTAGAAGACCGACTAAGGTTAGTATGCACGAGCGTGTTCTCTGTATGGAACCTGACCGTTTGACACGCAATAGGCTTTCAGATGTACGTACGTGGGGCAGGAGCGTTTGGGTTTGCGTCTGCTCAGCTTGAGGCTGATGGTCTGGCATCGGCTTCTTGCTGTGGGGGGCACTCAACATGCGGATGCGGCTGGCTCTCGCCGCACGCCCCAACTGGAGGGCCTGTGTTCTAGTCAAGCCTGGTTTGGGAAACATGGTGCCTGGCAAATTTTTGATTTTCACTCGAATGACAATTTTGGTTGCTGCACCTATGCGATCTGGAGTAGTTTTTGCCTACCTGTGGAGAAGTGGGGGACGTTTGCATTGAAGGTGTTGAGACAAGTATCGGAAAATAATCTATCGCCGAAGACTTCAACCAGTTGGTTCAGGTACGATGGGTTATTTCCCAGAGGAGAAACCACATAAAGGGCGCAAAAAATACGCCAAGTCGACGAAGCAGCAGCGTTGGAGGCCCACAGTGGCAGCGAACCTCAATGGGGATTTGGGGGCCTGATCGTACGACTGGAACTGTCGGAACAGCTACGGAATCGCCGGTACCCCTTGGGAGGGCGTGTGCCAACCGGGTGGTATTGTTGAACCCTGGTGTAATTAGCACAAACCTTAAACGGAGATGGAAGAAGTCTGGAAGCCAATCTGGAGGGATTTCTCTGGTCTTCTAAGCCATTGTCGACAGAAATAAATGTCGCTGCTTGGATGATTTTTGATGTAGAAGCACCAGGGGCTATATCTTATCGGATTTATCCGCCTGTCACTAGCCAAAAGGGGCCTCACTATGGTGTGATGGGACCAGCGTTTTCACGAGGATTGCAGTGGATGGGCAGATCTGGTGGGGGATTGACCGTGGAACTCGCCAAAAAACACCCACAAAGGTGTCTGTATCGGTGATCAGCATGATAATCCTTCGTCTGGGATCTACAAGACGTGGAGGACCGATTTGGAACATGGGTCGGGTTTTTCCTGAGCCTCAGACGGCTATGCAGGTAATCACTATTCCCAATGGGGACAGAAAGTGATATCAGTGGTGGTCTGGCTTGCACATAGCAGCAAGGGGTGGGGTTACAGAAGCTCGGCTGAAAAGCGCGTGGATGTCATGGGTGAAGAATGGGAGCAGGGGAAGGTAGTCCACGGATAAGGGGAACCACGATAAGGGCACATAAGGCTCCGTGGTACCTTGTCGCTAGCACATGTCAGCTGAATTCCAGGCACCCTTCGTCGAGTCCTGGTCAAATTCTCGTGGCTCGTGAAATCCTCGTGGCTCGTCGATCCTGCTCTAGAATCACAATAAGCCATAGACTATCTTCCTTGCAGACCGAGATACGACGCTCACAAAAGAAATGGCCCAAAACGATATTTCCAAACTAATATTTTGTAGCGCAGCAAGAATTATTCGGTTTCAAGAAAATATGTGACAGTTGGGGGACAATACTCAGGATGGTGTCTGACACCTGCTGGGGGACTGCCTGGCCAGGTGGAAGATGGCAAGGCTAACCTGTATAGCCGGACTATCCATGTAGGGCCATCAGCTGATTACCTGCCAGACAGAGTCTCACCTGGAGCGCCATCCTTAGTGCTCCACTTCAGAACAGCAACTGCCGCTTGACGTAGATTTAGGCCCACACGATCTCATTGGCCATACGGGCGCTTGATCTGGTACAGCCTTGCACCAGCCCAGCCATGCGATCCACGCAACCGAGCCAGAATAAGGTTTGCGGTGGCAGGTGGTAATTGGGCTCGAGACGAACTGGAATTAGCCTAGACCTGGAGGTCCCTCCGTGTGGTGATCTTGGCTGGCGGTGGTGAAAACCTGGGTAGGAGCCCCCACGCCCAGTCCCGGTTGGGGGCCATCGAGTGTTCCTCCCCACCACCACGTCACACCTGGAGGAGTGTGGTTGGTGAGAGGGGCATTGTCTATCTAGGCATGCAGATAGTCGTGGGTTTAGTGTGCTATTGTGCGCATGCATGCATTTGGGGCTATTGTGCCCATAATTGAGTCTATTTGGCAGACAATCGTGAAGGCGGCCTGGCAGCAGGAACTGAATTGGCACTGACGGGACGTCGAGACAATCGACACTACAATAGTTGGAGGTCACTACCCACAATAGTCGGTGCCACTACCCACAATCGTTGGTACCACTGCGCACATTCGTCAGGCAAGTCCATCTCCTCGTCGCAATCCCCGATCCACCCCTCCCGTCCATCGCCCCACCCACCTGCGTCCTGCACTGGCATGCCCGCCCCGCCGTTTCTAAGCCTGTGCGGGCTCTTATATATGCTGGCGTCCTGGCTGATCTTGCCGTGATTAAAGTTTTCGCATTCATTGCCTGAACTCCCTGCGTCGTTTCTTTTAATCAACGGCTTGCTATCGCGTAGTGAGCCAGATTCGAACAGCAAGTGGATATATAAACCAGGCCAGAACGTTTTTCACATCAAGTATCTGAAGTTGCTGCGTATTTATTCCGCAGCTAGCACCATCCGCTAGACCCTGAGTATCACTGCTAGCCACGCTAGACCACCGCTAGCACCACTGGCTTTTCTGCACCACTGCTAGTGCGACCGACACCTACTGGAAACTCACTGCAACCGTCCCTCCCCTGGAATCTACCGAATCTCCCACTGAATCTCCTGCCTACCGAATCATCCCCCGCTGGAAACTCACTGGAACCATTCTTCCGCTGGAATTTACTGGAATCCCCTACTACTGAATCTCCCACTGAATCTCCCTACGCACTAGGAACGTTTCCACCGTCCTACCACTCCCACCGGACGTCTCACTCTCCCTGCCACTACCAGTGAGACCCGCACCGGGAACCATCCTACCCCTACCGAGAACCATCCTACCCCCCGAGAATCATCCCACCACCCCCGTACAGCTATACCCTATTTCACTACCCTGCAAACACACCACTCCCAGCGAATCATCTCACACCGCCACCCCTCCCACCATGCTCCCCCTGTACTATCCCCCAGCATCTCCCTACTCCCAGTATCCCGCGGCGGTCACCCCCCGCCAGCCTCCCTACGCCCCTCCATCCCACCACCGCGCGCCAGACCCTCCCGCGAGGCCACCCCCCTACGACTTCCCGCCCCAGCCCCTCAACCAATACCCGCCCCACCCCTACTACTCCGTCAGCTACCTCCACCATCCACTCCTCCCTCCCGCAAACGTGGACATCTACACGTCCAGGCCCCCCCAGGCGACCTTCAGGACCCACAAGAAGGCCCACTCCTACGAGGCAGCCAACTTCAACAGTCTCGCCACCAACACCGCAAGCTTCACCAACACCACCAGTAACCCCAACAACTCCACCACCACCTTGGCGTCTCCTATGCTCCCGCTTGCCAGGCCCAGAAAGCCCAAAACTTCCACCTTGATCTCCAACTCCACCATCAACTACCCAACCCACCAGTTGGGCGCCAACCCCCAAATCCCCCCCAACAAGCTACACGAGCTCAAGACTGGCTTGTACCCCACCATCGAGGTCAAGAAGTACCTGACGCTGGCCATCGACCCTGTACGCAACTACTTGACGGTGTACGAGTACCTGGTCAACAACCACTGGATCATCTGGGACTACGAGACGGGTTTTGTCCATTTAACAGGCATCTGGAAGGCGTCGTTGAGCGCGTCCATCAGCGACAACATCGCGTCGCTGGCGCCTGCAGCAGCTACCTCTAGTTCGTCACTCAAGGCCGACATCGTCAAGCTCCTTGAGTCCACCCCCAAGCAGTACCAGCCATATATCAAGCGCATTCGAGGCGGCTTCCTCAAGATCCAAGGTACCTGGTTGCCGTTCAACCTCTGTCGCGTGTTGGCACGCCGCTTCTGCTACTACATCCGCTACGAGCTCATTCCAATCTTTGGCGTGGACTTTCCCGAGTACTGCCTCAAGCCGTCGGATCGCGGCTTTGGCGAGCTCAAGTTGGACGACGTGCCCCACGACCACCACCAGCTCGACTACTTTGTTCCTCCCCAGCTCCATGAAAATGAGTCCAGAAGGAGCTACCAGGAAGTTGCATCTCCGGAAAAGCGAAGGCGTACCAGCACCCTGGTGTTCGATTCCAGGCTCAAGGAGCCCAAGGGGAAGCTCCTCCCGTTGCCCCAACCCACATACATGTATTCGTGGGGCGAGTCTCCCTCGTCATATACCCCCCAGCGAGGCGAGCCTGTCACGCCCATCAACACACAGCTAGCACGCTATTCGTTGGGCCAGCAGGGTTCCACGTACTCCAGCTCTTCGTCAGCATCTTCAGCGTTGTCTGCCCCGGCCAGACAGCCTGGCGACCCCGAAATGATGGACATCGTGTCGGCATCACGGTGCTTGCAGTCGCTCCGCAAGCCCAGCCACACCTCGCCAATCGCAGGGCTGGGAGAACACGAAGAATCCACAAGTCAAAGCTACACAATCACCACAGGCGAGTCCAGCGACACCGAATTGCCTCCCAAGAACAACAGGGGCATTTCGTCCATTTTGCTCGCAGCAGGCATGGCAGAGCCTGCCTATGCAGCTAAGGAAGACGATATCAGGTCCGATACCGGCCAGGCGCCGGTATTGCGGCGGTCCAGCATGAAGATCAACGATCTTTTGACTTAGTTTGTATTTACTCTTCAGTTCTATCGTCTATAGGTGTCAATATACAACCGGTGAGATCGAGTATAGAGGATGGAGGGGATAACGATGTAATATCCACGAAGAGCAGGATGTGCTCTTGTAACATTCTGTAAAACAATTCGGTGATTTCCGTTTCTACTCCTTCGTGTAATTGGACTATTAATTAATTATAGACTTATTTGTTCAATATGCTCATGTAATGGGACATTATTCATTTTTATTTCTACTTCATCCTCATCTAATGGTTAATTAGTATAGTCCTCTCTGTCTTGCGAAGCCATTTGCCCGTGTTGTCATCTCTTAAAAATTCCATTCATTTGCCACTAACTTTACTGATGGCAAGTGAAGTTGGGCTGGCGACAGGAGAAAATATTTAGGCATCTTAGCTGCAATAACTCCGAACGTACTGATAATCGGCCATTTGAAGCCAGTATTCCTAGTCATTTGGGAAATCCAAACGTACCTATAAGTTAAAGAATATATTGTGATGGTGACCTGAGTCAAGCAGATATAAATAGAGATCATTAGACTCAGGCAACAGATAATATCCGAGACAAAATACCAAGTGTAGTTAAAATACCTTTACTGGTATCACAAATACCAATTGTTGAAGAAAATAAAACTATAGTAATTATACTCTTGAATTTGTACGATTGCAAAGATTATATAACCAAACCACTCGGGTACCTAAATTTTTGACAAACAATCTCGAATGTCCTCGCAGTAGGAGTTGATGGTGTGAATGGAACCGAACACATACCTTCAACTAACAGCAAATCAAGATTTATAGTGTGGGACATTTTTTATGCACTTCATTTGCTCAAGTTGAAGTAGATCAGTTTAAAATAATACGAGAACAAAGGACTTAGAGAATTTATTGAATTGCCAGAATAAGAGTACTCAAGTTACAAAAACTTTAGGATTGTGGTTGAAGTGACAGGTTATGGGATATTTTCAAGCCACCAAAATAGGAGGGCCATTGAAGTACCAGAATAAGAGATACCAAGATGGATACAGTTAAGTTGTCAGATATCTATGCATCAACTGGCCTGCAACCTGCAACGGTGGATATTGCTTTCCCTGTAAAACGCCCCAAACTCCGTACTCATGTAGTTTATAGCTCATGTGAGTTGTTGGAGACCGGAAGGGTCCTGTGACAAATCACTACCGACCTAATTAACACCAATGCTTAGTAATTTTGAGGGGATTCGGTGTGGTAAGTTACGTATCACTAGAACTGGGCTGGAGAGCGGCCTTACAGTATCATTTATAGGTTATTATAGCAGTAATTAGCTCCTCGCTTGATACAAGCATTACACCGAAACAAGGGTTTCCACGCAGGCTAAATAGCTCACGCTATTAATAATACAGCTGACATTAATACACAGCTGATATTAATAATCCGCTCGATATAAATAGCACGCCAAAATAACTCACCTAAATGCACAACAGAACTGGATAGAATGGCTCACCTATAGTAAAACGCCCCCATCTCCAGTGGTTCGTATACTAGATATAGGGATTACAGAGAAAGTCAGGGATTGAGAGAAAATTAAGGTTAACTACGCAGAAATGAGTTAACGATCAAGAGATACTCGAGATATCAGCAAAGGATTACCAATCCAGGAAAACCGCCCTGTATAGTAGCACCCTGTATAGTCTAGTAGCCCCTAGATGTTCCAGCCCCACCTCCATCCTGTTTCCAACAATTCTCCCGAATCCTTCTGGAAGGAGTGCACAATGGAATTCCAGGCTGCGCAGAAGCACTCCGAGGCCCAGCCGCAATCGAAGTTCAGTCACCATCCTCACTCCCATCCCTCCACCACGGAAGTACCAGCAAGCTTCCACTGCTCGTAGTGACCTCCACCACGCCAGCTCCCCTCCACCTATTCGTAGCCCTTTCCACTGCCAGACCCCCATTTCATCTTCCTCGCAGACATCTCGAGCGCAAGCAACGTTCGCTGCCTCCCCAGTTGCCCCTTCTGCGCGTGATCAGAAGCCCCTGGGCCCCTTCGAGAGCGATCTAGACCGATACTCGAAGCCAGATCCACAACAAGCATGCACACCAAGCCGCTAATGAAGGGTGGCATCCCAAAGAGAGATCCGCAGGCTCGCTGGTGGTGGAACGGTGGGGTCCAATTGGGGCAGAGCTGGCGTGGGCAGGTGCGTCCCAATGCGTCCCAATGCGGTACCGACTTGTCCCAAATGGTACAGCTGGGATTGCTGAGCAAGGAGGGTGGTGGGAGGTAATTGGGCGAGGCGTAGCCTCGCTGTGGACATAGCGTCCCTGGGAGTAGCCTCACTGTGCTATTGTCCCTGTGTCTGGACGTAGCGTCCCTGGAATCCTCGCTGGAGGCATTGCCACCGCCGTACCATCCGCGGTGCCACCCACGCTAGCGCTCGCTAGCATGCTTTCCCCTATTGGCCATGAATTACATCTAACTATGATAATTGCACAGCTACAAGGATCAGCAGTCAAAGATCAATAGTCAGGTCTACTACCGATACGCCAATGTAATGTCTACTACCGATACACCAATGGTTATTACAGCTATCCATGGTGTTAACATGTAGGCTACTGTACCGCGCGCTCTCCCTACACCTTTCGCCCTACGCTCCCGCACTCTCACTAGCTCTCCCTAGCTCTCCCTGGCCCCCCTAGCCTACCACCACCAACGCGCATCTTCATTGCAAACATAACTCCAAGGCACCCTCCCCCAGCATATTCACGGTATTCTGACGGCGTCCCCACGGCAACCACGGCATCTCCCCTATCCCCACGGCAGCTCCCTCCATCCATCCTTCCCGTCCTCGCTACGGTCACGCCGAGTCGCCATGAGCCGTGACAGAACACGAGAAAGAACAACAGTACCCGCCAGTGGCATGAGCGTCCACTCGCTCATCGGCAGGTTCCAGGAAGCAGCATCTGCATCGCAAGCACCTCTGTTTCTGGCACCTTCGTCGCTGGCGCCTCCGTCGCTGGCGTCTTCCCACCAGCCTGCCTCCTCCATCCACACCTCCATCCCGTCGTCCCACCCCACAGCCAAGTCAGAGGGCCACACCCCTGTCCCTCCCGACATCTCGTCCACAGGACTCTTGTCGTTGCTTGGTCCGTCGGTGTCCTCGTTTCCGTACTCAGAACAGGCATACATCGAGAGCGTCAAGCTACGAAGCGAGCAGGAACGCACCAAACAGGAGTTCTACAAGCTCGAGATCGCGTCCAAGAACTTGACCATCCTACAAAATGCATTGAGGGCCCAGATCCCCGTCAATTTGATCCCGTTGATGTGTGTGGGTGACCTTCCTCCCGCGCCTGTGCCGCCACAGGCGTCCCTGGCGCCTCTGGCGAGCCACCAGCAGCCCCAGACCAAGACTACACCCGTGCAAACGCCCAAACCGGTGCCAATTCCCGTTATCAGCGAGGAATTGGAAGGTAAAGATGCTTCCCACTCGCGCTCCTCGAGCAGAGACTTCGACATCACCCCCACGGGACCTCCCATAGGCTTCAAGTTCGGAGGAGGTCCCTCGCCCACGTTGAACCCGTCGAGAAGACCGCTTCTGCCTGCCAAAATCGGGGCTGCTGCCGTGGCAAACTTGGCTCTTCCCACCACTCCATACAGAAGCGTCACCTCCAACACCCGCAAAACGCGACACTCCCGGCACTATTCGATGCCAGTGGAATCATCCAGTAGAAGCACGCGGTCGGAAACCCAGGCGCAAAAAGCCAAGGGCTCCACCACAGGCCCAGGAGCCACTTCTGGGGCCGCTTCTGGAACTCCAGCTGCATCGCAAGCCTCACAGGCCCAGGGCGGAACGTCGACCATCCAGGTCAATCCTGTTCCAGCCCAACCATTGCATAAACAAAGTAAGCTGAACCAGCCACCGTCGCAAGAGTCGATGACCTCGTTCCAGCACATCATCCAGTTCCACCACTGGAAACCCGAGGGTCCAGGACAGGGCCCCAATATCGGCCTGGGAAACCCGTTCCGAGTTCAACCCCAGCTCCAACCACCCCAAAATACCCACAAAAGGCACAAGTCCAGCTCGGAATCGGTACCAGGCGAAGGTCCCACCACGCCCTTCAATCCCCAAGTCGAACGCGAGCGTAACACTAACGACACCATCGAGGAGGAAACCAGCATGACCATGGACTCCACCATCGACGACTTGAACAGCGCAGACACCAGCCTGGTGGTGCCACGCGACGATCCCAACGAGGACATCGTGGATGCCAGCTCCAATCCGCCAGGCCACAGGCGCCAGCTGCTGAATGTGGGGCGCTATCCGCACGACATCCTCTCGCCTTACACCCGATGAACAGGTGGAAGTCCAATCCATGCCTGGTCCAACCTTTAACCCGGCTCATCTCAGAATAATGATACCAAAGGTGGAAAATCTCCTGGAAACAAGTCGGACCAGAATAACGGTGTGGAAACACAACTCGGTTGGTCCCTTCTTTGAGTCCTCATGTCCTCGAACTAGACGCACGGTGAGCTCTTCATAGTGTGAGGTTAGTGATGTAAATAACAAGTAGTTTGATTGAGTGAGTTTATAGACTAATCCATGTTGCTAGGCCCTACACTATTTCTCTATGCTCGTCTGTGTCTATTGCATCCATCTGCGACTCGTCTAAATTTTGTGTCCACAACAGTCTTGCCAGCACAATACGATGGAAGGGTGAATCAGGCACATTATCTGTGGAATAATATTACTCAGCTGTTCTCGTGTAATTCGATGGTGAAAGGTGGTGAATAAAGTGGCGAAAGGTGGCAACTAAGGTGGTGAATAAAATGCTATCATCCAATCATATTGTCAATTACCTGTTTCAAAGTGACTGGGCTTGAACTGCCCTCCATTAGCGCACTCTACTATTGAACGTAGGTTAGACTGAAGTAGTGGGAATTATTTTTTGAAGACTGGCCGGGTCAATAATCATCTACCCACTTGCAGGTGAATATTATTTATACTAGACTATTATATATCACCTTAGTAGATAATAAGGGATTTTCCAAATACGTACGCAGCAATATCCAACAGGGCATTGTTCTATTGTGGCATTGTCTACGCCAAAGACAGACAGTTGACATGGCAAAAGATGGGTGCAAATTGTCTATCACTGCGAATAATATTATCCATCAAACCGATTTTTCCGGTATTCACTGATCCGGTACTATTTCTCCCACATTTAATTAATTCTATTATTTTTTAAAAGGACAACATCAACTGGCTAGATTTTCTCAGCTCAAATAGATACATCCTTACTTGTATACTTCCCCTCAATCTTAAAGGAAGCACCTCTTTTCTACATGGAACTTTAGCTAATACAAATGTGTGCTGTTTTTGAGCTTCTCGAATTTCCTCAACAAGATATTACGAATAATACATTTCACTAATTTATTCCCTATTTTTGGAGTAAATACCTAGTATACAGCATGGTTCAACTGGTCTATGAACCTTTTTATCTAATTAGCTGGCAGCGTACGCATGGTACAGCTCTTCAGCCATCACCTCGATGTCATTCAAGTCCAACGCAGTCATCTCGTCATCTTCGCCTGATCCATCAACCTTCTCAAACGTGATGTCTGCCTTCTGCAACGAGGTGTACTCCTTCCGTAAGTCATGGGCCAAGTACCGGATGGTAGCCTCCGAGAGCCCATCGCTGATCAACCAGGCACACAAGTCCTCGAGCCAGATCTTGTCGTACACGTAGTAGACGTCGTGGAAACGGAACAACTCCTTCAAGTCGAGCAACGACTTTAGCACGAGTCTCTTGCCGCCTCTGAGGTTATAGTAGACGTCTTCCCACACCTTGAGCACCATATTGTAGTTTCTGTGGAGCGGATACGATAAGGCTCTTCTCACGCCCGTCACAACTGCAGACTTCAACACATTATCAGCGTTGTTGGGATTGGGGATAGATATTTTGGAGTCGAGAAAACATATTTGAGGGGTGATTTTGCCCACTGTCCATGCACTCTCGATGTTGTGGTCACCTTCTGTCTCTCTGAGGTCGAAATGGTACGAGAACAAGAGGTTAACCAAGAGGATCAACAACTGTGGTTTGTAGGACTCGTCGATCAAGTACGACTTTCTGGGAAGATTCATCATTTTCTCCTGCTCATCCTTGGAGAACTCGACAGCCATGATCTGCTCTCGCTCGTTCTCTGGCTTTTCTTGCTGGGCCTTGTACCATTTCAAGAATTTCCGAGTGGTTGGGTTCTTCCACTCAATGAGCTCGCGGATCATCTTGTCGTCGTCGGGACTGGGGTACTTCTCCATGATGTAGTCTGCGGCGTAGAACTCGGGATCGAACTTGATGTTCTCCTTGATCAATCGCTCCAAGATCCTGTCTACGTCTGGAGTGGATTCGGGGTCTCCGAGCTCGTTGATATCGTTACCGGCCGAGAGTGACACTCCCACGATGTTGTCGTACTGATTGTTGAAGCCGTACTTGTTTCCAGTCAATTCTGGCTGTTCTTGCGTTTGTTCTTGCGATATTTCCCAGCTGAACTTCTCTCCTTCTTCCAACACCGCTTTTGCCTGGGTGTCTGGAACGCTATTTTCGACATCAAGCTCTTGGATGAGCGGACGGGAACCTCCAGGCTGAGTTTCGGCCACTTTGGCACCCTGCTCGTGGAGGTCAGCCTCACTGAGTGCTGTTCTTCTGGCTAAAAGTTTGGTACTCAAGTCCAAATCGGGGAAAAACTGACCTTTTTGCTCCTTTGGAACTTTGATCTTGACGCATTCGCTGGGCGAATCGAAGCTGGCAGAGGCTCGCTCGTCGTCGACGCAAGCATGGGGGAATCTGAGCCTCAAGTAGTATGGAGCCATGCTGAAGATGAAGGTGTCGTTGTCCACGACCATTTCCACACTGGCGGACGAAAACCGCACATGCGATACCTTGACGTCAATGTAGACATACTCGTCGTCTTGGGAGACCGTGAAGAATGGTGTGATCATGGCAGGGTGAAGTTGTATTGATGGAGTAGCTACCAATTGGTGATGAGATAGTAGCGCACGTGACCGAGGCGATGAGGTCCCACCAAGAGGAGACGGCTACGCCCAGGGGAGGAGGTTTGCGGAGAAACTAGAGACAGAGGGTGAAGAGGGCTGTGTTCCAGACTATCCCGGGCAGGGTGAAGAGCCAGCAAACCAAGCCATGCAAGAAGACACCAAAGAGTGCTTAGTAAGCGCTTACTAATACTCCTCTCACGTAAGTTCCATCACTACATTTTTCCACTCCACACCATATTCCTGTATTCCCCGATGGCACCCGTGGCAGAGAAGCTCAAGGTCCCCAGAAGGCGGTTCGTCGGCAGAACCAGCCCCGAAGTGCTGGCCGAGCCCGCAAAAAACGGCCAACAGTTGGTCAAGAACGACCGCAGACCCATAGGAAGAATCATGAACCAGATCCCCTCGGAAATCACCGAAGATGCCGAGCTCAACGAGGCCATCCGCTTGTTGCCGTCCAACTACAACTTCGAGATCCACAAGACCGTGTGGAACATCCGCAAAAACGGCGCCAAACGTGTGGCTCTCCAGATGCCTGAGGGTCTCTTGATGTACTCGATGGTGATCTCCGATATCTTGGAGCAGTTCTGCCTGGTAGAGATTGTCATCATGGGTGACGTGTCGTACGGAGCCTGCTGCATCGACGACTACACCGCACGAGCCTTGGATTGCGATTTCATCATCCACTACGCCCATCTGTGCTTGGTGCCTATCGACATCACTGCGATCAAAGTGCTCTACGTGTTCGTCACCATCAACATCGACGAGACCCACTTGATCAACACCCTCAAGTTGAACTTCCCACAGGGCTCCCAGCTTGCCACTTTTGGCACCATTCAGTTCAATCCCACCATCCACAGCATCCGCGAAAAGCTCCAAAACGACCCAGAAAAACCGCTCTATATCATCGCTCCTCAGATCAGGCCATTGTCCAAAGGCGAGGTCTTGGGGTGCACTTCCGTCAGGCTCGACAAGAGCCAAATCAGCGCCACCGTCTACGTGGGAGATGGACGGTTCCACCTCGAGAGCTCGTTGATCCACAACCCAGACATCCCTGCCTATAGATATGATCCATACTCACGCAAGTTCACACGCGAATACTACGACCAGGACCAGATGGTTAGAGTGCGGGACGACGCCATCGCAAAGGCCCAGAAAGCTGGCAAAATCGGGTTGATTCTCGGAGCATTGGGACGCCAGGGCAACCCTGTGACGTTGGCCAAACTCGAGCACAGTCTACAGGAAAAAGGGTTCCAAGTGGTCAAGATTATCTTGAGTGAGATCTTTCCCCAAAAACTAGCTATGTTTGACGATATCGATGCGTTTGTACAAGTTGCATGTCCACGGTTGTCGATCGACTGGGGCTATGCGTTCGACAAGCCGTTGCTCACGCCGTACGAGGCGATGGTGATGATGGGCAAGGACGAGTACTGGGAGGGAGGAATGTACCGGATGGACTATTATGGAAAGGATGGGTATGGAAGGGGTGGCAAGTGAGTTCACGGAGTAAATCAATTTGAACAGGTGAAAACATGTCAAGTGAACGGTGAATGTCAGTGAAGAACGTAATTACCAAGTGAAGTCAACTTATTAGGTGACTTTTAAATTCTTTTTTGGTATTCAGGTGAATTGCAACGTATTGTCTTAGGTTTGTGCAAGTTTCATTTATTATAGATGCTTTTCAGGTGAATTGCAACGTGAATATCCAGGTGAAATCATGACTATCCTGTGAAAAGTTGGTAATCCAGGTGAGCACTCAGTTGAAGCTGCTCCGTCATCAGCGTCGGAGAATGCTGCCTGCCTCGTGTTCTGATCTGGATGAACATTTCAAGAATACCTCTTAGCTCATACCTATGATGATCGTCTTCCACTGAGCTCTTCCTTCAACTTCAACATCTTTCGTCGCTACTTGTTTCATCATTTCTGCCCACCAACCTGAGCTTCATAGCGCTCCCTCAAGCTCTGGTGTCTATCGTCCTCTGATATGATTGCGGACGAATTCATCTTGAGTATCCAGCAAGCATGTAATGTATAGTAATTCATAGATATCAAGTATTCACAGTAGCACTGAAGTGGTTTGTACAGTAACTCAAAGATATCCAGAATTGTGGAGAATCCAAATTACCTGTTGAAGATTCATTGACTTTTATTTGATAAAGTAGATAATACCGGTCAAGTCTATAACAAAGTCACTGTTTGTAGTATAATGCATCCTCCCCAGACTTTTTCCGATCATTCGCTATTGCAGTTGGTTTTTGCTCCATTGCACTTTTGCCTCGTTTATCCCCTTCCTTCCACTCAGTGCATTCTTTGAAGTAATCAATTCCATTAGTAAACTCAGCTTTTCTCGAGTATGGATGATGTTTTGTTCTCTTCAATTTTTCCCCTCCTTTTATGGGGCATCTATCACCTCTCTACCTTATTGAATGAGAACTCCCTCGTTCTGGCCACCTAATAAAAGGCTAACCTCGTTCTGCGACCAAGTAAAATCAAAGTCCAAGAAGTTCTTCACTACCAAACCGAACTTGTGATAAAACTTAACAAACTCTTCCCCCGAATCATTTACAATATCATTCACAACCATTGGAGAGTTTAATTTCAATAATGATCTCTGGATTTCCAACAACGCATTAGGCAAGAATTCCTGCACCAGCACGTTGACCTTGGCCATTTCTTGTATGTTGAAGAGTTTGTTCTCTTTAATGGCCTCATAAATTGCAGGCTCGAAATCATCTCCGCTTTCTTCGTCATTGAATGGATAAATCATGTTTATGATATTGAAGTGGTCATACAATAGACATCCTTTGAGCAAGTAGTCCAATTGAATTTGAGTCAATTCTTTGGTGAGGCCGGAAATCTGTTCGTTCAACTCCAAAACTTTGTCACTGAGAATGCTTATGGGGATAATCTTTGAAAGAATCAAGTCGAGGAAGTTCTGTCTTAAGATTAGCTGGTCCTGTTTGACGTTGAAGAGCTTGTTGGTTTGTACATGCTCGTTGAATATCTCAATGGGTCTGTCAATTATGAGACTAAGGAACTCCTTGTTTTCTTTTTCGTTGAAGTTTAAAACGGTTGAAGTTGAAGTACTAGACGAGACAATTTGGTCCAAAATGGGTAACAAGTCTGCAAAATATTCAATGATCCATTCGGGTGGTTGTAGATCAAAATTGAGCTCCAACACTGCCAGGTTACTATTCTTGATGGTTAAGAATCTGGAGTTAATGACATCCAAGATACGATCTCTGGAGGACTTAATCAACTCGTTTATAGTTCTCAAAAGCTCATTGGATGAACTGAGTTGCTTGGATAGCATCAAGGAGTAAAGCTCAACCAAGTTGAAAATCGAGTAAATGGTCAATAATTTTGTTTCAGACGAAACAACCTGATTAATTCTCGATTTTACGGGTCTGGCCATTGATTTCAACACCTCATCCTTGATTTGATTTATGATTTGATCAAACTCCGCCTTCTCCTGAGTGTCCAATCCTTCAATAGTAAATATTGAAGCAATCAAGTCGGTTTCATTAACCACCACAGAGTGAACATAAGCCAACAAATCTCCAATATACCTCACGGTGTCGTTTTCTGAAATAAAGACTGGACGTGAGTTTCCGCCATGATACGAATCATGGTCGCCGGATTTCTTTCCATCGGTGCTGGTTTCGCTCAAAAATTCATCAATCAAGATTTTCGATCTTGATTCCGTGAACAGAGCCATGATTGTATTGAAATAGTTCAACTTATTCTTCAAGAATCTCAAGCACTGGTGCAAGGTGAGCAACTTTGACTTTGAGTTCAACGAGTACAAATTGGAGAGGGTCTTGTTGCAGAAGGATATGATCCGGTCTATTGAAGTGTTGATCAATTGGTTGATTTTGGACATGATTTTGAGTCCTAGTTGGGGGTTATCGATTGCAAGAAGAATAGAACAGTTCTCGTTGATTTGTTCTGCTTTCTTCAACACCTGGAAGAACTCGTCGTTTATATCACCCGAACTCAACACGTACTGCTCGTACTCGTTCAATGTGAACTTCTCTTTGAACCCAATCAACAAGTTTTTCTTCAACGAAATCATTTTCTTCTCGTCCGTCAAGGCTTTGATTTTGGAGTTGAAGCTGTTGGATGTCTCGAAGTTCTTGTCGACCTTCGAATTCAACGATTCGTTGAGCTGGTTCAATCTTGAGAGGCTTTCTTCGAGTGCTTTCAACTGCGACATCACTGGCTGGTACTCCTTGAGAACCAGGGTCTGGTTCTTGACTAACTCGCCCTCTACCTTTCCCCTCAATCTCTTTCTTGCAAGCGATCCCGTGGATCCTGGCTCGATCAACTCTTTTATGCTATCGGTTTCAGGAAACTTGTCCTCCAACGTGTTAAAGATTTCCCTGGTGAGACTGTCATTCAACTGGTTATTAAACACACGCGAGAGTCTGGAAGACAACGATGCTGTAGCAGAGGAGGACGTGGTGGCAGGCACTGCACTGGGATCAGTTCCTGTTCCATCATCTCCATTCTGTTGGTGTTGGTGTTGTTTCTTCAACAAGTCTATTGACAACTGGGCGTATTTCCGAGCCAACTCGCTCTCTCTCACAGGCTCATGTGGCTGGGAAGGTTCATTCAGCTTATCATCGAGACTCAATAAGTTTCTGGTCAAGTTGTTCAAGTTAGTGAATCGTTTGCCAAACGTTTCTATGTTGGAGGAGATGGGAAGCGAAAGTGCAGGTTGTGGCTGTGGGAGGTTTGAAGTGGTGCCTGGCTTTGCCAGGTCCAGGAACGAGTCGAAGTCTATGAAGTCCATGGCGTGCAATTGAGGAATGGATGTAGAAGGTTGGTGATTAAACGACGTGTTGGGTGTGTGGTCACGTGGTTGGTCACGTGGGTTGTATGGAAGTATAGCACGGCAACTGCTGGTGTTTCGGCAATTGCAGCGGTTCCGCTGGTTAGGGAGAGTAGATTTCGATATCAGCAAGAGTAGAAGGGCTATCAAGGCTGTAATGCTCGTGTTAGTCTTTTTTCAAAAATGTCAAAAAGTGGAAAATTTGGAAAATCGACTTCTTTCCAGCCAATATTATTCTGGTAGCAACAATTCCTACCCTACTGGATCCATACATTCCACCAGTGACCATAATTATGCTGCAGTGCAGTACCTGCAGCTATACTAGGTAACTAACATACTATGTAACTAACAAATATTTCTATTCAATTAGTGCCAATTTTTCAGTCTATTTCGCAGCCTGTAGAGTAACCCACGAACCCACTTGGGGCCTTTTTGACGCTCCCAAAGCATAACCGAGAATTGACACCTACAGCACTATTACACTTCTATCTATATGCTATAATTCTAACTAACTAATTAATAATGTGCATTCGAGACAAATACAGGTTCGGCTCCAGCGCATTTAATGGCTACGTATGGGGGCACAGCCACACTTCCACCGTTTTGGAACATGTTCCGTTCAATTCCACTGCCCACTCTGATACACCCATTCAGTGAAACATCCATACTGCTAGTTCCGCTCTCTCTCCCCCCTCTCCTTCCTCTATGGAGTCCCCACTGGTAAGCTGCAAATCTCGCGCCAGTCGTGCGTCACCAATAATGATAGCTGTCCATACTTCAGTAGGTGTGAATTGACGGTTGATTTCTCCAGATAATGGCCAAAAAGAACAAGAAGTCCAAGGCCAAGTCCGACGACAAGGCTAGCAACGAGCCCCAGGAAGTGGAGGAGACCCCCGAAGAGCCAAAAACAACTGAACAATCGTTGCCTGAAGACGAGAAAGAGGAACACATCATACATCAAAATGGTACCAAATCCACCAAGGAGTTGGAAGACAGGATCGAGCAGCTCACGTTGCAATTGAAAGAGAGAGATGAGAAGGCCAAAGCAGTGGAGTCAGAGAACAACAGCGAAGTTTCCACTAATGGGACCCCACAAGACAACACCGAGGTGGAATCGCTTCGTACACAGCTCCAGGAAACCCAGGGCCAGCGTGACAAGATACAGTCTTCCTACGATACGCTTTTGAGCCGGCTTTCGTCAATGAAGTCGGTGTTCAGCAAAATGAAGGAATCAGAGGTCGAGCTTGATGAAGCCAGGGAGACAATCAGCAAGCTCGAAGAGGAGAACGAACAGCTCAAGAACTCACAGAACGACGAACTCGTTCAAAAGCTCACGGAGCAGAATGACGATCTCAATAGCGAATGCGATCGGCTTTCCGCAGCATTGAGCAAGTCCAGAAGAGAGTACCAGACCCAAATTGACGAATTACAAGACGAAAAGTACAACTTGGAAAATCAGGTTTCCAAGCTCACCAAGAAGAGCAACGATTTAAGAGCTGAGATCAACGAAAACAATTTGATAAAAGACGAATTGACCATGGAAAACAAGAATTTGACCTCCAAAATCGAAGAGTTGATGATGTTCCAAACTACCAAGGACGAAGAGATCACGTCCTTGAAGGCCAAAGTATCCGAGCAGAATCAGAAAATGTCCGCTGGTGACAAACAGGCGGAAGATTCTCTCCGTGCAAAGGATCTAGAGATCAAAGACCTCGAGACAAAGATCGCCGACTCGTCAGAAAAAATAAGCCAGCTTGAATCGCAGCTTGAGGCATCCCAGACAGACACAGCCAAGCTCAAGGAGGACCTTTCTGCCGTGGACCAACTAAAACAAGACCTCAACAACAAGCAGCTTCTCATTGGAAAGTTGCGTCACGAGGCAGTGATTCTCAACGAGCATCTCACCAAGTCATTGACGATGTTGAAGCAGAAGGATAGCGACGAGAAGGTCATAGACAAAGAATTGATATCTAATGTGATCATCAGTTTCCTACAAATCCCTCGTGGGGACACCAAAAAATTCGAGGCTCTCCAGCTCATCAGCGGCTTGCTCGAATGGGACAGCACCCAGAAGGTGGCTGCAGGTTTGAGCCACTTGGGAGGATCTCTGAACGACGAAAACGCCAAAATTACCAGACAGAGTTTTGTTTCGTTGTGGACGGATTTCTTGGAGAGAGAGTCCACCAGGGGAACATAGCATGCCAAAGACAATTAACTGGCGACAGCCTGGAATTTCTGATTATTCCCAACTCGTTCTGGCTGGATTTTTTGACTATTGAGTTCCAAATTCTCACCAGCAAAACCACAATCAATTACTAGACACACACACGAATCCAGCGCCGAACAGCCACACATAGCAGAGCTTCGGAGCGTCCAGACTACGTACTGCCAGTAATACACCAACGCGTCCTCTCTCGTAGCCTCAAGATCGCGGTCACGTGACCACGATCCTGGTAAAAATCATCACTACAATTACCCTCTCCGTATCAACATGGTTGACATTGCTGATTTCTTTGGCCAAGCCAAGGGCCAGGCTAAGCCCAAGCCGGTATGTATCAAACGCCCTCTATGCTCCAATTGAGTGAAATCTGGACATTTCTGCGACGGCTACCGCCCGAGATGTGTTTGTTTCTTCAACCATTAATGGCTGTCAGGGAAGAAGTTGCCCAATCGTCACGACTTGCAGCATGGAGGTGAGGCTGTTTGACAAAGAGATGATTCTTGAGAGAATTCTCTTTGAGCGGGAATGATTCACAATTGGGAGATAACCACACCCCAAGCATCACTACCGAGCACTACTAACATCTAGGCTAAAAGGAAGGCGCCTGCCAAAAGCACCCAGGAGCCTCCAGCGAAGAAAAAGACCCCAGAAGCAGAGTACATCGACGTCGGATCTGATGACGACTTTGGTGATGACGATTTCGACGATATTATGGAGGTGACGGAGGTTGAGCCTCCCAAGAAACCTGCAAAGGTTGCGGCTTCCCCAAAGAAGTCTGAAAAGGAAGTAGTTTCGCCCAAAAAGACTCCCAAAACCGCCGCTTCCCCCAAAAAGACTCCTAAAACCACTGGTTCCCCCAAGAAAGCGCCCAAAGCAGCACAGCCAGCTGGAATGACCGCTGACGACGTGCTACAAAACATCCCTGACGCTGTATTGCCAGAAGTAGACGAGGACAAGAAGTTCAACTTCTTTGCCAAGTCAAAAGACGAATCGGGAGCAAGTTCCATGAGCATTGATATTCCTGAAGCCCAGCCAAATTGTCTTTCAGGGCTCACGATAGTGTTCACAGGCGTGTTGCCGAGGTTGGACAGAGACGCTTCCGAGAACCTCGCCAAAAGATACGGTGCTAAGGTGACCAAGTCTATTTCAGGCAAGACCAGTTTGGTGGTTATTGGAGATGAAGCTGGGCCCTCGAAGGTCAAGAAGATCAAACAATTGGGGGTCAAGGCCATTGACGAGGATGGTTTCATCCAACTTTTGAGAAGCATGCCCATGGAAGGAGGCGACGGTGACGCTGCAGTGAAAGCACGTTTGAAGAGAGAAGAGGAGGAATTGAAGATCATCGAACAGGCAAGACAAGATGAGGAAAACGAACGGAAACAGGAGGAGCAGAGGAAAATAGCACAAGCCAAAAGGCTCCAAGAACAAGAAAGGGCCCAATCTCAAGCTGCTTCACAGGGCCAGGCCTCCAGACAACCTCCAGAACAAGCCAAAGTGGTGCCAAACGAGGATAAATTATGGACAGTGAGGCATGCACCAAAGGACGTCACCCAGCTTTGCGGTAACAAGGGCCAGATCCAAAAATTAAAGACTTGGTTGACTAATTGGTTCGACAACTCCAAGAGGGGATTCAAGGATTCCGGTACTGATGGAGCGGGATTCAGAGCCTGTTTAATATCGGGCCCCCCTGGTATCGGAAAAACCAGTGCAGCCCACTTAGTTGCAAAGGAATTGGGGTTCGACATATTGGAGAAGAATGCGTCCGATGTGAGATCGAAGTCCTTATTGAATGCTAACATCAAGTCGGTCTTAAACAACACCTCAGTTATGGGCTTCTTCAACAAAGAGGATTCGGCCAATGCCAAGTCTAAGACCAAATTCTGTCTTATTATGGATGAAGTGGATGGTATGTCCAGTGGAGATCATGGAGGTGCGGGTGCGCTTTCTGCATTCTGTCGTATTACCAAAATGCCCATGATTTTGATATGTAACGATAAGTCGCTTCCCAAAATGAGAACCTTTGACCGGGTGACATTCGACTTGCCATTCAGAAGACCCAGTGAAACTGAAGTCAAATCAAGGCTCATGGCGATTGCTTTCAGAGAAAAGGTCAAGCTAGACCCTACCGTGATTGGCCAATTGGTTCAGGCCACCAGTAATGATATGAGACAAATGATAAACTTATTGTCTACTGTGTCCAAGACCCAGAAGGTGATTGGGGCGGATCAAGCCAAAAGTGCTGCCAGCAGTTGGAAGAAACAGACCATCTTGAAACCTTTTGATATCACTGCTAGATTATTGAATGGCCAAATTTATCTTCCGGGTTCAAATCATAGTTTGAACGATAAGATCGACCTTTATTTTAATGATATCGATTTTGCACCTCTCATGATACAAGAAAATTACTTGCTGACCAGACCCATGAATTGCAAGACTGGATTGGAGCATTTGGAGAGAGTTGCATCAGCCGCAGATGACATCTCACAATCAGACAGAGTCAATTCATTGATCCGGTCCAGTGAGCAGCAGTGGAGTTTGCTCCCGTTCCATGGAGTATTATCTTCCGTGAGCCCCAGTGCAGCGGTGGCAGGCAATGTGTCCCAGCGGATCAATTTTGCTGGATGGTTGGGGCAAAATTCCAAGGCTATGAAATACCAAAGAATCTTGCAGGAATTGCAATACCATACCAGATTACGGACTTCTACTGATAAAAAGGAGTTGAGATTGGACTACTTGTCTGTGCTTGCCAAGAGGCTCAGCAACCCCATCTTGACTCGAGGTGAGGAGGGAATTGAGGAAACCATCAATGTCATGGACTATTACTATCTCACCAAAGAGGACTGGGACTCGATTCTCGATCTAGGTGTGGGCGAGTCCCGAGGCGAGCTTGTTGCCAAAAAGATCCCCACCAAGGTCAAGACTGCGTTCACCAGAAAGTATAATGGTGGGGTGCATCCTACTGCCATCTATAAGACAGGAAATTCGTTGGCTTCGGCAGCGAAGAAGAGTAGCGTGGACTACGAGGATGTGATAGAGGACGATACCAACGAAAAGGAGGAGGCAGAAGAGGAGGATAGCGACAAGATCGACGAGAAGAAGGATAAACTTATCAAGAAAAAGGCTAGCAAGGCCAAACCCAAGGCCAAACCGCGAGCCAAGAAGGCGAAGTAGAGGATTGTTGGCGTTGGAGAGGCGAGTATCTGAAGAACGAGCTTAGAGGCATCTGAAGAAGGAGCTTACAGCCGAATATTCTGAAGAAAGAGCCCTTCCTGCTTAGAGCCGGATATTGTTGTTTAAAAGGGTCTCATCCGTGCTTACGGCCGATTTTTCAAACAATGACAGTCTTACTGCTTGAGCCGATTTCTGACCAAGTGTCATTTCCTGCTTAGAGCCGATTATTCTGACGAAAGGTGATCTGCTTGGCCATCTCGAACAAAGAAAGTCATCTGCCTCGAGCCGATTTTCACAATTCCATTCGGCTTCCAGCCGTCTCTACATCCCATCCTTTGAGCCGACTTTTCACAAGTGTCTCCATTCATATCCATCCCTACCCATTTTGCTAACGAGTGCTCTCCTCGTGCCTAGAGCCGATCTCCATGCCTCCTGGCGAACTGACAGTGCCGAAATAAACTTTGAACAAGGCTTAGGCCAGAAAATTGCACTAGCTGTTTAAGTAGTAGACGAGGCTGGCAGGGTCTCTATTCCCGGCCAACTGTAGACGGAAAACGGGCCGGAAACGCAAACACCGAGGCCCAGTGCCGGGAAGACGCCTCCACGGACCCTCCCACACCTTCTCTGGCCCCGAACCCCTCCGAAACCGCCTCTCTCACTGCCGTAGTTACTCCCATCCTGCTGACCAAGCATGATCCCACGCAGTCACGTGCGCCACATCATAAATGTTTTGAATCCAGAACTAGTCCCTTTCAATTTCACATCCAACGAGGGCCAATCTCCACAGTACCACAGGCGACCCCACCATCCATACACGGAGTGATTCTCGCTGCCCCAACCGCCATTGTGGCCTGCATATAAACCAGTGACATATCAACCAACAGCGTACGATCTGGAGTAGTCAGCAGTTAAGTCAGCAGCTAGTGTTCAGTCTTCAGCAGTCAAGTCAGCAATTAAGTCGGCCGTCAGAGTTCATCAAAGGAGCAGCGTTCGCCAGAATTGACCAGAAGATAGCAGATAGCACAAGTTAGAAGTCAGCAGAAGTTAGCCACTGAGCCACTGAAGTCAGCACGAGATTCAGAGTTAGCCACCGAAGTCAGCACGAGATTCAGTCAGAAGTTAGCCAGTGAGTTCAGCACGACTTATCAGAATTCAGAAGTTCAGAAGTTAAGACGAGTCATCAGAAGTCAGAAGTTCAGAAGTTAGAACGAATTCTCAGACCTCAGGAAAAGTCAGCAGAAGTCAGCAGAAGTCAGTACGAGTTAGTAGAAGCTATTACGGAACTTATCTCAAGCTCAGAGCTCAGCACTCCAGCACTCCAGCCATTGTTAAGACATCTCAGTAAGATTGCTTATCCCCAGACTCCACTGACTCATAACATCTACTTACCGCCAGAAGTCACCCATAAGTGGTCAGAACCGCATCCAAAGTCCCTCCAAGAACTTCCAGACAAGTCAGCGCTTGGATCTCCATCCAGAGCCACTACAGTAAGAACTTCTACTCAACAGAAGAACTTCTACACTGCCAACAGGTTTACAGTCAGTTCTACACCACACAGACTCCTTACTTCACCAGAGTAAGAACCCCACACAGACTCCTTACTCCACCACATAACTCCCCACACCACCATGTCCACAGGCCCTCCTTTGTTCAACGTGCCCAACACCAAGAGGTCGAACCCCAACAAGCTCCCCAACCTCTCCATACCAGTGCCGCCTGTCGACACCAACCATAATCCCCACCCCCAGCCAGTGAGCCAGTCTCATCCCCAACAACCACTCTCGTCCTCGTCCTCGTCCTCATCTAATACCTTGTTCACCCCCTCCACTAATACTGCCAACCCCAAATTGAAGCGCAAGCTTCCTCCTATAGATTTCCTGAAGGTCAATGGTTCGTATTCCTTCACTCCTGATACAATCTCTCCGTCTGCCGCAGGCCAGGTACGTCCTTCACCAGACGGATACGGAGGCCTCACGCCTGAACTCAAGACTCCCAACATGCTGTTGAATCCCAGCGACGCCTCGCTCAACAAAGACATCGCGGATCTCACTCCAGAGGACTGGAACGTGATTGCAAACACAAATCAAATCATGGAGCTCAGCAAGCTCGGCGAGGGAAACGGAGGCAGCGTGTCGAAGTGCGTGTTGAAGTCGAATCCGAAGTCCAAGGTGTTTGCACTTAAACTCATCAACACGGACCCCAACCCCAATATCCAGAAGCAGATCATCCGAGAATTGCAGTACAACCGGTCATGCGACTCTCCCAACATCGTCAAGTACTATGGCACGTTCATGGTGGAAAAACAGTCCATGATAGGCATTGCCATGGAGTACATGGGGGGCAGGTCGTTGGATGCCATCTACAAGCGGGTGATTGAGATCGACCCCACCAACAGGATCAACGAGAAGGTGTTGGGCAAAATGGCGCTTTCCGTGCTAAATGGCTTGAACTACCTCCACCAGCAACGCATCATACATCGCGACATCAAGCCGTCCAACATCTTGTTGGACAGCCAGGGAAACGTCAAGCTTTGCGACTTTGGCGTCAGTGGAGAGGTCGTCAACTCGCTTGCCACCACCTTCGTGGGCACCCAGTACTACATGGCTCCTGAAAGAATCATGGGCAAGCCCTACACCGTCACCTGTGACATCTGGTCATTGGGGCTCACCATGTTGGAGGTGGCGACCTGCAAGTTTCCGTTCCAGGGCACTGGCAGTGGAGGAAGCGACGACCTCGCCAACTTGGGCCCCATCGAGCTTCTCAGCTTGATCCTCGAGTACGAGCCCAAATTGCAGGACATTCCCCAAGAAGAAATCTACTGGTCGGATTCATTCAAAAATTTCATTTCGTACTGCTTGAAGAAAAATAGCGACGAGAGACCCAGCCCTCGCCAGATGTTGGGCCACCCCTGGTGTGTTGGCCAGCAGAGCGTCCAGGTGCGTATGGACAAGTTTGTCAAGAGATTGTGGGGCGATTTAGAGTAATACATATGATGAACGAGAGCTAGTAGATGCGATAAACTGGTAGTGGCGAGACAAGCGGTAGGGATGCGACGAACGAGACACAGCCAGAAGCAAGTCGCTACGTCTTCACTCTATGACGGGACACTGTCAGTAAAGGTATCTCTTAAATAAGCAATGCACTCTAACTGCACAGAATTTCTTCACTCAGTCCTTCATTGCAGGCTTACCAACAGCATTAACCAGGTAGATCAACGCTAGCACCATCATTTGAGGGTAATAGGCTGTATTTCACTACTTTAGCGCATATATCATTAGTATTTCGTGAAATAGACTGGATATGAATATACTAGCATAGATTTCGAATTTTGTCAGTCGACATATATTGCTGCAATGCTTAGGAGTATAATGTTCCACGTTCAATAGCTGTTACTTTCGCGTTGGCCTGTAAGAAGAAACCAGGCTCTTCGTAGTCAGTAACCTTGCATGGAATGAACTGAGAATTAATTCGTCCAAGTAGCACAGATATTAGTTTAAAGCAAGTTGTTGAATCCAATCATTAGTATTAAGGTGCGACAGATACCTCTAAGCAACTAGAATGCATTTCTGCGATATGGCTATTAATAGAAGTCCACCTTTATCCTGTTTTACTGCTTTATTGTATGATCCTCCTAGACTAAATTTCGCTCCACTGTATGGATATATTATTCTTCACAGTTGGCTCCAGAAATCAACAGATACAGTAAACTTAGCAGCTTTAGAGTGTAAAATAACACACAGATTATACTTTATAATTTTTATAATTCGGATTCACAAGCATAATTCTATCTTTTTGTTCGATCAAGAATAAGCTCAAAGTACAAGAAAATTGACTAAAATGTGTGATTAATGCAACAACGGGAGCGACACAAGTATGAGAATTTACTTCACTATATGGTTAACAACACACTGGGCGAACAATCGTTTCTCCTAGTATAACCCTGTCGCTGTTTTCAACGCCATAATTATATTTTCAGAATAACCTGTAGGGCACTGCCAGTAAAGATAACGAAGCCATTAACCGTAGTATAATTAACGGTGAGTAATGCTCCATATTTATGGAATGTCGAGAGTATATGTCGTTGACCGGAAGAGCGACACCAGTAAGATGTCGCAGTCACAGTAGCGACAGCACCAGAGTATTGCAGTAAGGGTGTCTTCGCTGTATACCAGGCGCCTGATCCACGACCTCTACCATCTGACCCATCATTTACAAGCACTCAGCAGACACAGCATATCGCTTCCACTCCATAACCATGTCGCGATCTTCAATATCGCAATGTCGCGGTTCCTACCTCCGCACGTGACACACAGCCAATGAAAAAAGTTCAAATGAGCTTCCACCACTAACTCCATCCACCACAACATGCCAGTACCATTCGAAGGCTTATTGCCCTACGCGGTCATGACCGCCTTTTTCGGGCTCGCCGGCCACGGCGTTGAATTCATCAGATACTGGGACAACGGCTGGAAGAAAGACAGATTCGATTTGGATGCGTGGGACGAAAGAATGATGAACAGAGACTTCTTGTTGACAGGTGTTCCAAGAGGCCAGTCACACGAGCCAGTTGCTCCCGAACACTTCAAGACTGCCGAGGTCCGTTTGCAAAGATACTACACTCCATACAGAGACCAATTCTTCAGTCTCAGAGAGAGATTGTACCGTGGGTACGTCACTGGCAACTGGGACTTATCATAGAGGAGACAGAAGGACGAGGTCCATACAGCATACGGTTTATAATAATATATACTACGAGAAGTGACTGTAGAGGGTGGGGAAGCGGAGGAGGAAATGGAGGTGGAGATAATAGAACTGAGAATCCTATCCAAGGGAGTTTGGAGAGATATTACCATCGAGGAAGCGGAAGTGGAGAGATAATGGAATCCAAGGAAGTAGACTTGGAAGTGGACGATTGAGTACTATCGGTAGAGGAATATCGACGAAAAGGAAGATTGAATACTATCCATGGGAGTTATTGAGTATACCTTCTATGGAAGTAACTGAATATGCTATCCGTGGAAATAGATCTATGATGATACGAGTGAAGAGAAGTAATTTACTGGTTCTCCAAATTCGGATATTATTACCTTGTATAGTAATCAATTGAATTATCATTTTTGAGCTTATTTTTATAATATCAAGCTGTTACTAAACCGCTCTTTAGTTGCATGCAATAGCACTAACAGTATTCACAGCACCATTCCAGGAGTAGAGCACTATAAAGATGATAAGAAGGGATTATCCATAAAAGGAGATAATTTTACATAGAAACAAGTAGGAGATCACGGACAAATAATGAAGAAAACCAAAATTCCACAATTACAATTAGCTATACTAAATTGCCAGCCCAATGAACCATCCACAGAGAATTTCCAAGCTGTTATGTGTTCACGTAAGAAAGTCAAGATACAATATAGTAAAAATCTCCAATACCACGAGTAACTCAGGGATAAGATTACTTATACTACGAGTAAGTGCTGTTTCAAAATGATAATACGATTAAATGCTGTACTAATATAAAGCGAGTAAGATAAATGCAACTCCATGAATAATAAGAATAATGCTGACTAAAATAGAGTAGAAAATACTCGAATACTCCATACTCAACCCATAAGAACACCCTCCAAACACTCATTTCCTACCGTGATGCCCACCAGCCTTGCTGGTGCACCCATGCATTACTTGAAGTCCTTGTAACTCCACTTCTCAGTCATCTTAGGAGCATACTTTCTCTTCTTAGCCACAGGAACTCTGGCCTCGATTTTACCACTGGATTGCAAGTTCAACATTTGATCGTAGAACAAGTTTCCTTCAGGCTTCAAGTTCTTCAAGTTGTTGGTCAACTCGTCCGATAATTTGACTTCCAAGGGTGCTTCCACAGAGTCGTACTTGAACAACTTCTTTCTCTTTCTTTCAGCTTTGGTTTCCTTTGGTTTCTTGGGTGCCTCAGCCTGTTCCTTCTTTAATATGGTGTCGAGATTTTGCAAGTCTTGCAATTGCTTCTTGAAGCCCTTGATCTTGTCTTCCAACTCTACCCTCTTTTTATGCTTAGCTTCTCTGTTTCTTCTGGCCTTGGTCTTAATCTTGACCTGCACCGGCTTCATCAACGACAACTTGTAGTCCTTTTCTTCGCCTTCTTCTTCCTTGTCCTCTTCCTGTTCTTCTTCCTCTTCGTCACTGCTATCTAATAATTCTTCGTCCTCCAATGTTTCAATGAGATGCTGGATTCTCTCTTTGTGCTCCTGCATTTTTTGACGGTTGAGTTCGAGCTTGTACTCCACTGAGTATTCCTTGTTGATCAATGCTTTCCACGATTCCAATGATGGGTTGTACGATTTTCCTGCGTCGACCGATTTGGTGTTCAAGTCGTTCTTTTCAAGCAAGATGGGGCTCTCCTTCATGGTCTTTGGCACAACTGTGGCCTTAGTCACTTCTGATATCGAAGAAGCAGGCTTGACGTTTTCTGGGAATTCGGGAGCAGGCTCATCTCCCCAGACATCCATGGATGAACCTCTGACAAGACCATCCTGCTCGGCCCTGTTCAAGGCCTTGGACTCACTCTTGTACTTACCACCGTTGAGCTTGATTAACCTCAACAAGTCAGTCTTTTTGACCCCTTGGATGGTGTTGTTGTTGGTGCCCTTGTTGGCTCTTGGGTTTTTCAACGCATCAATTTTGGACTTGTTGGCCAAAATTTCGCTGGTTTTGGACTTCTTGGCCAATCTTTTGGCTTCTGTAGGGGCCGAGTCGATCACGAACCCGTTGTCATCCTCCGAACCCTTGGATTTTCCCAAAAGGATCTCTCTGTCTCTGATTTCTTCTAAACCTTCTTCAACGTCCTGAATGTCCACGTTTTTTCTCCAGGCTTTCTTTCCCTTTCTGGATGGCTGCGGCCTCTTGGGCTTGGTTTGTTCCTTGACGTCAGACATGGCTGTGGAAGTCTGTTCAAGGGGGTGAATGTGTGGGATGTATAGTTGATTTCTGGTTTAATTTTTCAGATGAGATGCGTGTCACGTGCCCAGATTAGATAGCGAGATGGCCGGGTGGGACACGACCTTTTGCACCCATAAACTGTTACTAGAGCACTAATCAGAGTGGGAGGGTAGCAGGAGGGTGCAGAGGGTGAAGCAATAAACAAGAAGTCACTAATATGGCCTGGATATTTTTTTGTGATCGAAGCCATTACAGTTTGATTCTTTTCATATAGTTAACTAATTAGTAATTGCATTAACTCTAACCTATTTCTTCTAGCTAAGCTGTTCGAGGTGGATCTGGCAACAGATCGACCAGACATTGTGAAGACGATGTCAGATACGAATGTAAAAATATCTGTAATGAACGGAGAGTCTTGTGGCTTAGAAATTGCCTGAAGAATTAGGGTGAGAGCACCAAACAGATCTTAAAATAGTGGTCATTATTGTCAGGATATTCTAGACAGCCACTGTATCTTAATCTGAAACAACGAAGGCTGGAGCAGAGCCAAGCATAGCTGTAGACCAGTCATTCCCTGCCATTCCAGCCCCCTGTTTGACCGAAAGTAGTCCAGGTTAATTGTCCTATCTTCGCCTGGATTACTCCTGTAATTAAGCCATTGAGTTGAAGATAACGAGAAACATCCTGAGCATGCCTGTAATCAAACATCAACGAATTGCCTGGAAAGAATGAAATTAATCTACCCTCTTCCAGATCAACCCACTATGAAAGTCCGGAATGAGTTTGAGTAATTAATTCCTTGTATTACTCCTTAGTAGCAAAATAGTCGAACAACTGTTGTATGGAAGGGCAGCCCGAAGTATCCTTGGCTATTGTAACTGGCACCATTTATCACCTTCTAAAAGTTTCATGGGTGTCAATCTGGAGAGCTCTCGATACATCATGGCTGTCGATCTAAAGTGCCAATTAACATCTTCTTCTCGTTAGTGAGCTTCTAGGTATTTGTTGGCCATCGCAAATCGTACGGTGAGCTCTCGATATATTGTGTTTGTATCGAAATCAGTTGAAACTGGTTCCTGAACTCTGGATCTTGGCTGCACTTCAGTCAAAGCGCTTGTCGACTGAGTCTGATTATGGCTGCGAATTCTTCTTTGAGTTCTGCGTCACTGTATCACATAAAACGCCTCAATCACTAAAACTCTTCTCGTACTCACTACTGAGCTTCTGGAGATTCTGCTCGCTCAACTTGTTGCTCACAGGAGAATTCACCACGGGAAACTGGTCGGGCGAAGACTCTCTGCTGGCACCATCCTCGGGGTTCTGCGGCTCCACCGCAGCCACAGACTTGCGACGGTCTCTGCGCTCCTTCTTATCACGTTTGAGCAACTTCCCCCTGTCCAAGACCTGTTCCTCCTGCAAAAAGGCCAACATGTGGTTTCTTCGTCTCACACCTTCGTGGATCCAGAACTCGCTTCTGTAGAGCTCCCAGCCCTCACGCACGTCGGTGTTGAACAGCCTGGCGTTCAACACCAACTTGACGTCCGTGACACCGATCCGAGGCTGGCACTGCAGCTGGCACGACACCAAGAACACTTCCAATCTCGAGTGTCTATTTTTGACAGTGGACGGATACGCTTTGTGCAAGCAATTGAGACACATGGTAGCCGTGAAGAGCAGTAACTCACGGATCACATCGATGATGGAGTCGCTCCAGGGAGTCTTGATCTTGACGAGCCGCACGTTGAGCTGTCGCAAGCCCTTATTGGTGGACGACAAGAATTTCCGTGGAAGAACGATGGTTTTCTGGTACTCTCCCAGGAGGTGGTACAACATCAACGTCACCAACAACGCGAGGAGCACAAACTGGAGCACCACGCGTGCTGTGCCCTGCGACGAGTAGCGAGGATCCACCAAGAATAAGTGGTGGCTGATCCAGGCAATTAGTGAGCACAACACCGCCAAAAACGTCAAGTACTTGCGTCTGAGAGCTCTCTGCTGGATCACCTGCGCTCGCAAGCTCTCCTCGAGAATGAGCAAGTTACGGAAGATCTTTCCTGTGGCTGGCATCAGGGTATATCCCGTCCCCATGGGGTATTCGTGGCGGGAAGAACGGTGAGAACGCACGCTGGCACCGTCTGCAGACTTCGTGGACCTGCGACGGACCCGTTTGGTCTTGGGACTGGGAGTTTCTTCGGTAGTTGGCTTCGTTTTGCGAGCTCTTCTAGGCGATACGGACGCTGGAGACGGCGAATCGGGCACACTGGCACGGTGGGAACGGCGAGGACTATGCCTGAAGTCGAGAGAGCTCTGGGACGCTCCGTCGGAGTCGGAAAACACCACGAAGTCGTCGTCGCGATGAGTGTGGGACGAGTAGGGAGTAAGCTCCATGGGAGAGCGGTTGAAGAAGCCGTAGGCGTCGTCGTCACCCAACAACGGCGATGGTGGGGGAGATGGCGACAGTGTGGGCGTGGTTTGCGCCAGACTCTGGCCCGGAGGAGTCTGTTCTGTGACTGAAGACTCGTGGAGGTCTTCGTGGTGGTTTTGGTGATTTTCGTGCTGATTTTGGCGGTTTTCGTGGCTCTCCTGGTACTCCTGGCGGGACTCTGATGCCAGACTACTTTCCAGAGCTTCAGGAGCCGTTTTGGGCTCGTGATGTGGATGTTCTTGTGGTTTCAAGTCGATGGCATTCTGCAAGGTATTGGGGCGAGGAGGGTCGCTTTGAGGCTGGGAAAAAGACCCAGAGGACTGTGGCAGCTGTGCGGACGCGGAGGCTCCTTCCTGGCGTGGTGGCACGCTTGTGTCGTCATCCATGGCGTCGTTGGAGTGGTGGAACTGGCTGGGGGGCAGCTTCACTTGTTGGCCCGCGCTTACGCAAGCACTTACGTAATCAGCTCTCATGCCAACATTTCCCCAGCCCACCATCCACGGCGTAGTTCCCAACGCACCTGCCAGCACTCCACGATCCGCTGGACACCCGCTAGCCCACTCCCACCTCCCAAACAGGCAATTTTTCCGGCAGCCACCGTCCAGCTGAAGCCGACCGTTCAAATCGGGCAGTCTATCCATCTTTCTTGGTGATCCAGACACCGTCATAGTCACACGACTGGCACTTTATTACAGTTAGAAAAGACGACAAGCAGTCGCAAGAGAGCTCTGACGTCATATCAGACACTACAGTTCATTAGTCACACGACTGACACGACATTGAGTTCGAGAAGCATCGTAATCTCCTCAACAGCACACGATCGTCTTCATTCAGCAGGCATTAAAACGTCATAAGTGACAATTATCCTTGATACCGACGTCTTCAGTCAGCAGGCATCGAACATCCAGAATTGCACGACTGAAAAGTTCTACTCCACGGGACTACACTGAACTCGCCACGTCACAGACACCAAAAATCAAGTATCGTTCACAGGACTATCCTGAAATATCACATCAGACTTCAGCCCCTCTAGCTTGCCCGAGCCTACTTCATACAGTAGATCAAGACATCCAGAAGGTCGCAGAACGGTTCACATCACGATTCAGAGCACACTGCATTATTCGTTTAATTCACTTGCAGAACTAGATCGCTTCAACCATTAAGAGCCAACGCTGCACTCAGAATTGCTAGAAAATCTGTAACTACAGCCAGAGCAGATATCACAAGTTAAAGAGCTCGCTTTAATTCCAAGAAAGTCACTTCACATTTCACAGTCAGAAGACTCCCTTCACTACTTGCATTGCTAGCCAGCTTCACAAGGCTAACTTGCAAACAAATCCAGTTTTTGAGCCAGCGTATCCTTTGCCAACCAGAGAAAACTACCCTTCAAGGCCAGCTTGTGCCCCAATTCTATCCTTAATCAATACCAAAGCACAATGGCCTCGTTGAAAGAACAAAAGCAACTATTCGTCTCCGACCTTTTGGGAGGCAGTATCTCCGAGATCTATCTCCTAACCAGCATCTCGATCACCTCATGGTTGTCGTACAGTTTGGCCCAGAAGAGCCTCCAGAAGCGCGGAAGCAACGTCTCGTTGACTTTCGACTTTATTTTCAACGCTGTCACTTTGTTGGCAGCCATGACCATCTACAGCCCGAGCCTCCAGTGGCTCCACTGGATGGTCATCATTCCAGGAGTGGCTGTTGCCGTGTGGAGCAGAAACGTCCCCAAAAAAATCGGTGCAAACGGGCCAAAAAACGCCCAAAAACGGGAAACCCTGGCTAAGAAACGCTCAAATAACTCTACGGATACCAACGGGGCTCTTCCCCCAGACTTTCTCCCCAAAAAGCCGTTCATCACCGCCTATCGCTCGCACATGATGATCATCACAAACCTCGCCATTTTGGCGGTGGACTTCCCTGTTTTTCCCCGTCGCTTCGCCAAGGTCGAGACCTGGGGCACCTCGTTGATGGATCTTGGTGTTGGCTCGTTTGTGTTCTCGATGGGCTTGGTGCACTCGCGGTCGATTATCAAGGCCCAGACCCTTCAGAAAGCCAGGTTCAACTGGCAAAACTACCTCCGAATCGTGGCCAAGGGCATCCGCAAGTCGGTGCCATTGACTGTGTTAGGATTGGTGCGGCTCTTCAGTGTCAAGGGCTTAGATTACCAGGAACATGTTACTGAGTATGGAGTGCACTGGAATTTTTTTATGACTTTGGGGCTCTTTCCCACGCTTTTGGCACTCATGGACCCCGTGCTCGTGTACTTGCCTCGTGCATTGGTGGCCTTTGGGGTTTCTGTCGCCTACGAAGTGGTGTTGCACCGTGGAGGTTTATTGAAGTATGTGCTCACTGAGGGAAATCGCTACAATAATGTGTTTTCCATGAACAAGGAGGGCATCTCGTCGTTTTTCGGGTACTTGAGCATCTTCATCTTTGGCCAGTCGTTCGGATCGTTTGTGCTTCCAGCCAGAGCCACTCCCTACAACTTGGTGCAAATCCATAATGGACAAACTGGGGTGCGCAACAAGCGCACGAAGACCAGCTGGTTCGAGAGGGCCACCACTGTGTCCACCACGCGGGGGCTCGTGATAGCAGCTGTGTTCTACCAGGCAGTGTTTGCGTGGGTATCGTCGTCGCCATGGTTTTCCAATATCAGTCGTAGATTGGTGAATTTCCCGTACGTGGCATGGGTGTTGTCCTACAACGCCACATTCCTCTTGGGGTACCATGTTGTGTCGCAGTTGGTGTTGGGGGTAGAGTCTCGGGTGTTGAACTCCACCAACAGCGGGGGCTTGGGGCTCTTTTTGGTGGCCAATCTCTTGACAGGCTTGGTCAACATGTCCATCAACACATTGCAGTGCAGCGACGCGGTGGCATTCGGCATCCTCGTGGTGTATGCGGTTGCCGTGGTGGGTATTGGGCTTGAATTAGATCGGAGAAAGCTCTACCTCAAGTTGTAGCTGCAATATCCCCTCAATAGGCTTTACAGTTATAAAATAGAACGTCCAGCTGTAGGATGTGCATGATTCCATCAGAAAATATTCCAGGATACCAGTATGAATTCATCATCTCTCCGTAGCTCCTGCATTAATCCATCAGAAAATAAAGCTGTAGCAAATCATCACTTTAGCGTCTGCATTTATCCATCCTTCACTCTTAATGTTTATCATTCAGCTATTAGTAGGATTTTGGTTGGAGAAGGTTCTCAAGAGAGCACCAGGGGGTCGGATGAGCAGTTGGCTTGGGCATTAGCGACATTAAAAACTTTAGTAGTAAACAAAAATATTAAGAAGTAATCAAGTAACTCTTATGATACACTTCGGATGCAATGCTGCAAATAAAGCCTATGGGTACTTGTGCTGGTTTCCAACCTGCTATCAGATCTACACCTCCGCTATAAGAACCTTTACTAACAGGCCAAGAACATCCATACCGCTGAAAGCACAAGGCACCTCTAGTATTAGAACCCTCTTTAAAAGGACAAAACATCCGTACCGCTCCCACTTGGTTTTATATGCAGTGCTGATTAGGCTTCGAGGTTTTTCGAATTTGTTTGATTGAACAATATTCAGTAGATTAGTAAGATTGGGTCACAGTAATTTGTTGGGTATTATGGGGAAATAATTGATCTAATCTTTCAGATTTTCACCCCAAATTGATAACCTTCCCGTGGGTGGTTCAATCAATATTGTGCTATCAAGCTGATTGAAAGCATGATCTAATGTGAGACCCAATTACCATCCACCTTTCTCTTTTTGCTAAATTTTTCTTTGAGTAAGTGGCTAAACTTCATTTAAATAGGAGGGTAAAGTTTCCCGTTGAATGTTGACTATATGGATTGGACACGACCAAATATTGCAGCTACCAAGTTGCAACAATAGAGGTTCGGCAATCTCGGCCTGTACGGTGAAACAGGAGCCAAAAGGATCAAGGATAATTGACAAGAGAAATTACCATTGAACAGAAAACGCAATTCTTAGCGAGAATTTAGGCGGGAAAGATAGAAAATTGTACTTTAACTAGGGGGAAGTCCCTGTGGTCCAACGGTGCCCTTAATTGTGCCTTCAGAGCACCAAGTATGGTTTAACAATTAATTCACTCTACTGCTCTTTTAACAGCTTCATTGGTGTTCTATACAGTAGTTTTCAAGATGTTAACTTGTTGCACCCAATTGAAAGACTGAATTAGTGTACACAATCGTATTCTTCGTTCCATTTCTTGCCGAGTGATTTTATCTGCTTTGAACTTGGGAACTGTCATTGGAATATGTAGTGCTAAAACTATGTGAAATATTGAGTAACGCTATTCAAAAAGGTCAAGTCACAAACTATAAGTGGAAGTTTTCATTGTTTCCACACAAAAACGACGTAGAAATACCATTAGTAGAAACTCGATATGACTTGGGAATACTAGATAATCTCCAGTCCTAGCTCACCCAACAGGTAAATCACCTTCTTTAAATTATTGTAATAATAGTCGATCTGGGCGCCTGCACACGCTGATGGGAAAACCAACACACCACGTGATCTTGGTCACGTGGCTCGCACCCCCAACGGCTGCCTAACCTGTACCTCCCAGACCCTCCCACCCGCAGCGACATTTACCCACTTCCATATACAAACCACCTCCCTCTCCATTTCGTCTTCAGGAGCCTCCACCAATCCATTGCTGGCGTCCCCCCACACACACCCCAGTCCCCCACGCTCCTCTCGTCGGTCCGGCACACGCTCCATACCCTCACGTCTCCCCCACGGATCCAGCGGCAACTTCCTCCACCACAACTGCTGCCACTTCTCTCTGGAACGTACTAACTCACTTCCACCAGCCAATTCCCCCCCAATTCGCCTCTAATTCGCCTCCAGCCATGTCACAGGCCTCGTCGTCCTCGTGGACGTCGTTCCTCTCGTCCATCACCTCGTTTAACGGCGATTTGGCCTCGTTAACCGCGCCTCCCTTCATCTTGTCGCCAACATCCTTGGTGGAGTTTTCCCAGTACTGGGCAGAACATCCCGATTTGTTTGTGGAAGCCAGCCTGTTGCGTGCTGACGACAACGCCGGCGCTCCCGAAATCGAGGCTATGGCCTTGAAACGTGCCATTTCCGTCACCAAATGGTTCATTTCCACGTTGCGGTCGCAGTACTGTCTGCGTAACGAGTCCATGGGGTCGGAAAAGAAGCCATTGAACCCTTTCCTAGGTGAGGTTTTCGTGGGTAAGTGGGACTCGCCTCTGGTGGGTGAAACGGTGCTCTTGTCGGAGCAGGTCAGCCACCATCCTGCTGTCACTGCTTATGGCATCATCAATGCCAGCCACAACGTTTCGTTACAGGGCTACAACGGCGTCAAGGCCACCATCTCCAAGGCGTCCATCAACGTCAAGCAGTACGGCCACGGCATCTTGCAATTGGACGACTTGAACGAGTCGTACTTGTACACCTTGCCACCACTCCACATCGAAGGCTTGATCAGTGCATCGCCGTTTGTGGAGTTGGAGGGCACTTCCTACATCCAGTCGTCCAACGGGTTCATTGTCCAGATCGACTACTCGGGAAGAGGATACTTTTCCGGGAAAAAGCACACGTTCAAGGCCAGAATCTACCGCGACCAGCTCTCGTCTGCCAACAAGGACAATGCCTTGGTCACCATCAGTGGCCAGTGGTCCGACAAGTCGTACATCGCCAAGGGCTCAGCCACCCCCAGCTCAAAGACGGACGAGTTGTTCTACGACGCCATGGCTGTGAAGCCAGAACAATTGCAGGTCAAGCCTCTTGAATCCCAGCATCCCTTGGAGTCCAGACGCGCCTGGAAGAAGGTAGCCGACGCCATCAAGAAGTCCGACTACGACCAGATCCACCAAGAGAAGTCCATCATCGAAAACGAACAGAGAGACCTCAGAAAGAAGGAGCAGGAATCGGGAGCCAAGTGGCAGACCAGGTGGTTCGACAACGTCGACTACGCTGCCGAGCAGAAACACGATCCCTTCACCAATTTGACCAACTTGGCCAACTTGTCCATCCACAACGGCCCCTCAGGCTCTGCTAAGAGCTCCAAATACGACACAGGCGAGGCCAAGCACTGGAGATTGAACTTGGACAACTGGAAGCAAGAAACCGAAATCAAGCTCTAGATGTTTGACAAGATACGAGTTACTAGTGACAAGTATGTCCTTCCGTTGGTACAACCAGTTTGAATGACAAGTATATCCGTTCGCTTTCAAGATACGAATCACTATTCAAGACATGCCTTTTGTTGGTTCGATACAAACCTGTTGAAATGGTAGAACTCTCTTCCTTTGGCTAGCACTATGCGTATCTTGTAGTTATGGGTCCGACATGTGGCTGCAATTACTTTTGCGGTAGTATGATATGCGGTTTATTCGTCAGAGAGGGAGTGCAAGAATTGTTTCCATGTCATCTTAGAAGCTTATCAATAGCCAGTTGAATCTATTTCAGTGCCGTTTCGTATTATCATTAATTAATTTCAAGTATTCACTTTATAATCGTTTTATATAACCTGATTTTTCAAACCGTACTATAAAACCAGAATTCACCCACTGGTAATTACTATGTTCAAGTGAATAATCGGACTGGTTCTTACTAGGTGAATTTGTTTTCAAGACAACAAGAAGCCACCTAGATTAAGTGGGTAGATGCTAGACGATTACACCCAGAACGATACTTCCAGCGAGAATTGGGAGGGTTTTAAGATGTATTTCTAATCCCACCAGATTTGAGTCTTGGAACGAATAAAAAGGCTACAAATAAATGCCAAGTTAACCACACACCATTTATATTGTGTGTCACTGAATGCCAAATAAACCACCTATACACATTGAATGTCACTGAAAGGCCGTGTATTCACGTAACCCATACAAACCCATACACTTAATAAAAAAGCATACCATAGAGCCGAGTCGGCTACTGAGCGTAAATCTACCAGGCGGAATAGTATACATAAAACCGAGCCTACTGAGCGTAAATCACCAGGTGTAGTTGCAACCCAAAACCCAATCAGCAAGGTGTAGTTTCACACCATAAAACAGCTACTGAGCGTAAATCTACCAGGGTGTCCAAAATGATCATGTGACTGGACTTATACAGTCTCTTGGAATAAAGCGGAAAGGTCTCACCAAGCGTAATGCCCAGACCTATCCCCTCACCCCATGATATCAATCATAGCTCAAGCCAGCTGGGACTAAAATCTGGGGTAGTCCGTGCCCCAACCAATCCAGGGCTTCTCACGTGCAAACACTTAGGGCTTCTGCAGTCACCTGACCGCGCCCACCACCAACTCGCGCGCCATACAGGCCGTCTACACTTTGGTGCTGGGAACTTTACATTTTCGGGTGCAACCCGCACTTTCCCACCTAACCCGCAACCCTCGCCAGGCTCGCAGCAAAAATTTTCCACTGCACCAAAAACATCCAGCTAAAAAAAATTGAAAATTCATTTACTTCTTTTTGATAGCATCGATAGAACTATACGAAATGGCTGAATCTCACAGATGTATGTTTGGATAACAAGAACGAGGGCCTACAAAAGGCTATTCCCTGATATAAAGACGTGGCTGATAGTGGATGGACGACTGGTCGCTCCCATCTCCAATGGTGGGTTGCACCAGGCATGAAGACATCGAGTGACTGAAGTGAAACAAGTGAAAAATAAGCAATGCTGGCAGCAGCAAGAGGGCCCCAGACGAGTGGAGGCTTCTGTGCAACAGCCAACCACGCTTAGGCTGGGCATCGATGTACATCCATCCATTCACCAACGTCGACATATCACCAGTGTGAAACAAGTACTAACAAAGCAGTATACGTTAAGGGTAAGCATTTGTCATACCAACGTTCCAAGAACGTCAACAACCCAAATGTCTCCTTGATCCAAGTCGAAGGTGTCAACAACACCCAAGATGCCAAGTTCTACTTAGGTAAGAGAATTGCCTACGTCTACAGAGCTTCCAAGGAAGTCAGAGGTTCCAAGATCAGAGTTATCTGGGGTAAGGTCACCAGAACTCACGGTAACAACGGTGTCGTCAGAGCCAACTTCAGAAAGAACTTACCAGCCAAGACTTTCGGTGCTTCCGTCAGAATCATGTTGTACCCATCCAACATCTAAGTTACGATCCAATCACCACCATTTCCCCACCTCCTGATTTATTAAGTTAAATTGAAATAAGCAAGACGTATTACATCCAGTATATTACATACGTTTATTACATTGGGTTCTTTGTATATTAATTAGAACTTGATAATACACAACACTTATTAATTGTTACTAGGGATGGTATGTAGTTGTAGGCCGGCAATCGTGGTACTCCTGGAGGTACCATGCTGATCACGTGCGCTGTGACTCAGTTATACCACATGGCAGTTGTCTACAGGAATAGGCCTGTGTATTCCACGGCAGAAGCGTAGTTATCATACTAGTCTAGGACCTTCAGTTGGTCACGTGTGCGCTCGGTTTGCGTGCATAGAAGAGATCGAATATGTTCTTTATGTAACCAATTTAGAATACGGTACCAATCTCCGTGCTTTCAAATAATGAAAGTCTGGAATGGTAATAAACTCTCCAGCCTTAGCCAATAATGGCCGGGGCTATTTCCTGAAGTCGACTTTTCGTCTTATTTGTACAGGAGGATGGACTCAAACGGTGGTGATTTTTCTTACATTTGTCGGGTGATTGACTGGGGTGCCTGTAAAACATTCAATTTGTCGTGGCTTTTACATTATTGTCCCTCACAGTCTCCCCTTGGTCCGATAACGACAGTGTAGGATTGTCATCCGCCCTGTCTAGCGGCAGTCCATCATTTCCATTTTTTAATGTATTAGTATTGTATGTGAATTTTAATTTGTTCCAATTATACCTCCAGTCTAGTGTCATGGTCTACTAAGAGCTATCGTCTGATATTTTACACATTTTGGAGTGAAGTGCTCACCAAGGTGTAGTCTGGTACAACTAAGGGGTCCGTAGTCAGTAGTAGCTGCCAGCTTAGTACAAGAAACAGTTTCGAAAATTGAATTTCCAATAGCCTCACAGTGTCAAATTCGATAAAGTTTTCTGCAAGGCTCAAAATTGGATTTCCCCAGGCTATCGATCCCAAACGTTCTCAAATTCGATAGACTACTTTTCCTGCCACGCTTGTCGCCGAAAAGCTGGCTAGCTAGCTTTTGCCAGTCTGACAATACTCTCGCTGACAATCTTGCCGAAAACCACACACTCCAAGAGCGACGAGCCCCCGAGCCGGTTTCCCCCGTGCACCCCTCCGCTTACCTCGCCTGCAGCGTACAAGTTGGGCACGGCACTGCCGTTCTCGCGGAGCACTCGTCCCTGGGTGTCGATGGCCACACCCCCCATGGAGAAGTGCACTACGGGAGTCACCAACCCGTAATAGTACTCGCCCGAGAAATCACTGCTGCCAAACTGGGTGCGTCCTAGGGGGTCTGTAGCTGTCGCTACGCACTTGGCGTAGTTCTCGATAGTGGCAGTAAATGTTGCCTCGTCTGCGCACGCGAGTCCCTGTTGTGTGAGTAATCGCACCAAGTCCGCTACCGTGCCGCGGTGCACTAGGCCCTTCAGCATGTAGAAGTCCATGTGGGCCTGTGCCTGCAAGTAGTCGCTAGCGCTAGCGAGAATGACCGCGGTGCGGGAGCGACAGTGGGCAAGGAGCGCCTCCGTCACGGCGTCACGCGTATCCAACTCGTTGACAAACCGAAGTCCTGTTTCTGGCGACACGAGAATGGCACCCACGCCACGGACAACCTCGCCACAGAGGAACTTCCACGAGTTGTTGGTGTCTGCCACATCGACAAACCCAGTGGGGTGGACCTGGACCTGGTCCATTTGAACCAACTTTGCGCCAGCGTCGCGGACAGCCAATTTGTGGCCGTCTCCTGTGGTTTGGCAGCCATTCGTCAGCGGGAAATCCACCAAGTCAGGGCGGTGCTCCCCCAAAAGCTGGGCGTCCGCACCGTAGCCGCCAGTGGCCAACACCACGCTGTGCACGTCCACTAGCTCCACGCGCTCGTGCGAGCGTTCCACCGCCACTCCCGTGACCGCCCCGTCGTGCACCACAAGCAGAGCTACCCGGCTCTGCTTCATCACCTGGAGCTGGCTAGACGGATAGCTCTGTAACTGCTTGCACAACGCCAGCACGATAGCCACTCCTGGTGGCATTCTGCCAGCGCCGCGATGGGTGCGGGCGTACGAGTGGCCTCCCAAGAGTGCCACTCGCGAGAGGTCGATGTTCTGGCTGGCGAGCCAGTTGTGGGCCCACTGCGAGCGGCTGGCCAACTCCCACACCAAGTCGTGGTTGCAGAGACCCTTGCCAGCTCGCAAGGTGTCTTCGTAGAAGGCACCCACGGTATCGCCGTTGTGCTGGTGCCGTGTGGGCACCCCGTTGATCCCCGACGACGCCTTGATGGAGTTGCCGCCTAGGGTGTCTGTTTTCTCCACTAGCACCACTCGGACCCCTTTTTTGAGCAATTGTAAGGTGGTGGTGAGGCCTGCCAACCCCGAGCCCACCACCACGGTGGTGCTGGAGTATCTAGCGGCGGACAGCATGCAATAGTATGATAAGAACACGGTAGCTAGTAGTGTGATCCATATCCAGTGCGGGAGGAGGAGCATAGGGAGGTCGCGGTAGATATTGCGGGGGGAGGGGGAGATAAGGCCCGGATAAGGGCGTGACGGCTAGTGAGGGGCAGCCAGGCTAGTGGCGCCACCGAGAGCTAGTGGCACCACCCAGGGGTCAAACACGAAGGGCTAGGGGCCCCACGCTAGGGGCACTGTACTAGCGGCTCGCGGCATGGTCTCACCCCATGGGAGTCTTTGCTGAGTCGCACCACCGCAATTAGTGACACCACCTAGCGCTCACGCCATTGACTAGTGGCACCACTACCCATAAACTAGCGCAAATCTGCAGCCAACCTGATGATCACACTAGCTCCAGGTTTTGCCACCCTTGAGCAACTTCTCCTTGGTCATTGTCGTAGCCAACCAGATCTCGTAAGCCACGCCGATCCCGCCTGCCTGGTCGTGATTGGTGTCTCTAAGCCGTGGTCGCAAATACTCCATTTTAGGCTGCAACATCACAGTGCAGGTGAGCATAATAGAGATTTTAGTGCTGTGAAATAATTGAGTATATATACTGATAAGTAACTAGAATTGATTTATGGGCCGAGATATTTCAAGTATTTCTGTAACAGATTAAGTAAGGTAGATATAGTCTTAATACCCTTGATAATATAATTAGTTCCAGCCTGGGAAATGAACCGCTCAATACTCCTGGCCGAGAGAAATAGCTGGTTTGTTGCGATTGGGTGGCTATTCTTCTGGGAATAGCTGCCACTGGAGGCCACCACAACTTTGAAAAATCACAGTGCTACTACTAGTGTTATGTCCAACTGATTACAATCCTTGTTCGGTATACTTGATGTAATTTTGTAATGAAACGTAGACTACGCCATTTCAAGCATTTTGAAACGGTATCCATTCTAATGTAATTAACACTAGCTAAACTACTGCCCATTGCTAGAAGGTGCTGAATAATCAACTTTTTACCTGCGTTGTGCCATTTCCTAAAATACCCCGAAAGTTAGAGATGGAAGCAAAAACCTAAGCTCCTCCGATTTGAACAGTTCCCAAAATGATTTTGATATCACCATTTGTGCTTGTTCGATGGGGTCGTTGTAAATTTACAGGAAATCCCAGGCAAATGCCCAAAATCCATTTATCTATTCCCAAATCGCTAGTTCATGCCTATTCCTGTAGTAGTCAGCAATGCCGTAAAACTAGCCATCTGTCCAGTTGGCTAGGGTTCGAAGACCTACGACTCGATGTACATTGTAAGCAAACAAAATTAGCAGCTAGAAGAAACCAAGGTGGAAAATATGCAAAAATATAGAACGAATGTTACTTAAATTGAGCTAGAAGAGACCAGGGGAAAATATGGATATTCCATAAATTCTGGATTCGGAAATGGACATTACTTGGAGATTCACAATCTTCCGAAATTTATTCAATTGTTCCTTGTAACTTTATACGAAAGTTAATTTTTAAATTCGAGAATAAGCGATTTCTTTCTTCGGATATGTGATGAGATATTCTGCGTATTTCACTACTTTTCACTACTGTCGCAACATTCAGCAGAGACAATTGGGGGTACTCCAACATCTGGCCGGAGTTCGGATGCTTCAGTAGTAACCTTCGGATATTCGGAGATCCTCCATCCTACCAATTGTGCCAAATACACTCTTAGCTAGAACCCTCTCATCATTCTTCGCCGACTCACCAGAATCTACTAGAAGATCTGATCTGATCACGTGCTACTAGGCACGTGACCCCCTCTACATCTGCTGCTCCCACCAATTATTCAGCACTCCACCATGCTCCACTTGAACAATACCATCCACCCAGACACCCGCAACAAGCGCTTCAAGTTCGAGTCCTTCCTCCGCAAGGAGTACAACTTCGGCTTGGACCCCGACAGACCCGTCTGCCAGTACTTCAACCCGCAAAAACCACTCAACTCGTGCCCCAATGGCAACAGATGTCCCAACAAACATGTGGCTGCCATGTACAACAACAAGATCGTGTGCAAGCACTGGCTCCGTGGGCTCTGCAAGAAGAACGACCATTGCGAGTTTCTTCACGAGTACAACCTTCGGAAAATGCCCGAGTGTTTGTTCTACTCCAAGAATGGCTTCTGTACCCAGACACCTGAATGCTTGTACCTCCACGTGGATCCTCAGCTGAAGATCCCTGAGTGCCAAAACTACAGCAAGGGCTTCTGTCCCGATGGACCTCAGTGCTTGAGAAGACACATCCGTAGAATCATGTGTCCTTTGTACTTGAGTGGGTTCTGTCCCAAGGGTCCAGAGTGCGAGTACACCCACCCCAAATTCGAGGCTATCATCAACAGAATGAGAATCAGGCCCGACAGAACTGCTGCAGAGAGAGACGAGGACGCGTTGGCCATCAAACTCTTGGCTGAGAAGAAGGACAGTCTTGCGCAGTCGTCAAAGAAGCACGGAAGAGACGGCAGACATAGGTGATCAAATGAGGTTATTCCAGGTCGTGGTGGATATTTACCAGACTACTCAATATTTCCACAGTACGTGACACTCCAGCCATTGCGGGTTTAGCAATTGTTGGCTCTTGTGAGAACTTCACCGTTCTCATCGATTCAATGACACACACTGTCAGAAACAGCATTCCGAGACTTCCCTGTAATCGGTTAATGGAAGGCGTTGGAATCGAAGATCCTTCGTTGCTTCACATGTTTCGTTGGAGTGACAGAATCCATCGATATTTTACAAAACCCATAGCTGGAAGCACAGCCATCGTTCATACTGACTGTTCAGTCAATCCATAGTATATTTATTATATAGACGAAGATACGACAATGTACATTACTTAATTATATGCAAGTGTGGTGGTAGATACCTAGATCTAGTGTAGAACTGCTGAATGCTTCTGAAATGAAGATTTCATTCTGAGTATCCGAGTACTTCATCATTGCTTCGAGATACGCCTGTAGATTCTAGTCTGGGATTTAATGCGATACTTCTCCGAATTCCATTTCTAATTCTGCGAAAAGTACATGTAGCTTCCAATTCGATGTATAACACCTTCTGGCATCTCCATGAATCACTTCTACCCTAAGTCAGTTCATCTTCCCTGTAGCAAAATCCCTGCTCTAATTGAACCTAGTTCATTTTTTCATACTCTGTAACTTCTGATCTGTGATCTTTCCTGTGGAGTCAACACCCAATTAATACCTAAGAACTCGTCCTCATCTTCGGCATTTACATCGTCTTCCTCTTCTCCATCTTCGCCTTTTCTATGTCCGGCCTGGTTGGCATGCTTGGTGCTTTCCTCGTACTCCTCGTCATCCATATCGACCAACAACACTAATTGGGTAACCCTGACGAATTTCTCCCTGAGTTGATAGTTATCTTCACAGACTTCATTGATGAAGAAGGAGATATCCTTCTCTAACCTTACTGAACCCAACTCGTTAATTCGAGATTTTTTAAGCACAGAGTGTAACTTTTTCTCCAATAGGTTAACCAAGTTAATCACCAACAATCTAAGTAACTTATTGAAGACGGATTCGTCCAATGTATGCTTGTAGGGCTTGATTAATGACTGCCAATTGTTGCCGAATCTGATTAACCTATCGTCATTGCCGCCTTCGTTGGAGTGGACTATATATGTTTCCTGAACATCTGGAATCATCTCGTTGATCATGGCGATGATTCTATTTTTTAACGATTGATTGTAAAGATTAATCAAACTGTCGTTGATGATCTTGTTCGTGTTGCTGATAAACGGATTCAAAAAGTCATTTGTCAACCACAATTCAACCTTATTGGCATCTCCGTTGTACGGGAAGGAAGAAGAAATGTAGTTGGGAGATTTAAGGATATTGTTGATAATCTTGGTAAAATAGGTTTGACCAACAGAAACAGTGTTCAAATGAATGATAAAACTGAGCAACTTGGGGTTATTTGCTCCAGTCCGAAGTCCTCCTATGGACGATGAGATGGTTGAAGTGGATGTTCCCACAACGTTTCCCAAGGCACTTGAAGCCCCTTTGAAGAAACTCATGCCTCCATTCACTTCAGGAGTGCCACTCCTTGGAGTGGGAGTTGCGGTATTATTATTGCTTTCTGGTGAGACGAACGATAATGTTTGGTTGTATCTGGGTTGGTTCTGGTTTAAGTTTCTAATGAAATACCCATTGATTAAGTCATTCTGTAGGATCCGGCGTGTTTCCTGAACATACGTCTTGACTGTAGAAAGAATGGAAGTTTGGATGGAATTCCTGATAGTGGTGTTAAGAATTAAGGTAATATCCTCTATAACCGACGAGCAAGGTGAATGGTCGTCTGGAGAAATGTACAATGGATTGGAATTGGACTGGTTGATCTGCAAATATGCGTCAAGAGAAGGTAATTCTTCAATCATGATAGACTTTTCCAAAGATCTCCGGAAGTAGAAGATGTATAACGTCTCGAAAGCAGGCAAGAGCTTTTGGTTGATCTTTTTGGTAAAGTTGGAATCCACAATGAGCTGTGGTAATTTAAGTTCATCGTCCGAAGGTTTCAGCTCTTGGGAATTGGTTGTGAGGACTGAGGTAGAAGAAGAAGGAGATTTTGAGCTTATGGACTTTTGACGTTGGCGTAAGACGCCTGGTTTTTCCTTTGGTTCCTGGAGATACCTTACACTAATAAACTTGGAGTATAAGGACCAGTGGTGGAATATCACTGCAATCTCGTTGATCAAGTCTCCCACCTGAACAATGGATATAACATCCTCCTCCTGGACACGATCAGCTTGTTCGAGGGGCTGCTCGTGTCCTTGCTCTTCTGTTCTTCTGGTTAAAAATGGAAAGGTGTACAATTCAATATCTTGGAATAATTTGTCGATCCGTCTGAGATCGTAGAAGGTATCGCTGATTACCCCAATCTGGCTATCGACCTCATTTTGTATTTTTTTGATCACATAGGCCATGGCTTCAGGAAAGCTACTCAGGTAGTATCTTTTGATCAAAGTTTCGTGCTGGGAAAGCATGTTGGAAATGCTTTCGAACAACAGAATGGCAATATTGGAAAACACGCCTGGTTTGAGGTCGCTTGCACTGATTGCTGATGTTGAGCCAACGAGAGTCTTCAGGGTATTTGAGATGATATCACAAATGAATCTGGAATAGCAGTTCAAGCCTGTTTCTTCTTGGTTAATCAAGGGAAACAACTGGAAGTATTTGGTGAGTTCCTCGACGTTTCTGGCAGTGGAAGCCTCGTTGAATCTTTGCACAAACACCCTAGTTAAGTCCCGGGACCACTTGTCCAAAATGGCCTCAGGAAGATCGGGAATCTCTGTGGATGGAATCACCAGCGACGCAAATTTGCCATTGATCAACTCCTTGGAGAGTTTGGAATTCACGTTGTGGATACATTGGGCTGTGACCTCCAAGTTTCCATGTTCCAAGGCGTAGTGGGCCTTGTTGATGTTCGTTTTCAACTCCTGGATGTTCTGGACAAACTCGAGCGTCTTTTCCACGCTTTCGATTTCCTGATCCAACGATTTGATCTTCAACGTCAACGAATGGCCAAGGGTATTGGCTGTCTCGAAGATCCGGTTCAACTCGTTGGAATTGGAGATGGTGGACACCAACTTGGTGGCACGCTTGAACTCAAGACTGGAGATTTCCTGTTCGTGTTTCTTCAGCTTCAATGCCTTGTACTGTCTCATGTCATGGTCTATTTTGGCGGTTTCCCGATCTATTTCTTCGATCAACAACTGGAGTTCTTTGGGGGTGGTGCACGCCACGAACTTTTCCTGGATCAGCCCAAGCGTGTCTCGTGCCTGGACGTCGCCAGAGGAGACGGCTCCATTGGACCGGTAGGAAATCTCAGGCATTTGGTGGTGGGAGTTCTCGTACACGCTGGAAATCAGTTTGGAGGGTGTGTCACGTGACTGAAAATGGTTCTCTATGGCAACATTGAAGGCTCGGGGCCCCCAAGGCTGGAGGGTTGGGGGACTGGGAAGTGGCTTGAATGTGAGCTCTCGGGTAAATTGGCTTGAATGGGAACTCCTGGAATAAATTTATCTTGTAAACTTGTATGCATTGTTCAAATTCACTATTTCCTGTGATGGAATCTGGCGCTCAGGAACCGTTATCCGGCTCAATGCACCTCTCTGTGGTGTGTTACTACCGTAGAGAAGTGTTAATCCTACAACTCTTTCAATATTAGTGAGTTAAGCGTTACTTTTTGATGAACTTCATACTGCAGATACTGAATTAATATTATGGACGGTTCAGGTATACCGAATAGTATCACATACAATCCACTTTTGGTACATTCAGCAACTACAAAATATACCTGAACAAGCTATGTAACCCACTAGGAGATTTTATCCCTTTTCGTATATTATTAGATGAGTGAACAATTCTTCAAGTTGCCAAATCTATCATATTCTGAATTTTTGGAATTTAAGGAATAACCAGTGGTCCTGTATGAATCTGGCCAAGTCACCAATCCTATTGGAAGAAACTCTTTGCCAGTTGTACTATTTGCGGTTTTCCCAAATTCTATCAGTAATTTAATGATTAAGTTGCGAAAAATCAAAAAAAACAGATCCCATCCAGAAGGGAGCTGTTTGGCTAAACAATACCGGTAATTAGCCATTCAAGCATTTGTCAATGGCCTAGCAATACCAGACCCTACAACGCTAGAACGCTGCTCACCAGTGAGCGTGAACCATAACTGCTCTAACTCGAGTATGGTGCTCCGATTTAATACTCCGGATATTCCCAGGGCTCAAACACCCTTACAAAATTTCTCGCATTTCACATGTTATTATCTACTTAAGCCAAAGCTCCAAGAGGGTCATAGAATGGCAAAACGGTGAATTGTTTGGCCTTGTACACCTCGTAGGTCTTCTTCTCGACGTACTTCTTCTTGGTGACGATTTGGAAAACGAATTCTGTGAACCAGTCATCAGACATAACAAAGTAACCATGGTCACCGACATCACCCCAGGAATTCTCGATCTTCCATCTCACAGGTTCGTTTGTCAACGGATCAATGTGCACACCAGTGATAACCATGGCATGGTTGGGCACCGAGGAGCCTGTTCTAATTCTGTCGGCCTTGTCGGCCTTGGCGTGGGTGTTGAATGCCAAACTCAAGTCGAATGCTCCTTGATCCAAAGTGCCCTTGACTCTGTCAGAAAACTTCAGAACATCAGAGCCAAAGAACACTGGCTCGTTGTCCTTAAGTTGTCTGATCACCACCTTCTTGACCTCGGAGATCTCGGTGTTGACGTACTCAATAGTCTTTCCGCCATAGACGTTGTTCAAACGATCAACGGTGTACAACTTGTCGTAGGCATTTCTAGGGTCGTTGATGACCGAGAAGTACTCAGTGGCATTGAAATCCACGTGGTTCTTGTAGAAGTCGAGGGGGGTGGACTCGTAGAACTTGTACTTGTCGTCCTTGTCCTTGAATTCCCACACGAACTTGTCGTTAGGCTTGGGAGGGGTGCCCAAACTCAAGGAAATAATGTTGTATGCCTCCTTGTTAAAGGCAGCCTTGACTTCGGAGATCACGGCCTTTGGCACGCCCTTGGCCACCAACTTTCTCAACACCAAAGCGTACTCACGCAACTTCAGGGTCAAGAAGCTGTTCAAATATCCCGAGGACACCGCCTGGGCGTTATCGGGGAACACTTCGTTGGGAACGACACCATACTTCTCCACCAAGTTAATGATGAAGTCCCACTGGCCACCATCACCCACAGGGTCGTTGATCAAGAACGACACCAAACGGGAGTCCAATGGCTCGTCTGCGGTGTCGATGATCTGCTCCAAGAAGAAGTTAGTCTTCTCCAACTTGTCGTAGAAAAAGAGGTAAGCCTGCGACACCTGGAAGCCATCGTCCTTCAAGTTGTACTTCTTGATGACGTGGGTACGCAACACGTTGGAGGTGGCAAAGATCCAGCATCTTCCCGACGACGCCTGGCTGTTCAAGTGCAACGGATTGCCGATGGTGGCCACCGTGGTGTTGAAGTAGTGCTGGGTTCTGGCCTTGGTGGCAGCGTCGCTCTTCTTGACGATGTCTGCGATGGCGTTGTTGCCCAACGCCTGCTGGGTCAACAAGTTCTTGGGGTCCGACAAGAGGTCCTGTTCCCACGAGCTCAATGCGTCGATGGTGATGGGGTTGGTGGCTAGCGCTGGTGCTGGCTCGCTGGTGGTGTTCAAGTTCAATTCGCGCAAGTATTTGGCTGCCTCTGAGACGCCAGCGCTGTGGCTAGCGCCATGCTTCTCGTCGTAGACGGAGTCTACTGACTCGGTGTCCCTGGCAGGAGGTGCTTGGAGGTGTTGGGGTCTGGAGGTAGAGGATCCCATCGTGGAATAGGGAGGCAATTGGAGGTAATTGAAGTAATTGCGATCCTGGGGGCGCACTGCTACTTATATAGTGCAGCCAGTCGCACCGTTATCTGCCCCCTAAGGGTGACGCCAGGCGCACGGCTCGAGCCACAGGGGAACTACCCTGGGAGTTATGGGGGGTTGGAGGGGGGACTGTGGCGGTGGAATAGTGTAGGTAGGTGGTGTAAGGTGGTGTAAGGAGGCTAGGGAGGTTAGGTGTGGTCAGGAATATGGTGATTCGCCATGGCGGGCGGTATCTGGCCAATGGTGAGTAAACGTCGTGGTGGAATCGCGGGGGTCCCGGTGCGGGAGCGGGTGCGCGGCCCGCGAGCTAGGGAGCCAGCGAGGCAAAGGTAGGGCAATGGTGGTAGGTCTAGGAGGACCAGGGACCCCAGTGGTGGCAGAAGTGGTGGCACTGAGGGTGGCGATGAGTCTATGCCACCCACTCGCAATTGGCCAGGCTCCACTATTCATCCGAGAGAGATCACATTGCCTAATTAGTCCCGCAGCCCCACTGCTGAGCCCTGCCACCAAGTGGATGCGAAAGCCCAATTAGTCAGTAAGGAAGATTGAGGACCCATCCAGCAGTCTGATTGAAGACCTTTCCAGCAGTCCAGGGCCACGCCAGCGGTTCCAAAGGATAACCAGCGAGCCCAAGTCACACTAGCGAGGTTTTCACAGGCTCACCATGCCATTTTGTCGATTCGCTTGGAATGCTTATGTGTATTCACTGGTAATTATTTCTTATCGATCGGTATAACTGAGAACCGGGACAGTCCACAAATACTGCTATTGATTGCTTACTACTATGTGAGTAGGATGCCTGTAAGATTCTGCCACCAGTCATTCATAAGGCTACTACAGTGATCCATTCCTAATAAACAAAAGTACTATCAGATGATAGATATTAATAGCACACTGCTTGATAATTATCCATTGCCTCTTTGAATCATCACTTAATTCTCCTCGTAGACTACCAGATCAGTGATAATTATCCATTGCCTCTTTGAATCATCACTTAATTCCTCTCACAGTCTCTCTCATTATTACTCCATCCCCCTCAGACTCTTTCTCTTGCACCCGCTCATTATCTATTCTACACCCCCATCCAAGACCCGTAACTACTCGTCCCTCCTCTTATTGCTACACCAACCTCCTTTTTCCTTTGATGTGTAATTATCCTAATAATATATCTAAGAGTGGCCGATTTATGACACTTTGGAGAATAATCCTACCCATAACTTTCTTCAATATCTCTTACTATGCATTATTTAGTTATTCCTCCTTTATATACTTCTTTCATCATCCTACGCATTTACTTCCTCAATATATCTTACTATGCATTATCTGCTTCCTCCCTAATATCTCTTACTATGCATTATCTACTTCTCCTTAATATCTCTTACTATGCACTAACTACTCTTCCTCGTCCTCCTATTATGCATTACCTACTTCTTGATCTCTTTCTGGATGGCCTCTCTCTCATTCTTGAATTTGGTAGAACGCTCTCTGATTCTGGGTTTCTTCACCTTGCCTCCTGTCTTCAATCCCTTGATGCCTGCTATACGCGATCCCTTGGTGGCTCTCTGTCCTTCCACAATCACTTTGCCTACCGTGGAACGGTCTGCACGCCCCAAAATCGTCTGGGCTCTGCCCATCTTGGTCTTCTGCTGCTCGCTCAACTTGGACTTCTTGGCAGCATGGGCCTTCTTGGTGTTGTCAATGTGGTTTGGCGAAAGAATCGATGGCTTGGTGTGTGCCTTGGCACGGGAAATACGCAACTTACGTCCCTTTTCTGCCATGGGCTTTTCGTTCAAGAGCAATGCCTTGTTGACAGATAACGTGTCTTTGAACTGCACCAACGCAAAGCCCTTGCCTAGGTTGGTCTTAGCGTCTCTGATCACTCTAACCGACTCGACGTCGTTGTCAAGCTTGTTGTTGAAGTACTTCCACAACGTCTCTTCCTTTTCCTCAAAGTCCAAGTTTCCTACGAAAATGGTTCTTCTGTTGTCTTTGGGGGCAGGATGGGCCACATGGTCCACACGGAGATGGAAGTCCTCGAAGGTTGTGGCATTCAACTTGAGGCACTTCAAGGAAGCGTCTTTTTCCGTGAAGACCACGTAGGCATTGACGGTGTCTCTGGACTTGTGCAAGGTCTTTTTGGCAAACGCCACCTTTCTGGGAAGTGCCTCGTCGAACGAGATGGATCTGTAGCGGATCGACTCGACCTTGCCAAATTCGGCAAATAATTTCTTGAACTTCTTGGCCATCTGTCTGGAGGTGATCACTTCGGAGGTGACATTGCCCACGAAAACCGTCTTTTCTGCCTTCTGCAACTCAGATTCCTTGAGGTCGATGGTCTTGGCGGCCGTAGCCTTCTTGGCTGCTGCCTCTTCGTTGTGGGAGCTTTCGTTTTCGTCGTCTTTGGCGTCTTTGGTGTCGTCCTGGAGCAATTTGTTGTAGTATCTTGCTTCCAAGTCATCGTCCTTGTCAGAGGACTTCTTGGTTGGCTTGGGGACTGGCTCCTCGTCGTCGCTTTCGTCGCTTTCTGCGCTTTCTTCGCTTTCTGCGCTCTCTTCGCTTTCTGCGCTTTCTGCGGCTGGTTCCTGCGCAATCTTTCTTCTCTTGGAGTCTCTCTCAGGCACCTCGATCTCGGTTCTGTTGGACCTCAAGTGGTCTCTAGTGATGGGACCAGCTCCTGTTCCGGCGAACAAGCTGTCGACGGAGGAATCGACCTTGGCGTTGCTGTTGGAGCCGAATAAATTCTGGAAGCTCGACATGGGAGTAGTATTATAATGGGGTGGAATGGGCAAGAAATTGGCTCGTGGACTATTAGGGCAATAGACTAGATTTGGAGTGAACTAGACTAGTAATGGACTGTAATGGAGTGAAATAAACTGCTATTGCACTTGGATGGTTAATGAATTAGACTGGTGTAAGGACTATTCTATCTGTGGTGTCGATTGGATTTCGCAACAAATTGAGAGTCCTGGTAGCCTGGTGCTGTTTGCAGTTAAGATTCGTGGCTTGCTTCGTGTTGCAGCTTGTACGGACCCCTTCAGATTCTTCCTATCACTCTCGATGAGATGAGATGTCCCAGAGCGAAAAATTAGCCCTCCTGCACATACACAGGCACGTGATTTCGACTCTGGCGCGAGCCGCATCACACCCACCTACAATGCGGACCCTACCATCCACTCCATTATACTCACACCTCCTTCCTCCACCACTAAACGGCCCTCCCTCCACCCCCCGAGCCGTCCTTACCAGCCAGCACCACTACGCCCCCACAATTCCTCGGCTGAGACCTCCACACCCACGGCTACTGTTAGCGCCCACAAGAACTGTTGTCTGATTGGCGTTGTTGACTGCTAGTCCCAGAGAAACCCCAGCACAAACGAACCGCAGAACGAAGGAGAACGCGTGGCTCTGCCAATAAATCACGTCATCTGACAGACTGCATCACGTTAATCTGACAGAACTATTGTGTGATCGACCTGGCAGAACAGATAAGTTAGGCAGTCTACTTCAGAGAGGAAGAACGAATCTGTCTAGTATTGCAGAGACTGCGAAATAGAGTGCAATTCACTGAATCAACTAGTGATTCGATTGAAGTACACTTCCAATCGCAACTATTCAGTCTTCCATCCACTGAAGAATTCACCACTGAAGTACACCCAATCTCAGTCTTCCAACCACCGAAGTCTTCCAACCAGTGCCAACATCACTGCTCACGACTCCACAACATACTTAAGTCCGCTCAGCACTTCCCAAATCAACCACTGTGCTCCAACAGAAATCACTCAAGTACTCCCTAAATCACAACCCGTCTTCTCCCCATTTTCCACCATGGTCAGTGAACACAAACCTGATCCCACGCCGAACTCCCCAATACACTCCTTGAAAGAGACCCCCACGACCGAACTCCACAACGGAACCGACGCGGACGCAGAAGAAGCAGACGGTCCCAGAACCAAAGAATCGCCGTTGACAGACATCGCTACCTCTCCTCCTCCGTTCGATTTCTTGAGAGACAGGTCTAGCAGGATGGGTAGCTCTACTGGAGATCTTGCCACGGACAACCAAAAGTCGTCCAAGGACAGCTATGAAAGTTCGGAGTTGAGTGATCTTGCGGACGACGACTCTGAAGCAGAAACCGACAAAATGGACTTCTTGGACGAAAATGATGACGAGCAAAGCTCCCAGCCAGTGTCTGACTTGTTGGCATTGTCCAAGTTGACTGAATTGGCACGCATGAAAGATGTGGATTCTGATTTCGAGGACGATACCGAGAGAGTCGGTGGAATTCTCAGCGACAAAGAAGATAAGGAACGCCAAAGTCCGCTGGACCCCGAATCTAACCACCAGACCCCACCAAAAACCGAACCCGAGACTGAATCAACTATAGAATCCTCCAAGAGAGGCATTGAAGACTCCATAGAACCGGAACCAAAGAAGCATAAGAAGAATGAGAGTGTGACTCCCGAGCCAGCTACCCTCGATACCAACAAAAATTCAGCTGAAGACACTGAGACCAAAAACGAGGACTTAGATGACAGTACGAACGAAGTCGAAAAATCCGATTCCAACCATGATGATGAACCTAAAGACGTCAAGCCCGATCTTACCAATGGAAACAAAATTGCTCATTCCGATGCAGAGGCAGCTGCCGATGCCGAAGAAGAAGATCATGAAGGTGAAGACCAAGAAAGAGAAGATGAGGAAGAAGTAGAAGATGATGACAATGACGACGAACCAACTGCGAAAGCTCCGGCAAAGAAAAGGGGTTTTTCTGAGACTAACGACGAAGGTGAGATTGAAGAAGAAGAAGAAGGGGATGACGAGGAAAACAACGAAGAAGCTCAGGAAGATTCTGATGTTGATGACCAACATTTAAATGAACAACGCAAGTTGGCTATAGAGGAATTGATAGCCATTGAAGGCTTATTTGCAGAATTGCGGGATAAACTTTATCAGGATAAGCTTAGTCTACTCGAAAGAGAGCTCCAATTATGTTTGGAAGGGTCACATCCGGAGTTATCAAAGATATATTACAAGGTTAATGGTTTCTATCAAGAAAGTTTGAAGCTAGCAAATTTCAATTTAGCATACAATCTTAAGTGTATCGACAAAGAAACAATTGCTACCAGAACCTCTATCCACCAAGACTTCCTCAAAAACTTGATGGACACGAAAAATGACATGATAACCGAAACAACCTCTCTCTGGTATAAGGTGAATCGCGAGCGTAATCAGCTAGACCAGCTCGTGCCCGACTACAATTTTGCTGCAGTACCACTGATACCGAACGTCACAGTTGCAGGGCCACCTGAAGAAGCACATAACGGAACTATCAACGGGTATGAACATGTCAGTGAGTATCAACCATTAACAAAAAAGACGATCAAACACAACACTTTGGTGGAACTTGTTCAGCAGCACAACAACAGAAATCACCAACTAGGAGTGCTCAATGGGTTGGTTCAGTTCCATGGATTTCCGTCTGCTATCAACACATCTTTGGTGGCCACTCCCGAAATTTCAAGTGCCGAGTTATTGTTGAAGAGGGCTACTGATGAAGAAATTCTCGAGGACTTGAAGGATATGGGTATCCCCATATAGAATCTGTTGCCTTGAATTGTTGCCAGATATTCAGCCATGATAGGTCTGGCAAATCGTTTGGTGAAACCCTGAGCAACTGCCATGGCAGATCTGGAATCTATGATTTATTACCATTGGTTGGTTGAGCTGCGATGTATGATTAATAGCAGATATATGGGGGCTTGAACCGATTCATACTCAACAAATTGAATCTGATGTCGAGAAATACCAGCCTTCACTATTTCAACATTAGATATGTTCTTGGTGCAATGCCATCAATTATAGATGATAGCGACCATCTCTCTTCTTCTATGTATTTTTAATGTATTCATTTGTATTGGACATGTATTTTATGAACATAAGTATGTTCCAGGAGGACGGGGATCGATCAAGAATATTAAAAATGAGCCAGGCAAATCAGAGAGAAGCATACTTCCAAAAAACCCTTAACTCAATACTTTGAACCGCCATCTTAAGGCAGTCTCGACCACGAGGCTGCATAGAAAATGAATTGAGGTGGCGGTGTTAATTGATGTGCTTAAGATTGGTATGAACGACCTTTTGTGTTCATAAATAAATTGGGTATTTCGGTGGTATGGAATTGGTATGTTCAGGAATACCTGATAATTCGATAAGCGATGTTATTAGGAAGATATGGTAATACCATGAAAAAAATAAGGAGATCAATACTATCCACACGTATATACAATCAAAGACTGGGGATTTTATGGTTGCAAGGACGGAAAACCATGATTACGATCACGATATGCTGGTTGCAATTATAGAACACCAAGATCATGATAATTCCATGAACTGAATAATTAAAATAAAGAGTCGGAGTACTCTTCATATTTACGGAAAACCAAGAAGATTATGATAAAACGACAATTACGGCTGCAACAGAAAACCAAGATTATGATTCCACTAATTGCTAGATTCATCGCCCAAAAATAGAGTAAAAGAAGAAAGCAGAAACAGAGGTTATCCTACAGCAACAAGGCAAATAGAACTTGTATACGGTAATGCCACCATGTCATCGTGTGGCTCAAACCAGTCCTAACCAAACATCCGTACCTCAAACATCCTCTTGTGCTCAAAAGAGTATAGAAAGTAAGGGAGATTATTAAAAAGAAAATTTCCTACTCCAATGTATAAATCCTGATTACAAATACGTTCACATTCACTATCAGAGAAACATCCCCGACCCAAAGATAAACCCATTCTAGCGTTATATATAAAAGAATCACCCTCCATTCCTACCATCCATACTATTGTCCCCACATCAGCACCCGAAAAACTCAGCCCTACGCACTACTAATTTTACCACGTATCAAACATCAACAACACTTCCAGATTACTACACGATATGGTGGAGGTTTCATTAACAGTCGGCAAGCTCGACGCCTCGTTGGCATTGTTGTTGACAAAAGATCACCATCTCATTGAGTTTCCCACCATTCTTTTGCCCAATGGCGTCAAAGCTGGATCTATAGTCAAGATCAAGTGTGACCAGGACTTGGAAACAGAGGTGGAAGAGGCCAAACAGTTCCAGAAGATCCAGGACGAGATCTTGACCACCTTCGGAACCAATCTTCCCCAGTCGCCTGTGTTGAAGATCAAGAACATAACCCAGACCTCGTGTATCTTGGAGTGGGACAAGTTGGAGTTGGGAACCTCCAGCTTGAAGAACTTGATTTTGTTCAAGGACGGCAAGAAGTTGGGATCCATACCCCAGCCATTGACCAACCGCACCACCAAGTTGTCTGGATTACCTATCGACAAGTCGTTCAACTTCCAGCTCAGATTGGACACCACTGCAGGGATCTACCTGTCCAACACCGTGGAGGTCACCACCCACAAGATGACAGACTTGTCAGGAATCACCGTCTGCGTGGGCGACTTCTCGCCCAACGACCCTTTCACCCTTGCTGACATTGAAAACACCTTGAAGAAAATGGGTGCCAACTACCCTCCTCAAGACAAGATCAAGGTCGACACCACCCACTTCATCTGTACCAGAGAAAACAAGCAGAACCCCGAATACTTGAAGGCCAGCGATATGAACATTCCCATCATCAGACCCGAGTGGTTGAAGGCCTGTGAAAGAGAACGTAGAATTGTGGGGGTCAGAGACTTCTACATCAAGGATTGCGTGTTGCCCGATATCTTTGCCAAGAACTACTGGGGCAACAAGCAAGAGCAAGCTGCCGTGGCTGCACCAGCAGAGCCTAGCGAACAGCCAGTGAAAGCTCCAGAAGAATCTAGCGAACAGCCAGTGACAACTCCTGAAGAAGGGGCTCATATTTCTGTCGAGGACTTGAAGCAAAAGGAAGAACTTCCCCCTCTACCACAGGAAGAGGCCAAGGCCACTAAGGAAGAAGAAGTGGGAGAAAAGGTGGAAGAGACCAAGCTCACCAAGGAAGACGCTGGTACAGCGGGAGAGCTCGAAGAGACCAAGCTCACTAAGCAGGAAGATGTAGAAGAAAATTCCCAGAACCTCGAAGAGATCGATCTCGCTACTAAGGAAGAAGTTGCAGAAAGTGCCCAGAACCTCGAAGAGGTCGATCTCACCACCACCAAGGAAGATGCCAATCTCCCAGAAGTTGATGAAACAGTTGTGAATACCGAAGAGATTAAGATCGAAGAGCCTCCAGTTGAGGAACCTATTGTGGAAGAAGACCCACAAGACCTTGCAAATGACACTGCCAAGAGCAATCCAAAGAGTACTTCTGTTGAGCAGGCTGCTTCAGAGGTCGAGTCAGCTCAGACAGAGCCAATTGAAACAATTCCAGTCAAGGAAGAACCAGTGAAGGAAGAACCAGCCAAGGAAGAACCAGCCAAGGAAAACTTAGAACAAGCTTTAGAACACTCTGATAAAGAAACCACAGAAGAAGCACAATCTGCCATTGAGGAAAACGTTACAGCATTGCCCGTTGATTCTAACACGGAGCCAGTGGAGCCAGAGGAAAATACCAACGAAGATGGGCTGGACGATGAAAAGGAACAAGTAGGTAAAGAGAATAGCAGTGCTCCTAATACCCCTAAGAAGAAGAACAAGAAGAAGAAGAACAAGGGAAAAAAGTAGCATTAGATAAATATATGGAGACTCGTCCTAGCATCGAGAGTTCTAAATGAGTAGAAGCTAAGAAAATTGTAGATGAGTCCTAGAAGAATTGGATTTAGCTTAAGAAACTTGTCTGGATCGTTACTCAACGATTGTAGATGGAGACGTTGCTTAATTCTTATTTTCTCGTAGCTTTAATACTAACGGAATCGTAGCTTTAATCTTAGTGACATGTCGCTATAATTCCAACGGAATCATTATAGAGTCGTGGCGAACACCTCACTGCTCTTGGAAACACTCTTTCGGCTACTGGAGTCATCCATTGATCTCAAATATATCGTGTATTAATCGTGACAGTCCTTTCTAAGTGCTGTCATAACTGTAAAAAGCTAGACCTTTGTGAATTGAACGTTCATTGCGTTGCATTGAAAACGTCATATGCGACCTTAACAGCATGCGGAATTGAATATCTATCCAGTTGCTTATTCTCCAAAAAGTCTTCTAACCTTCTTCAAAATCGAGTCCTTTTCAGGGTCGTAAGGATGGTCTTTCGATGGGATTTCCAAGATGGCAGGAAACGCCTTGGTGTAATTGTCAACCTTGTATCTTATCAAATCAGCCAAGTGTTGGTTGATCAACAAAATCGCAATATCGTCTCTTTCCGAAGTGAACTTCTCAAAAGCCTCTTCGATCTGTTCGACCGTGGTCTTTCCAGGAACAACCGTCAAGAAGTTGGTTTCCTTTCCAGGCTCGTTGGAGACCTGGCCAACGCCAGCCAACAATAAGCCGGTGATGGAATCCTCGTCAGCAATGGCGGCTAACAACGACCGTTTGGCCATCGCGTCGTTTGCAGAACTCATGATGATTGGTGGTGGAGACGATTGGGCGGGCGTTGATAAAAAATGGCTGGTGGAGGGGTCACGTGCATAGATCACGAGATATGATCACTGTATTCACGTGAATAGTTCCAACAAGCACACGTGATACTACCTCACAAACTTTTGCTGCCAACACTCCACGGTCTTCCAGTCAGCATGCTTGCATTCAGATCTATACCCAGCACCTTGAAGGTCACGAGGACCAGCAGCTGCAGTCTTTTCCACACCTCCGCCAAGGTGTCTGCAGGACACTCCAAATGGGCAAACATCAGACACGACAAGGCCAAAAATGACGCCAAACGGTCCAAAGAAGCGTCTATGCTTGCCAGCAAGATCGAAAGCAGTGTCAAGGTGGGAGGAGCAGAAGCAAACGCCCAGCTAGACGCATTGGTGGAAAAAGCAAAGAAGTTGAACGTCACCAAGAAGATCATTGAAAGTGCCATCAAGAGAGGCACTGGAGAAGTCAAGCACGACGGTCCAGTGGTGGCAGAAGTCCAGTACGAGTTTGTGGGTCCAGGAGGTGTTGCCTTTATTGTGAATGCCTCCACTGACAACAAGGCCAGAACCGTGTCGTTGGTCAAATCGACCCTCAAAGAGTTCAACGCCTCGTTGAGTCCGTGTCTCTATCTCTTCCAGAAAAAGGGAGAAATCATTTTCGAGGCCAAGAACGAAGACGAGACCTTGGACGACGTTTTTGAGGTTGCCATCGAGATCGGAGCCGAAGATGTGGAGGAGTTTGTGGATGTTGATAACGAGTACGATGCAGGCAAACTCTACAAGATCACCACGGAACCATCGGAGTTATTCAACGTGAGTAACGCATTGGCGAAGACCCACAAGCTTAAGGACTCAAAGACGACATACATCACTGAGCCAGACAACGAGGTGCCATTTCCCGAGGATTACCAGAAGGGATTCAAGAAATGTATTGAAGGCTTGGAGTCCATTGCTGAGGTGACGGAATACTGGACCAATATCCAAGAGTAGCACATGTAAATAGCAACACGAATAGAATGAAAGCCAGAGTGGAACTGGAATATTCAACGAATAAGTAAGACAAATGGTAAGCGGACAATACGAACAGAGTAACAGCTACTCTCAGAATAACAGCACTGAAATTATATAAGATGCTTCTGAGTATGGACTTTAGTACCAGCCGGCTAGAGAATCGGTTCAGGAATTCTCATGTTGAGTCTTCTCAGGAGGAACACCGATGAGGCCTGGAGACAGACACCTTGGAGAGATTTTGACCCCATCTGAGACAATTTTAAGCCATTTGTCCATTAAACCCATTTGAAGACCATTCATCACTAGGAGAAACTCCTTGGGCTCCCCTTTAAGACATTTGAAGACTCATATTTAGACTCATTAGAGTCCGTCTGACTCCATTCACTCTACGACCCGAAGACTGGGCTCCCCACTCTACACTTCGACACTTCGTGTCCTCCCTAACATTACTACATCACTTGGAGACATTATGTATTGAGACCATTCTAGTCTTCCTATAATGGACGTCTGACCCTTGTCAGATATGCAAACCTATACTCATCGAGCCCATCAGGGTGAGTTCACTTGTCATGCCAGTGGCCAATTACTTTTCACTCTTTTCAGACTCGTTCAACACGTTGTCCAACACGGACAAGTCGGGGTTCTTCCACAATCTCAACTGTTGGTCGTGAGCAAAGTGACGGTAGGTGAAGAAACAACCGGAAGCAACAGCAACACCTATGGCAGCGAACAATGGGTACATTTCAACAGGGACAGGGACCTTCTTTGGGCCCTTCTTGGCGGCGTTGGCTAACATTTGGGTGGCTCTCATCTTGACTATTGACCTTGATTCTGGATTGATGGTTGAAATCGTACCATGTCTTGGGTGAGAGTTTCGGGTGGCGCACGCCCTGCGCATCTGTGGTGAATTTGGTTGGTTGACAGTGATGGGGTCACGTGTGTGACTCTGGGGGTGATCTGGATAGATTAGTGAGGGAGCTTAGACAGTGTCAGTAATCCTGGGGAGTGTACTACGGTGATCGCTTTGTAAATTCTATCATTTTTCGGTCAATCTGTGGAGTATATTCAAAGGATATGAATTTGTAAATTGTATTATTCTCCATTAAATTCTGTCTTTTCCAGTAAACTCTATCATTTCTCAGTTGCGATAATTTACTTGTAGTGGGTCTATCATGCTAGCAATTATTTTCAGCTGTATTGGAATGTAAATACAAAAAAGGCCAATTAGCAAAAATATTTATAATGCTCGATAAGGTCTAAATTAATGACTTGTCACCATCCTTTATTGCATACCTATGTCTAGGATTTTGCGCTTTTGTCAACTCTCATTTATTAATTAGAATCCCAATGACATGAAAGAAGATAAGATTCTTAAACTATAAATATTCAAACTTTTGAATTAAGTCATTGTAGGAATATTCATTGCAGACTGCTCCCTATTTTCCATTAGTATCAGCTATATACCTCGCTAGCAGTCCATGATGTCCCACAATACGCATTATGGATGTTTCCTAAGACAATTGGTCGCACAATAACTAAATTCATACACCCAATATGCTTGAAATCTTCTTTGAGATATAGATCTCTTCACGTTAATTTGTCTCCAACTATTTCAACCACAAACCCATTTCTCCTGTAGCTGCAAAAAGATACGGAGCAGCTGCGATAACAATAAAACACACATTCCAGTAATCAAATTAGCGTAGCCTCCCTAATACAAAATTACTCCATGCGTCGTTCTTTGCAACTTGCCTATAACCAACTTTTGATTAATTTATGGATGGCTCTTGAATCCACGCCTACTCTTATTCTGGATTGCACTCTATGTGTATGCGGCAGTTGAACTAAATAGTCTATAAGTTCTGGAAAATCCAGCTAGGTCAGTCCGTATGGAACATCTAGTCCGAAGCATCCTGGGATACTGAACCGACACTGTCTAATAAATAATCTACCATTTTCTAATGGCATCCTTGAGGGTGTCGTAACACACCCACGAGATGGCCATGGAAGGAACGATCTTGTAGAGGTTGGCACTCAAGCCCTTGTAGGCACCCAAGAACCCTTCTTCTCGGAAAATGGACGTGAGCGCATGGGTCACCGATCTGTACTGAAATCCAAGCTCTCCGCCTGCCATATTGGCCACCTGGTACCGTTTCCGCAAGAGGTCCAACGGGTAGATCAAGATGCCACCCACACAACTGGAGAAAGCACCCGCAGATAGCTTCCAGAGTGGGTTGGAATAGTCGCTGGTGGAGCTGTTCATGCGATCACGAATGACTTCGTACAACGCGAAGTTAATGGCCACGTAGGGAGCCACTCCGAGCGTGGTGGGCACCATTCCACGGTACAACGCCGTGAAGCCACCCTCGGTTCGGTACACCTCCTTGAGGGTCTCCACCACGCCTGGAGGACGCACTGTCTTGCCTTTATTCAATTTCGACAACGAGGCTGTTTTGATGGTAATACGTGCTCTCACGAGGTCCAACGGGTACGTCGTCACCACTGACGCGATTCCTCCTACCAGGCCTGCTAGTAATCGCTCCCAGAACAAGAGATCCTGGCCTGGTTTGCGTGCAAGTATCACAGCCTTGACCTTCTCGAACACCGCGTACTGAACTGCGCTGTAGGGGAAGATCCGCAAGCAGTTCAAGGTGTTTCCTCGAAAGAGGCCTCTCCAGCCTTCGTCTGCGTACATTTTGGCGATGGTGGGAAACATGCCTCGGTATGCTTGATTGGAGCCAGGACCCTGGAGCTGCAACAAGATCTTGGCTCGTTCGAACGGGGACACAACTGTTCTGGATAGGGCACCAGAGATGCCACCAGCCACCAACGAGGCGTTGGAGTCCTTCTTGATAAACTTCTTGAGCCTTGTCTGTAGATCTGACATGGATGGAGAAGTCTAGGGGAAATCGGTTGTGAAGGATGTACTGCCTTATCAGGGATAATGTCACTCAGATGTCGATGGGGTTATCTTATCAGGGAATCACTTCGAAGTGTCGAATATTGACTATCAGGGTGCCACGACTTGACTGGGATCACGTATGGAGGTAGTTTCAGACCGCTTCTACTGTGGACCACTACTGATCGAGGATCTCGTATAGTCTGACGTACTGTATGACTGGGCTTCTATGAAGGCTCTTGTATGAGTGCTCTGTATAACGTACTCTCTGACAGTGCCTCTGGCTGTGTCTCTGGCTATGTCTCCTGCCTTTGTCTCCTTCCTTTGTCTCTAAATCTCTTTCGGTCTAATTCTCTCTCTCTTCGACTATCACTCTGGATACTGAATGCTCCAGCACGTCTCGTCTCACCGTATGCTATTCCTCTTGAAGTCTCGCTCGAGGACTCACTGGTAATATAGATCGGATTTGACTTCCCCAGATCGGAATTCTAGATTTTTTCACGAGCACTCTCCGGGTCTGGACTGGCAACGGGATAGTCCCCGGAAAATACAGGGAGGGAGACGGGGGATACACCTGGGCATGGGGGTGTAGCCGTTGGTCCAGCAGTTGGAGGCCAGCAAAATTGGCGTGCTCTAGTTTTAGGCAAATGTTAATGTGGTACCAGAACCTCTGACTCGGAGCTGTTCATTCTGGCAAATGGTGGACTAAATCATACTGATAAATACGCTACGAGATTAAGATAATATGATGAATCCACAGGGAAAGTCTCCCGAAGTGGACCAGTAGTGATTCTGGCCTGAAACCGCTACCATTACCACTATCTGATTTCCAGATCGGTTTATTAGGTGAGGTTTGATTTGGCGATCAATGGCCCATAAGGCCCGGGATTTTGTTGTACATCGTAGGAATTGGAGTCCAGCGTTTTGCGGTTTATTTCATCCAAATCAGTGAACGATCTTGATCCATCAAGAGTATTGCATGCCAGCAGATCATCTACAGAATAACAAGAAGTTACCGACATGAAACATAAACGTAACTCGATGTAACGTCTTTTAATTGCCCAATTCCACTATTGACATATTTTGATTTTACATAGTCTGTAGAATTTGAAATCAAAATATGACACACGCCTCATAATACACTTTCTTCATCTACATTTATTTTCATGAGCATACCTTATCGTACATATACTCGTCCATCATATTTCTCATAATCTATAACCATTAGTAGCCTGAAAGAACCTTTTCAATAGCTGCAACCAAGATATCAGCGTGCTTCTGTTCGAAAACCATAGTTGGTCTCAATCTGACAGACTTTTCAGCACATCCACCAATGTTGACACCAACAGTCTTCATGTCCTTCAAGAACTTGTCTCTGGCAGCAGAGTTATCGAAACACCAAGCAATGAAGGTGGCTCTGTCCTTACCTCTCAAGTTTTGCAAGTATTGTGGGTACTTGGCTTGCAAGTCTTCCAACTTCTTGAACAAGTAACCACCGACCTTTTGGGCCTTGGCTGGCAAGTCGTGCTTGACGACTTCAGAAGCAATGGCACCGGCCAAGATCATTCTGGCTGGGTCACCGCACCAGGTGTTGAATTGACGGTATGCAACGTTTGGAATGATTTCTGGGTCGTGGAAGTAGTAACCGGCAGTTTGGAACTTCTTGGAGAAGGTGACAAGGTCAGCTGGTGGAGAGATTTCGAAGTGTTCGTGGCCCCAGAACAAACCGGTGGCACCGATACCAGTTTGGACTTCATCCATGATCAACAAGGCACCGTGCTTCAAGGTGATGTCTCTCAAGCCTTGGAAGAATTCATTGGAAGCGTGGTTGTCACCACCTTCGGATTGGATTGGTTCAACCAAAACACCGGCAATTGGACAGGAGTGGGTCTTGAAGAGGTTTTCGACGATTTCCAAACATCTTTGGTCTTCCTTCTTGTTTTCCTCTTCGTGCTTGTCCAATGGATATTTGTAGGATGGGAACTCAGCCTTTGGCCAGTTGAAAGATGGCATGTCCAACTTGTGGACTGGCTTGGAGCAGGTGGTGGAACCAGAAGCGAACAATCTACCGTGGAAAGCTCTTTCGAACGATAAGATGGCCAATTCTGGGGATCCTGGAGCCTGGCCCTTCATGACGGAGGTGTTTTCTTCGTCGCTGAAAGGAACCTTGTGGCCACCTCTCTTTTGGGCTTGGTACCAGAAGAAGGTAGCCTTGAAGGCCAATTCGTTGGCGTCGGCACCAGACAAGGCAGGGAACACCTTGTCTTGGCCCTTTGGAGCAACGGCCAACAAGCCGTTCAAGATCTCCTCGAGGTCCTTACCAGGGTAGTTACCCAAGGCTGGTCTGTCGACAATGGCTCTGATCATCTTGTCGGACTTGGCAGCCTCGATCAAGGCAGGGTTGTTGTAGCCCAATGGGATGGAAGCGATCTGGGCGTAGACGTCCAAGAACGAGTTTCCGTCGGCGTCCACGATGTAGTTACCCACCGACTTTTCGTAGTCGGCAATGAAGTAGACTGGTCTGGAGTCGAACACCTGGCCCAAGGACTTGATGCCCTCCTGGGACTTAGGGCCTGGGAATTCGGAGGTGACCACGGTAGGAGCCACAGGCTCGTTGGGGAAGTATTGTTCACTGGTGCTCATTGTGGTGTTGTTGTGAGCTGGAGGCACTTGAGGGTAGAAACAGGGCGGGTGATCCGGTGGGTTTATATAGTATGGCTAGTTTGGCTGTTAGTCCCAATTGGGCAAGCCGCTGCTGGCAGTAGCGACAGCCACCGCGGGGCGGTTGTGGGCGCTAGCGCGTGCACCAAGCGAGTAGCGGCTATAGCCGCAAAGGCCAGGGAAAGACGGGGTCCTGATCCCGTCTGGGGTCACTTGTTAGCGGCTAGGGGTGCTGATGATGTGACAGGCGGGGCCGTTAGTGAGATATGACATGGATGGCGTAAATGCACAGATAGGTGGGATTTGCAGTAACTGGAAGTGAGTGGTGGAAGTGAGTGGTAGAACTACAGTTTACTGGTGTATTGCAATTCAGTACCGGGAAACTGCTGGGAGGTTAGTAGCCAGTAGACTGGAGGATGGCTTGACGTTATGCTGGATGACTATAACGTCGACTCACTACTTTAGGGATGGCTCAACCGGCGAAGACCGGATCACTGCAACCTCAGTGAGACTGGATGGTTAGCAACTTTTCACTCTCCGAGACTCCCTCCGTTAGGCAGTTACAGACATTACAGATGTTATAGGCGTAGTATGACTATGGCCCAACTGGCTGCTCCACCACGGGGTTTGTCGTGAGGAAATTACCCCGTGGCTCCGCCAACGTTGTGGTGCCATGGCGGGTCGCTGATCGCATTCGTTATCTCCGCTGGGGTATTTTTCGCAATCTCGCTGTGTTTTGCCGGACTTGGTTGGGATCGGGAGGGGTAGAAGAGGTGGTAGTGACTCCAGATATGCCAAGGGGTGTGGTTGTGGACGAGTAAGGATGGGTGACTACGGCCTCGTCGAGTGATCGCTCGATATTGTGGTTTCACAAGTAAGTCGTTTGATGACTCTACAAGTATTTGTTGAAGGAAGGTGATTTTTCGGAGTGATGTGTTCGAATTCTGTTTCTCCAGTTGTATGGTCGATTTCGAAGTTTGGCCAATTCTGGATGTCTCAGCATATTAGGCTCATCCGGGTAGTTGCTTAAAAGGACCGTTAGTCCTTATGTTGGTGCCTCGATTGTTTATGGTTGTTTCGATTTCTATCCCAATTTTATTACCTACTTTAATTAAATCTAATTGAAATAATATCAAAGGTAATTTATTCGGGTAATTTTCAAACGACTCATTCGATTTGGTTATATCCGGATGGTCCTCAGCTTCTTCTACCTCCTTTGAGTGATGCTCAAAGCAGGTAGTCCCAGTTGCTGAAAACATTTATTTCCTGTCCTAGAGTCGTACCCATGATTTGAACGGTTCGTCTTGACATGTACTACATTATTAATTCACTCTACTGGCGAATACATTTAAACAGTTCACCATCTAGGAGAAATGGAGTCTTGGCTGACTACCTGCTGCAGGGAGTAAGTATGATGGGATCCTATAAAATCCATTAATGCTATATTAACCTAGTAACTTGTTCAACAGAGCCGGTTCCTAAATAAATCTGAAAATCAGTATACGTTAAATGCAAGCACTCTCGCTCGTCTCTGCATATTTTGTAGAAGCAGAATGGGTTTGTATTTACCTTGAAACATACTGGCTCTTGATATCGGAGACCCTAGGATGAAATTCCAGGAAATTCTGGAGTGGTTTCTTCAGAAGCAAAAAATCAACACTTTATCATCCTGGCGACTTTAGTTATCACAGCTCCATTGTTCCCTATTATAGTAGTAAGCATACAGATGAACTGGTTTGATTGTATCCTCCATGAGTGGTAACCACCAGTAAATCAAAACATACACTAAAAAAGGACTTCTTTTACTACATATCTTCTTGAGCAATTGTATCATTAACACCATTGCAAAATCCAATTTCGCAATTACCTTTTGCAACTACAAAGTATCGAAAATGAAATCTAAATCAGCGAACCAAAAGAGCAAAAGACTAGGAGTAAAAAGATATGAGCAAAGATGCTGAGAATAATACACCAATCGATCACCCATATCTATTCTTCCAGCGATACTGGGTAGCAATACGCTAAAAAGCCCAATTGTCGACTAAACACAAGTAACATCAAAACTACGAATTTCCTCACCAGCAGTGATTCCATTGCAGTATAAACTAGAAAATAGGAGCTATGGACGATTACCACCCGTCAGACTTCCTGCATGCCTCGTTTCCTGTCTTGTTGCGTTCACATCCCCAGCTGATGACATCCCATCGAAGTACTGCATACACCACCAGTAGTTTTTGAGAGTAAACAGTGGACTATCTCTTGTGACAACTATAGCAGAAGCAAGAATGAGTGACGAGAACGTGGCCGAGCCCAATCGCGCCGAGCAGGTAGCGACAGACCAGCCCAAGCTACCCGAAGAGAACCAGACCAGTAACGAAGTAACCAATTTGAACGAAAAAGCCAGTCATCAAGGCGAGCCAGAAGGGAATGCGGTTGATTTGAACATACTTGAAATCGACAAGATGTTGGCAGAGGGAAGATCGGATCAAGACCAGCAAGTTGCGGAAGAGACCCACAACGAGTCCTTGAAACGCGCCAGCGATGATGACCACAACGGCTCAAAGCGTGCCAGAGTAGACCAACAAGAACCAGAAACAAGCCCAAACCGAACAGATACTTCCGAGCCACTGGATACTACCGATGCAACGAGCTCAAAAAGTGCACAGCCTGCTGAAATCGACGAAAGGTCAGAACTAGCCATGATAGCCAACGAATTAGAAGACGCTACAGAGTCCAACAAGGAGAAAAAGGCCCAAAAAGAAAAGGAAGAGTTGGAGCGCTCGTCAGTGCTCCACTCAGGCATTCCAGTGCCCGCAAACTCCGAGCTATTGAACACCAACACTGCGTTAGCTGCATACAAAAACCTCTCGAGAGACTATCCCCCACTAGCCATCCTAGCACATGCGCATCTTGCTGCTTTGCCCTTGCCAATTGTTGCTTCGGATATTCTCCCTCCCAGAATCCAGTTGTTGATCAATACCCTACCTACGTTGGACAATTTGGCCACACAGTTGTTGAGAATCATTGCGGTTGGACCTTACCAAAAGATTATCGACTTGGCTTCCAACCAAGAAACCCCCGAGGGTGCAACCTTCCGAGACCTTACATCGTTGTTCGAGTTCACCAAGAGATTATATTCAGAAGAAGATCCGTTTTTGACTGTGGAGCACTTAGCTCCAGGAATGTGGAAAGAAGGAGAGAAGACACCCAGCATGTTCCGCAACAGAGAACAGAGCATTGAGTCAACGTTGAGAAAAGTCAACTTGGCAACTTTCCTCGCAGCCACCTTGGGTACGATCGAGGTGGGTTTTTTCTACTTGAATGAGTCGTTCTTGGACGTATTTTGTCCCGTCAACAACTTGGACGTGGAAAACTCGTTGAGCAACATGAGCAGCTTCAATATGAGCCTCCAGAGCGGCATCAACACTACGGTGGGCGAACGGGTAGGAAAGCTTTTGAAGCCTCAGGCAGTATTGTTTTTGGAATTGAAAACGCAGGCGTACATCTCTGCCATTGATGCAGGAGAGAGATCCAGAGAAGAGATATTGGAGGACATTTTGCCTCACAACCTCGAAGAAATCTTGCTTTCCAGAAGAGGCTCGAAGGCATTGACACCAACGGAAATGGATTTTGTTGAGCGTTGCAACACCCGCAAACAGACGTTATTGAACTACGAAGGTACCAGTTTGAGTGAAGAGTACGAATGGTTCAATTTCATCAAGGAGTTGTTCGATTACGTGGGCAAGAACATGGGCTACATTATCTGGGGCAAGAAGGGCAAGAGCAGAGACCGTGAAACCACTCCACACAGCAGGGAAATAATGGCTAGGACCGAGGAGCAAGCCTACACCACTACGCTGGTACCACAGGCTGGGTCCTTGGAAACTACTGGCAAGAACACTTCCCAAGCACCATCAAATGTTTCTAGCTACACACCTACGAGCACCACCAGCAATGCGCTGGATGAGTACACCAATATCAACAGCCTTCTTCCGTCAGAAATTCTCGAACAGCAGATTCATCTCCGGATCAACCCTACTACCAAAAACCTCAACAGACGGCCATGGACTCGTGAAGAAGAAAAGGCACTTCGTCACGCTCTTGAGCTCAAGGGCCCCCAATGGTCGATAATTCTCGAGTTATTCGGAAATGGAGGTAAGATTTCCGAGGCATTGAAGAACAGAACCCAGGTCCAGCTCAAAGACAAGGCACGGAACTGGAAGATGTTCTTTTTGAAGAGTGGTCTCCCAGTGCCAGCATATTTGCAGAGAGTTACTGGAGACTTAGAGAGAGACGAGAAGAAGTCTTCGAGACAGGCTAGGCGAGACAAGACAGCGGCCGCACCAGTGCCCAGCATTCAGCAGAAGTAGAAGGAGTAACGAGAGAGGTGATGAACATAGTTAATTAGTGGTGATACCTCCCAGGAAGTATAAATAATCGAGTGAGTATAAGTCAACCAGGGAGGACCAAATTCCAGCGAGTAAAATCGAGGGTATGCAAGTCTACTTCTAGTGATACTTTCCAGGGTGAAGTATTTTGCCTGGTGTACAAATCTTTCAGGGTATTGAAGTACTCCAGGGTAAAAATTTCCAGGGGCTATAAATCTCCCGAGTTTACGAATCTAGGATGCAAGGTTCAGAGGATGAATAAATCTACTTCTGGCGAAACTTCCCAGGATTCAAAACTGTTATAGTGCTGATATCCTGCAAGGTATACAAACCTGCTTCTAGTCGTGGCTACCAATATGATTTCTATGGAATTAATGGGCAGTATATCTCAGGCGTACTAATCTACTTCCAGTGGCGAGTCTTTTGGTGATGAATGCGATGGAAAATATCTAGAATGATTTACCTTCCTCCATGGCCATAAACCTCCGTACTACCGTATTCTGGAAATATTACTCATTGTGGATTATACTAAATCTTGGTGATGCACTTCCAGGGCTGGTCGCAACCACCATCCCAGTCCACAAAATCTTCTGACAGTTTTTGGTCCATCGAGTGCCACTCGAATGCCGACACTAATGATGAACTGCTACTAATGATTGATGATGAACAGTCCACTTCATAAGTGTCTAGCTGTCACTACACTGCTGGAGCCTGCTGCCTCATCACTTCTCAGATGTGGGACGTTTCTTTGTGTCACGATCTCAATTTGGCATCCCCTAATCAAATTGACACATGTGGGATTCGGCCTACCACCGGACACCCGCCCGTTACGGCGGTGAGTTGAGTGTGTGACTGAGTTGAGTCAACTTACAACATCATCACTAGTCCACCACGTCAAATGGCAGACCTCGACTCCCGAATAGCTCACGCCAGACACCAGGCCCGCCAGTTGTACCACAGCTTGGAGGTGATGCAACTGAAGGTACAGGACGCTACCCTTGCTCAAGTGGCCAGGGACGTCGCCTCCATTCCTCGCAATTACTCCAACCTAGAGCTCTACAATACCTTGAAGGGCCACCATACCAAGGTAGCGCAGGTCCAATGGAGCCGCGACTCTGCGTCGCTCCTCACTGCCAGCCAGGACGGCAACATGCTTCTCTGGGATGCAGTCACTGGCTTCAAGAGGCTGGTGATCCGTCTCAACAATCCGTGGGTGTTGACGTGTGCCATTGCTCCTGCTGGCCACTTGGCTGCTTCAGGTGGATTGGACAACGCCTGCACCATCTACAGGGTACCCTCGCACGCCCCATATACCACTACAGGCTACGAAACCATATTTAAGGGCCACACAGCCTATGTGTCTGCCTGCGAGTTTGTCAACGATGTGTCAGTTTTAACTGCCAGTGGAGACATGTCGTGTGCCCTCTGGGACATCCACAAGGAGGCCAAGGTGAGAGACTTCCACGACCACCTGGGAGATGTGCTCTCGTTGAATTACGGGTACGAATCTGGGGTTTTCATATCTGGAGCCTCCGATGGCATGGCCAAGGTGTGGGACCCTCGCTTGAAGGGCCCAACCCGCAGCTTTGCTGTATCGCAGAGTGACGTGACCAGCTTGGCGTCGTTTCCCGACGGAAACTGCTTTGTCTCGGGCTCGGACGACGGCATGGTGCGGTGGTTCGATCTCCGCACTGATTGTGTTATCTCATCATATTCCATGTCTGCACATTTCAGTGATAAGTCACCAACCCTCCAGCAATCAGACAAAAACAGCGTGTACTCCTCGCCCTCGCATGAATTCGACAACCCCGGAATCATTTCTCTAGATTTCAGCAAAAGTGGACGATTGCTTTATGTCTGCTACTCTGATTTCGGGTGCATGATTTGGGACACTTTGAAGAACGACATCATCGGAACGGTCGGAAACGACCACATGGGCAAGATCAACCAGGTCAATGTAAGTCCAGACGGGATTGCGGTTGCGACTGCCTCCTGGGACTCGACCATCAAGGTATGGTCGGTGTAGATAATATACTATTAATAATTCACTAAGGTAGTCAGCGTAGAAATTAATAAACTGTTAATAATTCACTAACAAGGGCAATGTAGAAAGTTTGCTGATATTAAAATCAAGTATTTCACAAAGTAGGTGTGGTGGATAATTTATACTGTAAGTTGCCCCAAAAATGGTAGTGAAGATTGTATACACTGTTGATATTAAGGTGTCGCTAGAATAGTATGGCAGTGTAGATACATATAATCTCATTTAGAAAACTACCTTGTCCCAAAATATATTTTTGGTGAACATGATCTATTAATAACATTTGAGAGACTATATTATTTCTATTAGATACTGCTAATATTCTTCTAGTCAATAATCAAGGAAATAAACAGTGATTTTAATATTTCGCAAGTGCAGCATTGTAATGATATTTCCCTCACAATTCATGGTGCTGTAGATCCAATTTTCCTGTTCATTGATCTCACCGATGCCTCTGTAGTCTCAATTCAGTAAAAGGACTTTAACAATTTCGTTTACTAATACATACACAGTATATAAGTACAGAAAGTATACCTCTCGCGATAGCTGTAGTGGCCCTTTTGTCAAGAATGTGCTATTGCAGCGTTGCTGTCAATTGGTAGGTTGGGGAAGCGGTAGTCTAGGCCTCGGTGTGCTTCTTCACATACTCCCACAAACTCTTCAACAACGATTCTGGTAAAGTATACAAGTCCATGGTGAACTCGCCGTTCTCAACATCATTTTTAATATTCATTTCATTCGTTCTGTTGTCAGTGACCATTTGTACTATAACAATCAAATCATCTTCATTTAATTTGGTCAAGCCGTTGGCCAATTTTTCCAAGTCGATATTTCCCTTGACAGCAGCACCTCCATTGGTCTTGGCCTTCTTTAACTTGTCGTTTGGTCCCACTGCATCAATCTTACGTTTTGCGGCGCCAGATTCGTCGAAAGGTAATGGGCCACTTTCCACCAAAAGCTTGTTCAAGGCGGGGTTTTTAGTAGGACTAACGGGGATAGTAATGACGTGGTCGTTGATATACTTTTCTTGTAAGAAGTTTAAGTCGTGGCTGATTTTTCTTTCACCCACCTTTCCGTTCAATCCAAGCACATGGACAGAGATAGGTATATCGAATTCACCCCATCCTTGTTCTTCGACCCTGAATGGAGATTGTTTTATGGATCTTATGGGATTGGCGAACGTAGGATGCAAAGTGTAGGTCACTTTATCCAAAATCGACGCCTCTATTTCTTGTCCATTTTGATTTAACATCGAGATCTGAATGGACCATTGTCTCATTGGGTAGTTTTCAACCGGAGGAACATCTTTCAAGATGTGTTGCTCGGTGGTTATTCTGATAGTTCGTTTTGTCTATTGTTAGTACATGTATTAGTGTGTGTTGGCGTGTATGAGTTTTCGGAAGGGGATGCCACGACGTGTTCGACGGTGTGGCCACTGTACGGTGCTGTATTGGAGTAGTTCTCCGTCGCTGGGTGGCCAATGCGGTTAGCCACAGAGAGTGCAACAAGTACAACTCTCTGACTCGTAGCACAGAGAGGAGTAGATCTCTGTGACTCTTATTTGCGCTGTTTCGTCACTCCACTGATGTGCCGCCACGGCGGTCTTACCGTCATTTGCAGTAGTGGCGCAAATGAAGTCAACTGTCACAACATTGAAACGCAAATTGCACGATCAATCACTCCAATGCACACTGTCACAGCCAGCCAGGACTTTCTTGTAGCTCTCTCTGTCTATGTCCAGTGCCAGTGCAAGTTCGAGTCCAAACCGTATGTTTGGTCCCTTCAATGTTTCCTTATCGATATCAACAACCATATCGAAGTATCTTCATCCAATTTGACGATGGCAGTTTCCAATCAACACGTGTGTGTTCCACAGCCCTCCTAGAACGGTATACACCTGCCTGGTGGTGGGTACCAAATACATACCTCCATGTTGATGCTCGCAAATAAACACCTCCCGTTGTGTTTTCTCCCTTAGTTATTAAAAATTTTCAGTCGCTTTTTCGAGTTAAAGGTGTCACTGAAACTTGAACCAAATTGGCTAGTGGCACCGTTGGCGGAAGGGAGCGATCCCCAGGCAGGTATATAGATGTCACTGGAGTAGGTGCCACTCTTTTCCAGGAATTGAGTGTCTGTGGCATTTGGGATGCTCAAGCATCGAGCCAGCTGAACAGCACGCATAGTAAGAACCTGTACTTCGGTCTGGAATAGTGGTCTACAAGCCAACGACGTAATGGTATGATAGATGCAAGTATATTGGTGCAGTTATAGTAAGCCAATTCGCTACTATCAAATTCATTATAGCCTTTTACGTTTGCCAGGCCAGTATTATGACCAGACGAGTATCATATGCCAGCCAGTATTTAGTATGGTAGTAGCTCACAGCCGCCAACGCCGCTAGAGGATTTTTACTGAGCGTAGCATCCACGGATAGAAATAAGGGAGTTCTGGTCAAAACCAAAGAGTTTGGAAGCTGGTTGTGGATAACTGTAAATTGGACGTATTCAACAGGAGTTAAAGGGTCACCACGGGTAAAATTCCAGTCTGAATGGACAGGTACAGCTAATATACCCTCTGTGGCCAATATGGCTGGTTCATTAATCGTATTCCCTTTAATCCTTTCGATATTAGCATCATCGAAGTACCAAACTCTCGGTTTATCGCCAGACGCTTGAATTTCAATGGCAGAGGCTCGAAAGTCATACCGAAGTGGTGGCATGCTATCATCAGGTTTGGTCAGTGGATTTCAAAAGACACCAGAGACAAGCTTATCTATTAACAAATTGACGTTTGTGGTGGCTGCGAAATACCCTTTATTGCTGGAGAGAGGTGATGGACAAATAAGGGAAGAGGAATGGGAATGGTTGTACAGCGTACATGTCCGCTTCACTTGGAGCAGGGTATGCTATTGCAGCATTTACAACAGACGGACTAGTAATTGCAAAACCCACACCTTCACGATTTTATTGAACTCAGTGAGAGTGCAAAGCTCCGATTGCTAAATACATTGTCCCATTCGCTGATTTGTGGCGACCAAGATTCTAGACCTCCGTCGGATTCTCCCAATGCAGATGATATTCAAAATAGGAATGATGCAATATGGTCCTCTGGGATATAGTGTGAACTATCCCCGCAAGCTACCATCTCGGGGTGCATAGAAGGTGGTGTGAATTGGGAAAAATCGACGGACTTCTCTTTTTCATCTTTGTAGACGCAACTGAATGCACGGCGCCTACTGAAGGCTGAATACGGTAGATGATGGTTGTGATAGTTACAAGCATTTGAGTGGTATTGACTACAGTATAATGGATCGTTTTGTGGTATTTGGGCTATTGTAATGAAGGAACTCTTGAATCTAGCCTCCGTGCTATTGGCTTTACTGCAGCGGTAAATTCGGAGGGGAATTTCCGAGGCTTGATCCTGCAACTACAAGATATTAAGAGACCATACACAAATGTCTGCATCTTTTCGAAATAGGGCGCATTGGATGCCTTGCCAATCGTAATACTTCCCAATATTTGCAGGATACTGAATGGGCCAGAAATACACGTGACCAGAGGAGATGTAATTCACCGCTTCAATCGATTAACTGCTCAAATCCAAAGTCATCATAGGTGATGTAGTAACTATGAGCTTACACGAGCTGCTGGCAGCATTCCTAATTTAAAATACCACCTTTTAGAATGAAATCAGCTACCGGTAATTCTCCTAATTCGTTAGCACCTATTTTGTCTGTTGTCGATGCAACAGTTGCAAACTGGTCGGATTTGCCCAATTTAGCTGGGCAGCTCGTGTGCACCAGGCAAATAAATCATCCAGGCCCTGGCAGGGTGCTGGTAAGGTGGTGTCGTCCATGAGCATACTATAGGCTGATGAGCAGTCCTTTTTTCAAGTTCTGGTGCTGAGTCGATTTTGAACAATCACTTGTTTGCCTCTTGAAATAATATCGACTGAACAATGTGCTTTTGTTGCGGTGGAAACGGAATTAGCGTCACCAGTCCATGAAGGAGCAGCTTGATATGCAGAATCAAGGTGGCAGCCTGGTTTTCGGAATGCAAGCAGTAGTTTAATTGTGCAAACTCGTGGGCAACCTCTGCTTGGTGATTGTCCATCAACTCGTCATTCACCACTGCGATCAACTTCTTATCGGCACGCAACACATCCACGATCGATCCTGTGCCTGCATGCGAAACAACCACATCAGCCTGGTCGATATACTTGCTAATTGTGGGGGAAAAGGGGAGTGCTACTAGTGTGAACTGTGATGAGGAGTATGTCTCTATTTGGTCATTTGAGTCTGCAGCTTTGAGGCCCAAGCTGGAAACAATCTGATGCTTGGTAAGTAGGCTGTGGAACACCTTCGAGCTCAAATTGACCCCGTTTTTTATTTCGTTTCCGTACTGAATAATTAACGTGGACACTCCATTGGCGATGAGCTGGCGGATGAATTCGGGGGTTAGAACGGTCTCCAAGAGCCTGGTGAAGGTGACGGTAGCACCTGTGGTGACTAGGACTGTGGCCATGGGCGTTTCCAGAGTATTAAAGTATAGGATGATTCTACGAAACCTGTTCTGGTGGTGCTGGCACATTGCACTGGCTATCCTGCACGTGACCCGTGATGACCAAATGGCCGGAGTTACACCTGAATTAATTAGCTGGATATAGACGGGGATGGCGAGAAAATAAACGCGTGTAGTATCGGGCCTGTATCTCATCACTACTGCCACAGCTGGTCGCAGACCCCGATAACAATGTGGGCTATCGCAGTCCACTTCACGGTTGGTTGCACCGACCCACTTATAAACGCGTCTTATCGTCAGTTGCCAGACGAGGCGGATGGCCAGCCAGGCCAGATATGGCTGGGACGTGAGTATGTTGACCAGACTGCCAGACGAGCGCATGTAATAGCATTGTAAAGTACGCACAAATAAAGTTGGTTTTCAATGCGAGGCGTGGGGATTGGTGGGGTGGAGGGTATGGTGGGAATTAGTGGGTTTTTCCAAAGTAGAGAAGTCTGGGTATATTGCGTGGGTACATGTATTGCGTGGGTATTGCGTGGGACCTGAAGGGCCGTCACTCAGCCCTGCTCTGGGACTCCTACTGCCCGTCTTCGTGTGGGGAACGCTCCCAACTCAACCATCCTAGTTTCCCAAAACAGCACATATCTAACCTTTTTGGAAGTGCATGATTGTGACACCAATTATGCACCTTTACCGTGCATAGACAATCGCCTCCAAGTCACTGACAATCGTATTTCTGGAGGGGACCAACACCCCCAATTTGAGCCGGTTTACACGAGCCACCTCCGACTGCACCTAACAAAGGCAACCAAAATCCCGCACAGAGGAGGCTTTGTCTGCTGGAGGAAACACCGACTCACCAGTCGTGTGGTTGGTTGCTTCTGGATGTCTGTGGATTGTTCTTTGACTGTGCACTGTGCGGGACTAGCACCGATTAGGTGCGAATTCCTCCCCTGAGATGGGAGCGATGCCAGCCATATTTTATCCATCTGGCTCGTGCCTGCTCCCGCCTGTATCTGGGCTGTACCTGACAGATTTTGTGCTGTTCGTGTACGCCTCGGGTGTCTGGCTGGTGTGGCCAGTGGGAGAGTGGGTGAAGGGAATGTCGTCCAGTTGCCCAGCTTACCACTTCTGTGATATCTAATTCTTGGCCTGTTCAGTTCTGCTGGCAACCTGGCTATCTTGTGGGTGTCTTCTTTTGGCCAGTGCAGCAAGAAACTACAATGCTAGCGTTGATCATTAATGCGAAGAACGTCTAGTGCGCTCTATTGTGTGCCACAATAGCAGTCCCTAAGTGGGTGCAGGAGGGTGTGTGGGTGGCTGCGGAGATTCAGTGACCATTGGGAATATAGATGCTCAGTAGAGGGATTGCCTGAGTATGGATGTAGGCATGCGGAACCACCAATAGTAACTTGAACTTCCATCCACCCGGTTAGCAGCCTGGGCCTTCCGTAATTGCCGTAATGCCTCCGCTAATGCCCTGCCGTCACCTCGCTGCCCCAAAATGCGTATCCTTTCTGAGGCTCTGCCTGGCTTGCGGACCCCTTAGGTGGCTGCAGCTGCTCCAGCCTCCCAGTGCGCACAATACTATTGTCAGGAAATTTCACTTTCATATATATAGACGGGCAATCCTGATGCATCAGGTGTTTTCACCTTGTAGCACACCCCAGACATGACCTTAGCAGAGTACAACTTGAACGACCCACCTCCGAGCGGTGTCGCCCCCTCCAAACACTCGTCGCCTTACTTGATCAAGGCAGACTCCATTATTCCCCGTTCGTGCATTGCACCCTCGCCCTCCACCGCTTCCAGCTCGATTGCCGCAAACAGTGATTTTTCATTTGGCGAACTGTCGTCGCCAAAAACTGCTTCCACCTCGATTGCCGCAAGCTCTGACTTTGCGTTTGGCGAGTCCTCCACCCCTAACTACAACCACACCGACCACGACTTGTGCTCCATCCTCAGGAAGAGCAGCATCACCGACTCGTGTGCATCCACAGAGGACCCCGAGTGGGTCCAGGAGTTCGAAGCCTCCCTCGAGGCGGTTCCCAACTCCAACATTAGGCTCATTTCAAGCGCAGGCCACTTGAATGAATTATTGAATTGGTACTATTTCCAGAGGTACACTGGCCACACCCACGCTGATGCTTGTCTTTTCCCGTATTTGCACGGGTTGTACAACTCAAGCCAGCGCTCGTTCTTTGGCGATGGCGAGGACCCCTCCCACTTGCTTCCCACCTTGACCAAGGACTTCTTCAACTTGATGTTTCTCAATGTAAGCAGCGAGTCTGGCAGCCGCCCGGACCTTATCAACACCGTCGATTTGTCGGAATTGTTGGTTCCCAAGAGCAAGCTCTCCAGACCGCAGCCACTCAATTTTGATATCGAAATCGAAAATGAAACGGTTAACCAGGTCAATGACTACGAAATGTTCGAGAACATTTGCTTGTCGTCCAATACTTCAAACGAACTCAACAACCGCAATTTCAAGGACCAAATAAAGTTGATGGCCTCAGTATCTTCTTTCGTCATCTACAATTATGACAATTTGGATACCTCTTCGATTGCCGAGTTGATCGATTCCTTGAAAGGGAATTCCAACTTGATCTTCGTCGTTTCTAGTCAAATCGATTGGAATTCCGTCAGCTCCAAGTTCTTCGAGCTGAAGGATGAAGAACTTGAGATGTATGACAACAAAATGATTCGCTTGATGAAACAAATCGACTTGGATGACTCAAAGTTAGAAAATTTCAAAGCTTCTTCTTGCACCAACTCCAAAGGTAAGGAAGTAGCCAAGAACTCAAAATTACTCAACTACGAACAAAACTTGATTTGGAGACTTAATTCAATGAAATGGATCATGAATGAGAAGGTCTGTTTGGGAAATATTATTGATTTCAACAACTTATCCAATAAAAGTGACGATCAATTGGATTCCAGATCGCAGAATGACTTCAAGTTAATAATTAACTGTCACGAAAATGCCCATTTTCCATCCTTGAGTCTTCTTGAAACTATTTTCGATGATCTAAAGTCACCGGTGAATGACAACTCCTCGCACGCTTACTACTTGGAGTTTCCTAGTTCTGGTAGTTTTAATCCAGATAAGATCAACTCCTTAGAAATCTTGTCATTCTTGAATGTTTTAAAGTTGATTTATTTGTTGGTTGAAAACTTTGATGAAAAGGTTTTCATCTACTCCTTTGATGGTTTCACCGGCTTGTCCTTGCTTACCATCTGTGTCGAACAGCTCTTCAAGTCCGAGACAATTGAAGACTCAATTGTGTCGTTGCTTTCAGATAGCTCGAAGAATACAAAGTTGTACTATTTCAAAACAGATTTGATCTTTTTAAAACAATTTGAAAGGCTAGTCAACTATTTGAAGCATCACTCGTTAGAGGATTTGGACTTTGTTTTTGGCTTGGATTTCCAGGATGTGAATACATTTCACTATCAGTATATCCAGCAGAAAGCAATAATTAAGTATGACTGGTTCAACTTGCAGAACGATAATAATTTCCCATCAAGAATTTTACTGGACCTTTATCTCGGTTCTTTGAATCATGCAAATTCGATAACTGTCTTGAATTCATTGAATATATCTCGCTTGATCTCTATTGGTGAGTGTCCTTACTGGGTTAAACATTTAAAAGACGATTTTATTTTTGACTTCAAGGCCTCTTATGAGATTGAAAGAGCACTCCAAAAGAATATTACTATCATAAAACCAATTTATGAGTTCAATGACGGTGAAGCTAAGATTTACGAAGTAAACTTCAACGATTTCCCAAACAGAACCAGAAGCAAGCATGTTCCAAAATGTTTAGAAAGCTTGATTTTTATCCACAACTTGAAAGATGATGGTAAAGACTCATTCCTCGAGCTCTTGATACAGTGTCCTGAGGACATTCAATCAAAAGTTTTACTTGGATCAATTACCAGTGAAACCAATCAAAATGGTAACCAAAAACAATCCCCTGTATCTCTTATTCACTGCAGAATTGGAGTGTCCCGGTCTGCTTCGATTGTTGTTGCTTCTTTGATGAAAAAATTCAGAACAAACTTGTTAACATGTTACATGTATTTGAGGGTTCAAAGATTTAATATCATTATTCAGCCAAATTTGCGTTTGTTTCATGAGTTGTATATGTATGAAGAATTTTTGGGCTTAAGAAACGAACACAACAGGGGATACAACTGGGAAGTTTTGTGCAACGAGATTTTCAAGTTGAACAACCACTATATTTAATTCTTGGGGTGAAGAGGCTAGATTTTTAAAGCCTCCGATTATCCGGTTCTATGTCCATATTAATGCCACCACTTTATTCAACCCTTTTTTTCAATTCTAGGCGTTCACTTTCATACTTTGAAAGGTGTTCAGTTTGCTTTACCTTTTTTTTTGTTAGCTTTTAGTATATCCAAAAAAATGTATACCCAATGTATTTTCCAACAAAGTAACTCTGCACTCACTAACAGGGGTTTACACTACATGAATTCGCACCGCCGCAAAGGCAAAAAAGGGGCGAGCTGGGAATTGAACCCAGGGCCTCTCGCATGTTTGTTGAAATGAATGGTGGACCACTCAATCACCCAAAGCGAGAATCATACCACTAGACCACACGCCCATTTTATGACTGTTCTTGTAACAGATTAAACTTAAGTCCTGTGTCTAATGCTTTATTAGTAACCTCTTACTAATAAATGTCTCTTCACTATAGCGTCCGTCCTATAGTATCTCTAACAGTAGCTTATGTAATTCTTTGGAAACGTCTTAATCTTAAATACTATTACTCTTAATAATATATTGAATCTTAAGTAATCTGTCACTTAGGAACTATTGCTCTTCTTGAGTTCTTCAATAATCCCCTTGTCTTCCTAAATCTAATCTAAGCTACGCTTTTATACTTCTTGCTTCCGTTCGTACGGCATCCTTTTGCTCGTCTATCGTCTCTCTGCATTTGTCAGCAGTTTCAGGACATTTGTCATCAACTGCATCCAACTGCCTTATAACCTGACTTCTCGTCTAATGTCTTCCAACACCCGAGGTTAACATGTCTTCTTTGTCGAACTCATAACTTTAATTAGTCAGCAAGTCGTATAAGCGTACGTAATCAACCGTAACGTGATCTCAAACCGTTACAGTTCTCAGGGAGTGAGAACGAAATACAAAGAATACGTATGATATTACGTAAGCACGGTTATGTAAACGGATAAAAGCTTGTCAATGTATCATGTGGTATAATACACATATCAAGGAAGTATCAGACAAGTATCAAATATGATTAGAAGTTTATTAGCCTTGCGGGAAAGATAAGCAAGCGGGGCAAGAAGGAAGTATATAAGAAGTACATAGCTCAGTAGTTGAAAGGCCAGGGGGGATAGAGGACGTTGATTACGAGTTCCCCCCAAAACAGGTCCACAATATAAGTGATTCTATAATCAAATCTACTGTTTAAGCTATTGCCCAGTGGCTCTGTTACAACTGTCAAAGCAACATAATAAACTGAAATGCTTCTCCATTTTGAACTGCCCACGACTTTGGTGAGTCCGTATTGGCGAAATATATTCAGCTGCAAAAAATATATAGCGGTATTACGGTGGTGCGTTTTCCGTTGCAATAAGAATATAGATATCTACATAGTGGATTATAATACACGTTTGAGCGAAAGAGATTAGCTGACTATCTAATCGGATTGTCAAACTACTTATTTCATTAGAGGATCAAGGAAACACTCAAAAAAGATAGTTTCACTTATGGGACTGGAATAACAAAATATGAGGAGACAGTCTGTGTTTGTATTAATTATGAGTTGATTAGTTGTATATCCCCTGGGAGAAATCTAAGTATCGCTCTCTGTATAAAGTACTTCAAAAGTGAACAAAGATTCACAAAAAGATGTGACAAGTTAGCTATGGTACTCCCAATAGTTCCGTAGTAGTTTTGAAACCTAACAAGGCATTGTAAGAGGAGAAATCTTTAAAATTCTCTGCTTAATCATGTACATATATAGTTACAAAGTAATTTCTTTTCCAATAAGATGCCCCTTTAGCTTAGTGGTAGAGCGTTGCACTTGTAATGCAAAGGTCGCTAGTTCAATTCTGGCAGGGGGCATTTGCGCAAATGGTTTAGTGGTAAAATCCAACGTTGCCATCGTTGGGCCCCCGGTTCGATTCCGGGTTTGCGCATATTTTTTCATTTCCATTGACTGTATATTCCCCAAACCATCCCTTCCTAATGTAATAAATTCACCTCCCTTAGTTGGTAGTCGAAAACTCAAATATCCTAACTGTCCCCGAATAGCTTTCTGTATGAATCGGGTGTGTTGGTCGGAATTGCTTTTTTCGACCGCAATCGAGTGGTCGGAAATCGCATAAGTTCTGATAAACTGCAATTCTTTGGAGCTAACTGAAATATCTTTTGCTAGGTTCAACACTCATCAACATGTCTAAAACTGCTGTAACAAGAGCTGTCAATGCCAGTAAGTACCATTAAGGGGTGCTATTATGAACCTCTGCAAGGAATCCTATCTTTGGAAATGTAATTGTCCAGTTGTTGCTTCTAAACGTTCAACAAAGATGGTTTCTACGAAGATCTAATAACCTAGTCTAGTGACTAACATCAAGTCCAAAAGTTTTACCCAATTGCATTGGCCGACAAGTCCTGGGATAATACTGGATTGTTGGTGGAGGCCAGTGCCGACCACATCAAGTCAGACAGGTTGAACATCCTCTTGACTATCGACTTGACCCAAAGTGTTGCTGAGGAGGCAATCAAATCGAACACAGACTTCATTATGGCATACCATCCATTCATCTTCAGAGGATTAAAATCCATCACCACACAAGACCCCCAACAAAAGTCATTAATCAAATTGATCCAGAACAACATCAGTGTATATTGCCCCCATACAGCTGTAGATAGCGCCTCGGGAGGAGTGAATGACTTTTTGGCTGATGGAATCACCTCAGGCCTCAAAGAGGCTTCTAGGGAAGTTATTCAAAAAGACAGCAACATCGAGGGATGTGGAATGGGAAGACTCATCACTTTGGCCAATCCAGTGCAATTAAGTGACCTAGTCAAGAACGTCAAAAAAAGTCTCGGAGTGAGCAATGTTTTGGTGGCTCCTGCTAGAGGTGAGAATTCGGGACACACTATCAGTAGAATTGCAATTTGTGCCGGATCAGGAGGCTCTGTTTTCAAGGGCGTTGAGGCAGATTTATTCTACACTGGTGAATTGTCCCACCACGAAGCATTGTACTTCTCAGAAACCGGTTCTTCTGTCATTGCATGCAACCACTCCAACACAGAGAGAGCGTTCTTGAAGGTCATTAAGGAACAACTCAAGGAAGAACTTCCAGACGCCAATGTCAGCATTAGTGAAGCTGACAGAGACCCATATGAATTTTGGTAGATCAAATAGTAGAAGAACCGACAATTGATGCCAAAAATATCTAAGTTAGATAGTATGTAGTTTCCCACTATTAAAGGTTTTTCCTACTGTATTTTTTGACACAAATCATCTTTCTTGGTTGATGAGATTCGTTATTTGTGGACGAATCTCTTGCTCGAATTGAACGCCTAAACAAACTTAGCACCGTGACTATTTTATTTGTACTAGCAATCTAGTAACCTGTTCCTTTTCATCTGGTGGTTGAAATTCTTAGCGACGTGCAGCTGGCGATCACACTACCAAAATCAATCTTTAATGTGTATCTTCGTACATTCAATTTTTGTCTTAGAACGTATCTACAACAATTATACAATAGTATTGCACCCTCGCCATCAGTCGAAGTACTCTGACTCTCATGCCCATGGTAGAAACTGTCCAAAGAATCTTATAAAAGAAAACCACTATAAAAGCAGTGAAATCTCAGTGATTTATGGGCGCGCTGAATAGTACTAGATTGTTCGTTGAAATATTAAGTACATAATTACAGAGTGCTAGTCTCATAGTGATCTTCTGGCCTGCACATAAATGTCTAAATTCTGACTTATCGTCCCGTGACGTCACTTATCACCCCCATGTGGCCCCAGATAAGAAAGTACCTCTACCATGATTAATGAAAAGACCATCAAGGCATGTGGCCTTATTGGGAACTCCCCGTTCCACAACATGAAGGCTACCATCGTGCCTTGCACTGATGCTAACATCGTCTTCTTGTATGGAGGATTTGACTCCATGGATGAACTAGATAGTAACATTTATCTCCTCGATCTAAAATCAAAAACCTGGACCGTTGACAGCCAGCACAAAAACCTATTTCGAGAGGGGCACCTGGCTACGTATATAGGAGACGGGAACGTTTTGGTGTTTGGAGGGATCCCCACGGAAGATGGGTTTATCAATGGAGTGAACGATGTGACTAGAGACCGCTTGGGGTTTAGCCCTGACGTTCTTATGATGGTGTACAATATTTATGACAAGAAATGGATTGCAGCACCGCCATTTGCGCTAGATGGAGCTCCCGAGTCGAGGTCGCGGCATGCTTCGTGTTTGTCGCCAGATGGTACGAAGCTCTATGTGAGTGGTGGAATACATAAATCGTTACCCTTGGATGATCTCTACACCTACGACCTTAAAAATGGCAAATGGTCCACCCCAGTGAATTTCGTGTCGAGATTCAACCATTCGATATCGATCCACGGAGATAAGCTCTATGCCTTTGGAGGCATCGACAGAGATATGAACCATTACAAAAATGTGATCACGTACTATTCATTGTCCAACGGTACGATAGGCGAGATTTCCAACATCACGGACGTCAGGTTGGCTGATGGAATAGGCAGCAATTTGAGCTCAGCTACGTCCTACTTGTCCTATCAATGCGAAAGATTATACCTTCCATCGGACTTCCATGCCTCCGTACAGCTTGATATTAAGCTCCCACTCTGGACTAACCCCGAGCTCTTTGATATATCTATGATAGATCTCAGGGATTTCAAGCGGCAGAGCATTCTTAACATGGTGGAGCTCAATTTATTCTTTATGAACCTGAGCACAAATATAACAGACTACGTGTGGAACGAGGCTTTTGTGGCCAACGATTCGCTCTTCATGTTGGGCGGCCAGAAGGAAAGCAACATACGAGAAACGAATGCAACTCAAGGTGCATTCGGCATTAATACGAGAAACTACGACTCGTATAGCGAAAGCATAGAATATGACCAATACGGAGAACCCGTGGAAAATATTGATCCAGAAGTTGATGAGCCTGATCGATACTCCAAGATTAATAGCTTAATGGAAATAAAACTTAAGGACTTCGAATTTGCACCTACGACCAAAGATCCAGATACCCACTCTTTGGTTTCTGATCTCGAGAAGATGTATCTTGATGAAGAGTTTTCTGACTTTGACATATACACCTTGAACGACTCGGAAAACAAAACACTTCATTTTGATGTTGATCTAGCAAAATTACAAGACAACCAGAATTTCAAAGTCATAAGGGTTCACAAATCGATTTTGGCTGCTCGCTGGGAACATTTTAGAAGAGTATTATCTTCTGGCATGAACGAAGTTAAATTAGGTAGAATGTTCATTCCTGAACCATTCAGACTCATTAGAGGTATGATTTATTACTTGTATACTGAAACTTTGAACGAAGCAAAGATTTATGAGTCTTACACCATCATAGACCTTTGTGAATTACTACACTTGACTGATGTGTACGAGTTGCAGGGACTAAGAACTATAGTACTAGAACGTATGTTTGAGGCATTTGAGGGATTACAAAATTCTATGTTGAGTTATGGAAATGATGACTTCAAACCCTTCAAGCAAATGAAGAGGGATAATGAAGAAGAAGCAATAGAAATTTGCCTCAGCTTATGGAGATGTTTGAACAGAGTAGGAGAGAGCACTCTTCTTCTCGAAGTGTTGAGTATCATTAAAAAGAAGTGGAAACCTATTACCAATTCTGTTTCATTCACGAACTTAACGAAACAAGAGCTAATAGAGCTATGCAAGGCCGTCAGCCAGCTTGAATCCTCTGATGAGATACCAGGACGCTTTTCAGATATGAAAAGTTCTTCATTGGTCAATAGCTCTGGATCTTCGGAGAAGAGCCCCTTTATTCTTGGGAATAAATAGTAGACACCATCAGGTGTATTCCAGTAGGGTCGTCAGTTATGGACTGGTTTTCATTAAACGACGAACTTTCAACGAAGAAAGAAACCACTGGGCCAGTAATTTACTGGCATACTAGGAATAATGACATGATTTTGGCGAAGATGCCTGCAAACCGCTCACTGGTGTAGCACAATAAAGAAACACGGAACAGCACAAACTTTATATTTTATACTTGAGCATACATTACAGTTATTGTTCCTGACCATGCGTAATTCTATTTAGCCAATCGCTCATCCCATCAACAGTATCTGATACAGAGTTTCCGATCTTATCTGATACTACTCCGAGCAAATCAGCTAAATTACCAAGAACACTGTCCAACGCGTTTTCCGTATCCTGTTTTCCTTCATCGAGATCTGACTGCTGCTCGTCCTCTAGTGATTGCTTTGAATCAGTGAAGTCTGTAGGTTTGGGGATGTGCACAGAATTGTGAGTCAAAGATGATTCCTTGCTAACTAACGACTCAAGAGGGTGGTCGTTGGTGCTGACGGAAATGGTGGAGGGTCTGACTTCAATTTTTTTCTTTTTCTTCCATAGCAAATCGTATGTTGCGTCCTTGATAATGTGCTCAACCTCAAATGGGACATTTGGGTATTCTAAGGAATCTGTCCAATCATGAGGCAATTCCTTTGAACTGGATACAGCCGCATTGTAGGTTGTATCACTTCCATTATTTGGAGCAGGTGTAAGATCAAGTGTGTCACATATCAAATTGTAGACCTCAGTATTAGCAAAGGGTAACACTTTTTTACCCTTGGATAACCTCTGTTGGAAATAAGGACCAGTGCCCAAAAAAATTGCTCTCATCAACAATTCGGTATTATTGTATCCATGAACTCCTTTGGGCTTGTAATCGTTGCCACTTTCTTCCATTTGCTTCTTTGTAGTAATTGAATATCCCACCTCAGGAATTATCCATAATGGAGCCAATCTATAATTGAACCTGTGTTCGTTAAGTTCGCCTCCAAACTGCCATTCCTTTGGCAAATCTTCCCTTTTATACACTTTGAAATGTTTGTTGATTCCATTTCCAAGATCATTCAATTTCGCTATTATCTCATAATACATTTCATCAATGGTGTTTGCATCCAACGGTCTTAATCCGAATAAGGGCCAGCCATCAATGTGCTCGATTCTATCCAAATCAATCACATCATCCAAGTATATTAACCTGTCATTTGAAGTAGGAGCCATTCCATGGTCGCTCACTATAATTAAGTTAACAATTTCATCCAAGTTTCTTACCTTGATCTCTTTCTGCATCAAAGAAACGAAATCGTCCACATACTTGAGGGCATCAACCAATTCTTCACCAAAAATTCCAATTTTATGACCAACCTGATCAATGGTAGGTACATAAGTTAGTATAAGCTCGGGTCTCTGGGTAATATCATCACGATCGATCCATGACATGACTCTATCCACCTTGGACGATAGCAATTCAGAGCCATTATATTTATCGAAGTCCTCTTTTGGGCCTATTCCAGGAACCTCACTTCCTGGCCACATGTGAACTGCAGATCTTAAACCCTGCTTAGATGCCGTCTGCCAGATAGGCTCGCCCGCACTCCAAAAATCGGGGTCTAGCCCGCCTACTTTTGGATTTGTGTTGATAAATTGTTTCTTCAACTTGGGATCGTAGAAGGTGTTTCCGACTATTCCGTGCTCTGAAGGGTACAACCCAGTTACAAGCGTCCAGTGGTTAGGAAACGTGGATGAAGGAAACGAAGGGGTCATGAATGGAGCTCCAAAGTCATCCAAGAGCATCTTGTGGAGAGTGGGGGTATTGTGGGGACTGATGTAATGAGGGTGGAATCCGTCCAACGAAATCACGATTGTTGTAGGGTGGAACTCGTGGGTGGAATTCGAAATGAGCGTCTTAATCAGGGGACTTTGCAAGGAGCCTCCTTTTCTGGTGAAATACAACAACCCTGCCACCATCGAGATAATAAGCATTATTCCAACTGCAGTCAATTTCTTCACTTTTCTCATGAGAAGATCTATCTTGTAATCCCTGAAGTCTATCACCTTGTTGTCATTGGCATCTGCTTCGCTCCCCAAATCGTCATAGTAGCTATCGTCACTTCTTGACCTTCCCAACATTTCGTAGTTGTTGGACTTATTCTTGTTCTTCGTAAACAAGCCAAATTTGGAAAACGTGCTGGCTATCTTGTTGGCAAAACCATCCTCTTGATGTTCATAATCTAGCCCATCCAAGAACTCATCATGAGCGGTATCCTGACGATTGACAAATAAATCATCTTCAACTTCGTCCATATCGGTAACAGGAACATCCACCTGGTGTGGCTGTGCGTAGTTGACTGACATCTCCTGGCTACCCTTCTTCTGGGCCCTTATCAGTGTGAGGATTTTTAGTGATGTGTGACACGTGACAAATTTGGTTGGGAACCTTCAGGGTATTGATCTGGATGCAAATCATTAGGCCCACCTGCTACAATTATTAGGCCGCCTGATTGAATTAGTAGAAACAGCTTGTCATGTTGATAGATAGCGATTGAAGTAGTGCTGTTTGGAGATGGTATTACAATTTCTGAACTCCCTCATCCAGAGATTGAAAGTCTTCGCTCATGTGCCTGATCCTTCAAGACCATCTTCGTCTCTACATTCAGTAATCCGTGGTTAAAAAATTTCGTTAAACGTATAAATATGCAATATTTACTGAGAATTAAAAGACATCACCGTGGTCGAACATGGAGTCGGCTACCTTGATAAAACCTGCAATGTTGGCTCCCTTCAATAAGGATGGCAAACCTCCAGCATTCTTCTCGGCAGCGTACTTGACTGCGGTTTCGTAGCAGTTGTCGAAACAAGTGTACATGATGTCCTTCAATTTTTCATCCACCTCTTCACGGCTCCAAGTGACTCTTTGCGAGTTTTGGGCCATTTCCAAACCAGACACAGCGACACCACCACAGTTGGCAGCCTTACCTGGAGCGTACCAGACGTCGTTATTTCTGTTGGCTTCGAAGACATCGATGGCCTCCTTGGTGGATCCCATATTGGAACCTTCAGCAATGTATTTGCATCCAGCGTCAACCAAAACCTTGGCTTCTTCGCCAGAAACTTCGTTTTGAGTGGCAGAAGGCAAAGCAACATCAACTTGGCCAACCTTGGTCCAAGGGCGAACACCAGCCAAGTATTCAACCGAGTTGCTTCCGGAGAAAGCCTTGGTGGATCCACCAACGATTTCCTCCAATGACTTGAATTTGATCTTGGCATCAGCGATTTCAGCCACTTGTTCCGCGGTGATACCGTTTTGGGAAATGATAGAGCCCTTAGAATCAGATAACGAGACCACAGTACCTCCCAATTCTATCACCTTCAAGGCAGCGTATTGGGCAACATTACCAGAACCAGAAATGGCAACTCTCTTGCCCTTGAAGGATTCCTTGCCCTTGGTGGCCTTTTCGATCATCTTTTCGACGTAGTAAACCACACCATAACCAGTAGCCTCAGGACGGATCAAAGATCCACCCCAGTTTAAGCCTTTACCAGTCAAGATACCGGACCAGTTGTTTTGCATCTGCTTGTAGGCACCAAATAAGAAACCGATTTCTCTACCACCCACACCAATATCACCTGCAGGCACATCGGTATCCTGACCAATGTATCTAGCCAATTGTCTCATGAAAGCGACACAGAATCTTCTGATTTCAGCATCAGAACGACCCTTAGGGTTGAAGTCGCAACCACCCTTACCACCACCCATGGATAAGCCAGTCAAAGCGTTCTTGAAGATCTGTTCGAAACCCAAGAACTTCAAGATGGATAAGTTGACGGATGGGTGGAATCTTAAACCTCCCTTGTATGGGCCCAAAGCCGAGTTGAATTGGACTCTGAAACCGTTGTTCACTTCGATTTCTCCCTTGTCATTTTCCCAGGAAACTCTGAATTGGATTATTCTTTCTGGTACAGAGACAACGGGAATGACCTTCTTATATTCTGGGTGTTCGGAGAACAAGGTGGAGTCTTCTAACGCAGACACTAATTCGTCGTAAGCTTGTTGGAATTCGGGTTCGTGTGGCAAGACCATTGTAAATTATTCTATGGGGTAATGATATAATCTACAATTTACATTCCATAATGGACTATTTATACCAGGAAGTATCAAGCCTGCTCCGGAGTCATGAGAAACGCCTCGCGGGTCACAAACAATCATGTGCTATCCCAGCCAATACTTTTGCCCCAAGTTTTATCAGTATGAATCATCGGATTTCATCAGTGGAGGGAGTAATTGCAAAAAGAAAGCACACTACCGTTTAAGGTTGCGAGCGGTTGCAATTTACTTGGTTATTGTTGGGTACACGACTTCCTCCAAATCTCCAACCAATGAACGGTGAGTATGATATAGGGCCTTTATCGGTATGACACAAACCTGGCCCGAGGATAAAGTTGTTACATTTACACCGGCATTCGAAATTGTCCGGGAGCATGAGTGATGCCTATGCGGGTTGAGGATAACTCCGCCATCATCTCTGCTGTAGCACATTGAGATATCCCAAATCGATGTTGAACATACTGGAGAATATAATTCTGGTGGGATATACACGACCTCGGTTGGAGCGCTTATGGTACATGTTACCAAATTGGGCTTCCGACAAGTCTCGGGGGTTTTCGGGCACCAAGAGCCCCGAGTCCGACTTCGGCCATGAAGTTTCCCGAGCGCTATCTACAGCAAATTGTAGCCTGGACGAGATCTTGGCCAAGAGACTTTTTGACGTCTACTTTCAGTAGTTCCAGCCTGGTTGAGAATTTACCGATTGGACAGATAACGATGATCAGGTATAGTTCAACACAGAGGCATCTATTTGTTAGATCAATACTTGTAATATCCAACAGCTAACACTACTCAATTAAGGTTGCTCGTCCTATTTGTGTAGGCTCAACTGTTCGTATATGACTAAAGCCCCAATGCAATTCTGAGTAGGATGTTCGTTCAAACCTGGAGCCATATCTCTATATGCACACTTTGTCTGGATGCAACGTTTCAGTGAACTTCGAGGTGGATTTCTGAATCTCTGATTTTTGCCAAGCTAGGGTGATCTATCATCAAAATAGATCTTCCACTCCTTTGTGTAATGCAAGATCAGTAATCTTCCAAGATGCGAATTTTGCGTACTATTGAGCAGAATTTCTATACCTTCTTCATTAATCTCTTGTATAGTACTTTGTCAAAATTTAGGTATTGCAGTAAGGATGTTACCAATTGAACTGAGACATGAAAGCAACCAACTGCTTGGATACTTTCCTGTGCTGAAATTATTTTACACTAAAGGATTAATAGCACTTGTTGACAATTGTCTAACACTAAAGAGAGTGATTAATAGCACATATTGGCATGACATAAAGTTTTAACAGTGATTAATAATAATATTCAAGTGGCCAGTGTCGTAATATTGAAGGTTCACCATTCGTTCCGTCCAGAACAGGTGGATCGTCATGACTAGGAGTAACACAGTAGTCACCCTACATGTGAATCCTTTAATAGACAACTAAGAATTTCAACAAGCCCAGGACCTAATTACTATTTAGCAATTATAGCAATTCATTGCATATGTGACAAGAATAATCCTCAAAACATATCAATAATTATGCAAGTATGTGAAATTAATCACCAGATTTGAACCATTAATCTGAACTTGAAAACTAGTCTATGCACAATAGTAACCGAGTTACCAGAACAATAGTGACTACTCACAAACCTCTTAGGGGCCTTACAGCTACTCCTCTTCGATGCTCTATCTATGTGCAGTCCGCTGAACTTCCTCGAAGCCAGTGAAAATTGAAATGCAACAAATGAGCAAAGGAGTGCAACGGGACCATAATGGATAATAGGAAATCATATAGGGCTTATAAAGAAAAGCTCAGAGTAGCCTCGGCTCCATATCCTACATCTGGATTATTCTCCAAAGTGAAAAGATTGTTTAGTCCAAGAACGATATGGAAAGCACCATCTAAAGACAATGAATTGGCTTCAAAGGAACCCAACCCTTCTACTGCCCGTTCAAACAGTCATGTGGAAGCCTTCCAGTATCCGGCACCTAAATTTAACCCTATTCTTAGAAGTGCATCAACTAGTTCTTTCAAAATGCCTGGCTCTTTCGATACCAATAGCTCACCCAACAAAGTGTTGTCAAATTTCTTTCAACAGAAAGGTGATGAACCATTGACCCAAGTAGAATACGAGGGTATCGTCTCATTGATAAACAAGTCGAAATCGGAAATCGGTAACGAAACTCAATCCAACGATCAGGACGCCAACAACACGTTTTTCAAAGATACTTCCATCAGGGACAAACTGTTTTTGTATGATACACCCTACACCCAGAAGATTCTAAAGAAAGACAGTAACACCAGTGGTGCAACATATTCCACCCCTGACTATAAACCTATTTATCATACCGTGAACGAAACTTCGGCCAGCATTCCATCTGTGAAGAGGGTCTATCAATTCTCTGGATTACCATCGCCTTACAGAACGAGAATAAGAGCACCTAGCTTGAGCAAGAAAACAAATTCAAATGCATCAAAGAATGGCCTGATAATAGAAAACAATAATAACACAACGACGAATACCTCTACTACTCAGTACAGACCAAGAAGTGAGGCTGCCAACACTTTGTTATCAATTTTGGATGGTGATTTGCTCGAAACAACCACTGAGGACCTCAATAATAAAGACATTAAGCGTTTTTCGAACCCATATTCTTCTTCACAGAACAGAAAAAGAACTAAGACTTCGAAACAAGCTCCATTAACAAGTAAAGATATCAGCAGTACGTTACTTTTTGACAAATCTGCGCCATTGCCGGTCGAAAAAGATGAAGAAAAGATTGTTCCAAAGCCAAAATCTACTGTTAGCAAGGATGCATCTGGTCAGATTGAACAGAAAACCATCAGTTCGGCTGCGAAACTTGATTTTTCGAAGCCTATAGTGATCAATGAGCCAGTTGTGAATGATGGTCAACTTCCAGAAAAGAAAACTTTTGATTTCAATTTTGGGAAATCAAACTCAAATTCTGTCGAGAAGAGTGCACCCTTAAACTTTCTGTTTAAACCTGATCAAAGTGCTGGAAAGAAACAAGAAAATATAGGATTTACTATACAACATAAGGCAAATCCGGTTGTCGGTGGTACTAGTGTCATTGAAAAGACAGAAGTGAAAGCTCCTTACTCCTATCAATTCTCTGTTCCTGAACAATACAGTGTGACATTGAATAGAGAAGAGGTGGACTCTTACAAGAGTCTTTTCAGCTTTTGATGTGAGTCAAACATAAAAATATGTCACGTTAATGGGAAAGGTAGACTCGTAGAAGGGTTTTTCAGCTTTAGACGTGAAAAGTTTTGGACCTAGAAATAAACAATTACATACAATTGCGTGCAACAGCATTTGGTGTGAGTCGAATATAAAACTAATCAAGTGTATGAAACAGTTATGAACCGTAGAACTGAGCTCTCGAGCTTTTAGAAAAAGCATCTCTCACATATCTGGCAAGGATAGCACTAGAATTCCATTACAGAATTCGTTATCCAATCTGTAGTTGTGTCCCCTCTGTGTGCAGGCAAGATACTGCATTTATTGTACTCAATTTATGAAACTAACATTTAGTATGCCATAAATCAAAGAAATTTGCCAGAAATCTATAGAGTAATTTCAATCCCATTTTTTGAATTTAATTTGAAGCAAATTCTTAGGTTTCCCATATCTTGTTGCAACCCCCATTATGCTTCTGGTCTTCTCTCTTGTTGACTTCTACACTCCTACATTTGTTTGCTCAAATACTATTTTGGCTGCTTGTATATTCAACTACCTGTTCCCACCCATTAATAATCGATCAGCATGTTCGCTGATCGGCACAATGTCGTTGATCAGCACTAAGTCGTCATGGGCTCCCACGCTCGTATAACCGATCTTTGATCACGTGATGGAAGATTTCGTTGACGATTTACATCAATTCAAACAGTACTTTGCCCGAGTTATTCAACACTAGCCCACATGTCTGCTAAAATAGACTCTGTTCTCTTGATTGGAGGTGCAGGCTTTCTTGGCCACCACTTGATCCAGCAATTTTATGACAGATGCCCAGGAATCAAAATTCACGTGTTCGATATTCGTCCTTTGTCTGACAAGAAGGCTTCATACTTTACGTTTCCTTCCAACGAAATCAAGCTGTTTGTTGGAGATTTGACCTCTCCAGAAGATATCTCCAAAGCAATCTTAGAATCCAAATGTGATGTGATCGTCCATTCGGCCTCACCAATTCCTGATGTTGGCACTCCCGAACTCTTCGAAAAGGTTAATGTTCAAGGTACAAAGAATATCATAGATGTCAGTAAGAAGTTGAGAGTGAAAGCATTGATATTCACCTCTTCTGCTGGTGTGGTGTTCAATGGTGCTGATATCTACAACGTTGATGAGGAGTGGCCATATGCTGAAGTTCATATGGACAAGTACAACGAGACCAAGGCCATTGCTGAAAGACTCGTCAAAGACAGCAACGATCCAAACGGTTTGATCACGGTCAGTATAAGACCCTCGGGTATTTTTGGTCCTGGTGATAGACAGCTCGTTCCAGGATTGATAAATGCTGCTAAGTTGGGCCAATCAAAGTTCCAGTTGGGAGACAATAACAATATTTGTGACTACACCTACGCCGGAAATGTGGCTGATGCCCATATCTTGGCCGCAAAATTGGCCCTCCAGCCTAAAGAAGCTCATAAGGTCGGAGGTGAAGTTTTCATCATCACAAATGACACCCCCATATACTTCTGGACCATGGCAAGAGAAGTTTGGAAAGCCTATGGTGTGATTGAGAAGAGGCACATTGTTTTCAATAAGCCTTTAGGTGTTGTGTTGGGTTATCTCAGTGAGACATTTGCAAGATTGGCAGGAAAGCCACCTGGGTTGACCGCATTCAGAGTCAAGATAGCGTGCGCTAATCGTTACTATGACATCTCCAAAGCCAAGTCTGTCCTTGAATACAAACCAGCGGTGGATCTTGAGACTGGTATTAAGCTTACTTTGGACTGGTTAAAAGAGGTTGATATGTAAACTATTGTATTGGCAGCTGTTGAAATTCTTGCACTTTTCAGGGAGCTGATATTATCGACCTTACTTCGATGTAAAAAATCTGGCTTGGCTACGAGCAAAGTACGAACGCAATAAATAGTTTCAGCAAAGAAAAATACTATAGTTCTTATAGTCTAATTAGAAAACAGATAAGGAATCAGATTTCCGATATAGACATTAATTAGATGCAATATTCTCAGTATTAACTTAATATTCGTATACTAGTACTGTTTTTAACAGTCCTGGATCAACTGAATCTCATTATTAATACTATACCAAAACTTCGCTGCCATCAAATATCGGGCAGTTCAACGTACAGAGAAGTCACTGTTGGAGTTCTAAAATACTGAATATAATTCACATCGTCGTGGGTGTATATGAAATTCGCTTTCTCGTGCTCAATGAACATTTGAATGAATGCAGCCCATTTGAATATGCTAAACCACGCTCAAAGAGCACCCTTACTTTTAGAGATATTATAAGGTTGTATGTAGGAAAAGAATTAATTGATAATGTAAATGGACTAGTATACTATCTCAGGACTATTGTCCAAAACTGCTGGTGCACACTTCCAATACTCACCTAACAGCCCCTACTTTAAAGCCTGGCAACCCAAATATAATCACCATCTATTGAAGGTGTATACGGCCGCAAAAATGTTCCAGACTATTCAGCTTCAACAGAAAATAACATGGTGAGACGGATGCGAAACGCCACCTCTTCCAAACAAAACTCAGGTGGTCGCGTCCAAATTAGATTACTTGAACCCTGAGATAAAAAGAAACACGCAGATTAGCCTGTAGTCCCCATCCTGCACAAATTATGACGAGTTGGGAGCCTGATTATTCCGTCCGTGCCAGCTGCATATTTCGGCTGTGTTATAGGAGGTGAGCTCGTGTTTGTCTACAATCCACTACTACCAATCATTTCATGTTAGACCATGTTCCTAACCAATAGCTAAACACCAAATCACCCCCAATGCCATAAAACCTGTCTAGAAAATTCCAAGAATTGCCATGAAATCCTGACGATCCAAACGGCTATAAATGAGAAACGTCCTGTCAAGTTGGAGGTTAGCTTGTTCTATTTTGGGGCCAAGCCCGTCGACGCGTTGACCCCTTACCTTGGCTCCGCCTCCAACCTGCATGGGCAATATTGTTCGTGTAAAAAAAAAAAAAAAGGTTGCACTTATTGCCCTAAAGGGACGCAATGGTGGCCAGAGATCAAAATTTGCACCTAGAGACAGAATCTCAGGGCAACTATGGGCACCGATATTAAAGTGGGAAAGCACTACAGGCGCCTTAAACTGTTTACTATTTGCATGTTGTACCAGGGTTACTATTTGGAAGCATGTACCGTGTTCGTGTCGTATCACATTGGCAGATATAAATAATTCGCAAGTCCCGTACCTGCTAGTTTTGTCAACCCATCACTTTCGCTATCAAAATGGTTAATTTAGTTTCAGTTGTGTGTTCTGCCTTGGTTCTAGCAGCAAACTTAGCTGGTGCTGCCGATTTGCCCGAAATCGAGGTTATTGGAAACAAGTTTTTCTTTTCCAACAATGGCTCCCAGTTCTTGATGAGAGGTATTGCCTACCAACAAAACACCGCAAACGAAACTGATACGACTTTCAAAGATCCTCTTGCTGATGCTGATTCTTGTAAGAGAGATATCAAGTACTTCACAGATTCCAACACAAACGTGTTGAGAGTTTACGCAGTCAACACGACCTTGGATCACGACGAGTGTATGAATGCTTTGGCAGATGCTGGTATCTACATTATTGCTGACTTGTCGCAACCTTCGGAATCCATCAACAGAGATTCCCCCGAATGGAACTTGGACTTGTACAAAAGATACACCGATGTCATCGATATGTTCTCCAACTATTCTAACGTGTTGGGTTTCTTTGCTGGTAATGAAGTGACCAATAACAAGTCCAACACTGATGCTTCTGCCTTCGTTAAAGCTGCCATTAGAGACATGAAGAGTTACATTTCTGAAAAGAAGTACAGAAAGATTCCTGTTGGCTATTCGTCAAATGACGATGGAGACATTAGAGTCGCCATTGCAGACTACTTTGCCTGTGGTGATGAAGATGAAAGGGCCGATTTCTTTGGTATCAACAATTACGAATGGTGTGGTGACAGCAGTTTTGAAGCATCAGGATATGAAGCTGCCACCAAGCAATACCAAAACTTGACCATTCCTGTCTTTTTCTCTGAATACGGATGTAACGAGGTGACTCCAAGAAAGTTTACTGAAGTTGGAACTTTATTCAGTGACAAGATGACTGATGTATGGTCTGGTGGTATTGTTTACATGTACTTTCAAGAAGAAAACAAATACGGTTTAGTTTCTGTCAAGGGTCTGTCCGTCTCTACATTATCAGACTTTGGTTACTATTCTTCTGAAATCAACAAGATTTCCCCATCGTACGCTAAAGCTTCCAGTGCTTCTCAAGCTGCTCACTCAACTCTTTCTTGTCCTGCTTCAGCATCTACTTGGAAGGCTGCTTCAAGCTTGCCACCAACTCCCGACAAGGATACTTGTGACTGTGTCGCCAGTACTTTGGAGTGTGTGGTTGCTGATGATGTTGCCAGTAAGAACTACGGAGACTTGTTTGGTTTTGTTTGTGACAAGATTGACTGCTCTGATATCACTGCAAATGCAGAAAACGGAACCTACGGTGGCTTTTCCTACTGTTCTGATAAGGATAAGTTATCTTACATTTTGAACTCTTACTATAACGAGAATGGCAAAGAAAAGTCTGCTTGTGACTTCAGTGGCTCCGCTTCTATTAACAAGAGTGCATCTAGTGACAAGTCCTGTTCCTCCAAGATTTCAAAAGCTACCAGTGGCTCCTCGGGTTCTTCTGGTTCTGGTTCTAGTTCCGGCTCTGGCTCCAGCAGTTCCAGTAAGAGCACTTCGAGCTCAAAGTCCAGTAAGAGCTCAGACGGACACATCTCCCAAAAGAGAGTATCCAGAACAGAATTATTTGCAATTGCTGGTATTGTGACCGCATTTGCTGGTGGTGTTTCATTTATCTTGTTTGAGTAATTCAGTTAGTCAAATATGTATATGCGTTTATTTATTTAGTAGTCTATTGTAGTGTACAGTGTTCTATGGTTAATTTGATATCATGAAAATTTCATTAAGGGCCTTTGCATCCATGACCGAGGCCCTTTTCTGCTTGATCCATTTGGATCTTACCGATAACCTAGTTGCTATGCTTTTTGTATCAGACTCTATAGGTTCTAATGAAGCACGAGCTTCATCATTATCCTTTTCTTTCTTCTCTTTCTTCTCTTTCTTTTCCCTTTTCTCTTTCTTTTCCTTCTTTTCCTTCTTTTCCTTCTTTTCCTTCTTTTCCTTCTTCTCTTTCTTGTCCTTCTTTTCTTTCTTTTCCTTCTTTTCCTTCTTTTCCTTCTTCTCTACCAACTTGTCACTTTTCTTCTGCTTCGCATTTGTACTTTCATGTTCACTATTATTCTTTCTTTTCTTGCTATCGCCTATCATCGATTTCTTCTGAACATCCCATGAGCTCTGTAATACTTCTCCTTTGACAAAATGCATGCCCCATTTGCCATTCAATATTCTCTCATTACGTTGTCTTTCAAGCTCATCATTAATCTTATCTTCCTTTCCGTTCAACCTTCCTAAGATACTCTGAAAAACGTCAAGACCAACACTATCTCCACCATCTAAATCATCTTTCTTTTGCTTCTTTGCCAACCGAGCACCAAGTCCTGCATTGTCTTCTTTGATAATAACTTTAACATGTGTGGTGGTGGCATGTTGGACCAACCCTAACCCTTTGCCAGGTTCCCAGCCTAGCTTTTCTAGGTACTGGTGGCCGAATCTTCCGGTGTTGTTCGACCAGTTGGTGTTTCTTGGATCCAAGCCAAATCTCTGTTTCACTTTCGTTTCTCCTAAACCCATCCTGGTATCTAGTCTTATCGGCTAGAAAATGATTTTCAGGGACATTTTGGAGATGAGGTAAAAAGTATCGCTTACGTAATAAAAATACTTATGGAGGTGCTCTCACAGCCAGGACCGTACATTCGCTGTACACAGCAGCTATGGCCGAGAAGGTAACAATAGCAGTTCGTGTGGGCAGATAAAAACAGCCAGACGCTTTCGATTAGTTTTCAACCGTTCATTCACTAACAATTTATATCGAATCTTCTTGAGCAAAAGGACTTGTTTGATGAATATAGTGCAACATGTACTTATACTGTTCTTAACATAGGTTGATAAAATTCCTCGGATTATTGGATTCTTAATGCCTCTGATTCCATTAGATATATTTTTCAAGTATACTATCAACTACAAAACTTGTTTCAAGGTACAGAAGTTACTTTTCAGCGGTAGTTATATGTTTTCGACTTACGAAGTGAGTAAATAAGAATATTCGAACGTTTCTCATAGTATTGCTCACAAAAGTCCATAAGTTGGCGATTCTGAGCCTTCAAACTAAAATCCTATCGTAGAGTACCAATTTTGGTTTGTCCAGCATCCATCAAAAGATCCCCTACGTAAACTCTGGCTATCCACGAGCCACTGGATCACGGATTTGAAATCATTCAACCCCAAAATAGTTTGCATCTTCGAGAAGATAGCTTTTTGGGGGATTCCTGGCCTGAAGTGGACATATACAAGAACAGCATTAATTAACTTGGTCCACATTTGCTCGTTGATGCATCCATTCATATCGAGCCAGATATGAGAACATGCTTTTCCAGTCGGTACCGGAATTTTTTGGATTTTTGTGCTTGCGGTTCGATTCTTAGTCAAGAGAACAACATCACATGCTAGTTTATCTTTGTCAATGAGTCTCGATTCATACCCATCAAACTGGTAAGTTTTGTCAATATGAAGTATTGTTGCTTCATCAGAGGCCAAGAATGTTAATAGAGGGGCCATATGCCCATTAAGAACATTCTCTGAAATGATAAGGCCCTTGTTAGCTTCTGCAATAGCCCCTATATTGTCAGCGAATTGAGCGGCTTGATTCAAAAATTTTGATGGCAACTTCAGGTTCAAAGCATTATGCACCTTGTCTGTCAACACAAATCTGCTGTTTGAGTCATCGGATCCATAATAGATCATTTCTTTGTCCTTGATTAATGCAGATGATGCGCTGTGTGTGGCCTCATCACCAAACTGATCCAATATCTGCTTAACTCTGCTCGCACTAAAGCTCTCTTCAGGAGTAGTGAAGATTGCTTTCAAAACGGTCCTTAAATCATCATTTTCTGGTGGAATTATTTCAGTAGAATCACTGACAAAGAAAGTAATTCCGGACAAAATCGAGTCCTTTTGCCTCATCGAGTTATCTTCAAGTTGTTCGAATAGATCCAGCTGGACATCATGTGCATCAACAATTGAATACTCATCCTGATTATCCTGCGAGTGGTTGAACAAAGGCATTTTATCAGAAATTTCGAGCACAGAACTGTCCATATCCTTCCACAAATCCAAGAAGAAGGTAAACTTCACATTTTCAAGATCATCAGTAGAGACTAATTCATCTTCTATACCCTTCATCACAATGTGTTCGAAAGACTCCACCCCTTTCAACACTGCTTGCAAACCACCTACCAGCTTTCTAACTACCGTCCATTTCTGTTTGATGGTCTTGGAATCCATGCCATCAAACAACAATGCAATTTGAGCGAAATCGATAGAACTTCTCGTGAAAGTCTTTGAAATAACCACAGCTCTAAACAAAGTGGTGGCATCAGTTTTATCGAACTTTTGACTAGTCCTAAACCTCCGGGGTGGATGCTGAGCCCTCTTCTCTCCTGATCTCCTAATTGGTTTTGATTTTCTTCTGTGCTTTTTGGAAACTAATGAAGGCATTGTCGAGTCATCTGCTTCTGTCTTGACACTGTTCTCTTCCAGAGTTGACAATGGGATCTCGACGTTTTGTGTTTTTCTTTTCCTTCTCGCAGGAATAGAAGCCATTGTAGATTCATCACCCAAAGAGTCCAATCTCCCTTTGCCTCTAGGTTTTCTTGAACGAGAAGGCGTACCCTGGTAAAGGGTCACCTCACTCTCAATAATTCTTCTTTTAGCAAGAGGCTGAGATACTTTGTTCCCATGATCTTGCAAGCATCGTTCTCTTGATTCTTCAATTAACTCTGCTGATGGCCTGAGCTTGGGATCGGTCAAAATGAGCAATTTCCTATTGACCATTTTTCCGGCTCTTTCATAGGAAATATTTTGAACCTCCAAATCCTTTGAGGATATCAAAATGGAGATGTCCCTTGCCAACGTCTTGTTATCTGTAAAAGTAGAGCTTCCAAGCCGCTCGTCTAGCATTCTTCTGAGCTTTGCAGTTGTATAAGTTACACCTCCAAGATCTTTCACTATGTCCAACAAGCTAGTTCTACGCTTTTGTCCTTTGAGAGATGTTGCAAGAACAGGTTTTGCCATCAGTTTTCTGACTCTTTTCACCTGAGTACCAATGTCAGGGATAATAGCTTTGACCTCATGAAATGAAACCGGTGTCGAAATATCAATACTTGAGTCACGATCATATTCCAAACTGATGTCTAGGGCAGGTTCATTCTTCAGGCTCGTGGCTTGCTGAATAGGTGATTCTCTCCGCCTCAAGCTTCTTTGTAACTCATCTACATGTTTCGACTTTTTAGAATTTTCCGAGGCCAACTGACCGAGATTTTGACGCTTCTTTTTCTTGAGCAAATCTCCCGGAGGTGCTTTCCCCAACGTTTTGAAGTATAGCGTGTTCAACTTGGCTATTGGCTTATTTTGTACTTTAGAAAGATTGGATCTTTTGTTCCGACAGCTTTTTGCCGGGAATGCTGGGTATTGGTCCCGAGTATAGTACCTGTAGAATTTATACTTTCCTTCCACATCATAGGCTCTGATAATACAAATATCATTGTACTTGTCTTCGCTTGTTTTAAGCGGCGCCAACGACTCACCATCAACAACATAACTTGACATCGAATCGAGGATACGTGTCCATGGCCTATAGCCCGCAGTTCCACTAAGATTGGTCACTATATTCTTAGAGGTGATTCCGACATCTCGCGTCGAAGATATTTGCTGGTGGATCTGACTGGAAATTGGATAAATACTGTTCACCAAGGGATATTTTTCCTTTCCCTCATCCTTTTCTTCGAAGAAATCGTCTTCCACATTGTCGAACGAGTTCAACATATCCACGTAATCCGAACTGTTGATCATGTCTTTAGGTAAATCTTTCAAGAATTTAATTGAGTACACCAATCGTTCATCCTCAGCTGATCTGACCATGAGCTTTTCCACATATCCACTTTTATGCAATGCTTCAACAATGGCCCCAAAAAACTTGGAGTTCGACTTATTGCTGTTCAAATTAAGCTCCTTCTTTAAATCGTTGAATCCTCTCAAGTTATTTGGAGCATCACGGACTGACTGCACGATCAATTGTCTCAACATGTTTGTACTCCTCGAACTTTGAAACTCCTCGGACTGTAACGGCGTCTTTTCGTCACTGAACTTGGTGTGCACGAGCAAGCTCGTATGTTGGCGAGTTTTCTCGTGATAAATGCTTTTCCGGATGATAAACCCCATTTCTGAAAGTCTCTTGAACCGTGAAGGAAGGGATCTTGGATCCTGGCCAGTAGCCTTACAAAGATCAGGAGAGATTATACCTTCAGCTCCGTGTCTAGCTATCTCACAGAGAAGCTGGAACGGCTTCTCACCCAACTGGGCTTTGAGCTTCTTGGATGCCTCCAAACCGGTTAGGTACTTCCATTGAGTATCAGCAGTTGGGAGAATGCTGACATCACCTTCTGGTCCGTGGGAGCTTATGAAGTCAGCATAATTGGGTAGGATAGGCAAGATCTGCTTATCCTTGGTAACGTACAAGTCGATTTGATCTTGGGATTTGGAGAAAAACAACCACTGCCATATCACTTGTTGTTGAAAGAGATCCAATTCGCTCAGGCCTAGCTTAGATGCAATCTTTTGCCAGAGCTCAGCCAAGGTTAATCCAAACTGACCCGAGAGCGAGAGGGTCTCCAAAGTGTAGGCCACCAACTCCGATGGAGCACACGAAAACAGCATTGTGGTACGGATTGAACTCCAGACATCGTTATCATTTTTGAATGGGGTCTGGGACAATGTCGCGGGTGCGTGCGACATGCACATGGCGGGTATGCGCGACAATGTCTTGGCATGGCGACATTACATCATCAGGTTCTTGAATACAACAATTCTTATTTGTTGATTGCTATACCATCAAGATGGACTCCGACGATGAACTAACCTTGTCAACACATGCCTTAGCTGCCCTTGCTGAATTTAAAAAGGAAGAAACGGAAAGAATCGAAAAATTTCAAGAATTATGCAACTCTTTTAACGGAGGACAGGAAGTGAACCAGCAACTTACCATAGAAGACTTCAAGCAAGACTGGAAACTCTCCCAGTTCTGGTATGCTGATGACACAGCAAGAACTTTGGGGAAAGCACTCTTACAAGGAGCCAACGTAGACACTGTCATAGTCATAGCTAGTGCACCTTCTGTGTTTGCTGCAATTAAAAACCTTCCCCCTGAAGAGGTACCAACCAAACATATTTACCTTTTTGAATATGATAAGCGGTTCGAGCTTTTGGCGGGAAAAGAACACTTCTATTTTTATGACTACACCCGTCCTGACGATATTCCCTTGGAGCTCAAACATAACTGTCACCGGTTGTTGATTGACCCTCCATATCTCCAGGAGGACTGCCAGACCAAATCGGCAATGGCAGCTGGCAACTTGTTGGTTGAGAAAGCGACAGACACCCAGCAAATTAAGCTTATAAGCTCTACAGGGGAACGTATGGGCGAAATTGTCAAGAAGAACTATCCCGAGACGTTTGTCACCAACTTTTTCCCGGAACACATGAACGGCTTGAGCAATGAATACAGATGCTACGCCAACTTCGAATGCAGCTACTGGAAGTTCCAAAACTAGAGTTATTTTAATAGAATATAGCTACCTGTTAGGATGTGTAGCATACGGCGGTCACTCAAGAACCTTGTATTAATTAGCACTACCTACCTTTTGCAATTTTAGATTTATCTGGAACATCTGGCCGTAAGGGGTTACCCGACAGAGGTACGGCGCCAACGCGTGTACGCGTAAACCTCAGTCCCTTTGTGAGCCCTAATAAAAATTGGATCACGTTGCGGCCACCTCTCATCGAGTATTGACCCAGCGAAAATTTTTCGACACCCTTCCAAACTTTTCATTTAAGGTAAAGCATTCCCTCTATTTGCAAATTTTTAACCACCACATCACAATGTCTTTCTCAGATTTCTCTAAGGTCGAAACTATCAAGTCCTTGAACGAGTTCTTGGCTGACAAGTCCTACATTGACGGGTAAGTACCTACCGTTAGCAATTGAGTTCTTGCAGAATGATGATCATAATCTTTGGTCCGTGTTTATGAGGTGGATTCAAGACCCACCGTATGAGTGACAAAGAAGATTTAAATAAAATCCCTGACATTACAAGAGTCAATTCCTTCTCATTTGATCGTTTACTAACAATCTAGTACTGCTGCCACCCAAGCTGACGTCTCTGTTTACCAAGCTTTCCAAAAACAATACCCACAATTCACCAGATGGTTCAACCACATTGCTTCTTTCACCGAAGAATTCGCTGACTTGCCAGCTGGTAAGGCTCCAGCTGCTGCCGCTGCTGCCGAAGAAGATGACGATGACGTTGACTTGTTCGGTTCTGACGACGAAGTTGATGAAGAAGCTGAAAAGATCAAGCAACAAAGACTTGCTGAATACGCTGCCAAGAAGGCTGCTAAGGGTCCAAAGCCAGCTGCTAAGTCCATTGTCACCATGGATGTCAAGCCATGGGATGACGAAACCGACTTGGAAGCCTTGTTGGCCGGTGTCAAGAATGTCACCATGGAAGGTTTGACCTGGGGTGCCCACCAATGGATCCCAGTTGGTTTCGGTATCAAGAAGTTGCAAATTAACTTGGTTGTCGAAGATGCTTTGGTCTCCTTGGACGACTTGCAAGCTGCCATTGAAGAAGACGAAGACCATGTCCAATCTACTGATATTGCTGCTATGCAAAAGTTGTAATCGGTTCTATTGTATAGAACGGTCAACTTATGCTAATTAGTATATAATGAATACAAGAATTTTAATAGAGGCAATGTAGGACTGGCATAGTTGGTGTAAATGTTGGGGATTTTTTTGCGATGGATGGAAGAAGTTTCATCGAGCCATTGAATTAACTACAACGGTAAATAATCCTCATCGTTATCTAGCCATTCCGCTAAGCACTCTTCCGAGGTAAGTCCCGTGTCCCACACGTTGTAGACCATATACCTCAAAGAGAATAATGTCCCCATTTGGGCGTTCTCGTACAATCTGTCCATGAAAACTGACATCTGATTTCTTTCATATCTTGACTTACACTCACAGCCTATGGCATAAATTGGCCACACCATTTGTGTAACGATGGGAGAGGATGGGTCCATTGATGAATAAACAGAGATAAATTCGTTCACCAGCTTTCGAATGATAATGTCGTACGATTCAGGTTGGACAACCTTTGTTAATGTGACATACACTGCAAGTGCCCAACATTGGGCTCCTTTCAAATTTGACACATATTTCAACTCTTGATGGATTGCGACATATTTGCGATAATCCAAAAGTTCGGATTCTATAGTGGTAAAGTCTCGTAGAACCTCGTGCCTTGGCCTAGAATTGTCAAAATATCGTTCATGCCGCAAGAAGCATACTTTTGACATCGACCTGAATATTTCTCCAGGACAACCCATCATTTCTGACGTAGATACACCATCCGATAACGAGCCGTACCAGGTAGGGGAACAAAATGGTAACCTGCAATCAGGTGACACAATTGCACTGACAGTATCATACCACGACAACACAACCACTAACGAACGGTTATTATCATTATCCACCAACAATTCATCAACAAATGCTGGATTCTCACAAATCGATGCAAAAATCCGGAAGAGCAATCTCACCATACGACTCTTTCCATTTTCAAGCACGGCAAAGAGTATGTGGACATTGATCAAGAGTAATATGGCAAACGAGGTTACCCGTTTGGCCCTCGAGTCGATGTCTTTAATGTGTTCCTGGCTCTGGCTTTTTGAATTGGATTTAATGAAATCAAGCAAATACTCCAATGTCATATTGATATGGGCCACTCCTTTATTGTAGAAATCCGGTCCTCCTTTTTTGCTCTCGTATATATGGATACAAGCTAGCGAAATAAAACAGCTCCTTGCAATATCAAACTCACAGTATTTTAGGGCCAATTCAGGCCAAGGCGAATTAGGATGTGCATCCAACAACGGCAAGAGCTTCTTGAAAAAATGCTTGAGCATCGTGTTTTCTTCTTCGTATGTCAAAGAAAATATTGACTGCTCTTGTGGAGTATTCCCATACTTATGTTTCTTATCATTGCTTCCAAAACTGTCATGGACCTGCTTGAGAATCTGTTGTGGAGAAATTCGCTCTGGAGTATCGGGTTGTCGAGTTTGTTTATTGCTAGATTCAATAGTGTCGTTGAGCTCTGGGCCAAATTCAGGCCCAAGCAAGCTTTCCAAACCTTCAAGTAACTCCAAGCTCAACTCCAACTTTTCGCCTGGGTATTTCAAGCTGATGGTATCTGAAGTTCTATCCTTGGTAGCGCAGCGATCAACTGTCGCTCGGCATGAAGACAGCGATTCATTCAACAAGACATTCGAACCTCCATCTTCAGCTTTCCTCTGGTTAAGAAAATCTAATCGAGCTTCGGGACCAGGTTGCTTTTTGCTAGACTTATACTTCGGCTTTCCAACAAAGCTCCTGACTAAATTTCCTGATTCATCTTTTCGGGCATTGTTCCGTACGTCATCGACATCAAAAGATAATCGTATCCCGTATCCAGCACAGGGTATCTTCGTTCTCACACAATTATTGCAGTAAGGACGTCCTTCATCACATTTTCTGTGCCTGAACTGTGTTAGTCATGATAATCAATGAACAGTAGAATGCTACCTACCTTTTCTTACAAGTCCAGCACCCAGTTCTCACTCTAGTTATCTTAGCCTTGGATGTACCCATGTAAAAGATGAGAATGGCAAGTGAGATCAAGATAAGGCTAGATAAGAACTGGCTGTGTTCCTGTGCTAACCGGATGTCGCACAATTATAACGACATGGTAACGGACTAAGATAAGGAAGAGAGCTCACTTGCCAGATGTCGCACAAATATTGTGCAGGCATAGCAAGATAAATTCTTTTAACGATGTCGAAGTCATGCTAGAGGCACATACTGTCAAGATGATATACTGATATCCGCTAAAACTTGGAAGCTCTTTCTTTAATGAATAGCCATCTTTTCTTGTTCTTGAATTGGATCAACCTTGACGATTTTTACCTGAGCAAGAACTTGTCTTTTTATTGTGTGCATTGCAACAAAACCTAGATTATATTTAAGAATTTTGCAAAAATTTGATTAAATCAAAAACTAATAAATCAAAAAGAACATGACATGATCTTTCCTTGGAGCCAAAGGTACCAATAAAGAACTCGATGAATAGAATGTCGAAAACAATGATGCTTTTCTTGGAGTTCAGTTGATCAAATTGCTTGATCCTTTCTTCAAACGATGTACACAAGGACATTTCAAAGGAAAGGAACAGTTTGTATATAATATTCGTACAAAATTTTGAATCTTCTTATGAAGCCTACATTTTGTTAGTATAGAAGTGTATTTCCTTTGTTCTTTGAAAGTGGCGGGAGAATTACACATACGTCTTGACAAACTAAACTCAACAATACAGTACTTCCAAGGTGATAGTCTGACCTGCGCTAACAGGATGTCGCATTGACTTTTCTCGTTCAAATAAAATTAGGTCTGAAATTTCATCAAGTGATAGTCCGCTCTCATTTGTAATAAATTCTGATTTTGAGATTCCAAATTCTTAATGGTAACTTGTTAATGTTGCCTCGACATCCAGTGTAGTTCTTTTCTAACCTGAGTGAAATTCTTATGGTTCTAACTTAAAAGACATAGTTGGGCCAAATGCATTTCCCTCTGGGCCAATAATAATGTCTTGTTAACCAGAAGCGATTTCTCACCGGCTTATTATTAATTCTCTCCAATCATTCTTTTAATTTGAATTACAGGGAAGTGAAATTCTTTTTCGATTGGAGTTAAGCTCGCTGTTGAATACAAGTAATGTCCTCCCTCATTGGAAAACCATCAAGTAGAAGTGCCAATGTCTTTCGAGCTTCGACATGAAGATGGGCTAAGTAATGTGGTAGATGAAACAGAGGCTCCTGCATGATAGATCCCTCTAAAGGAACTGTTACTGGCCATTACAAGCAATTTCTGTTAAATGTCATGGACGTCTTAGACAACAACTCTCTAATGAGTAATAGCTATTTAATTATGGATAATGCAAATAGTCAAAAAAATCCTAGTATTAGTAGGATTATTTCATATAGAGAGTACCGTATCCTCTTTTTGGCCCCATTTTTCCAAGAACTCAACCAAATTGAACAATTTTGGCATCAACTAAAAAGTAAAGCAAAAGAGAAAATCATCTTGCCAAAGAAACAATTCAAACAAGAGTTGCAGAGGCTGCAAATATGGCAGTAGAATTGGTTCAGAACGTTATTTAGTATTCAGAGAGCTGTTTCCCGATTTGCTTAGAAAAACCCACTTTTTTGACCAGTCTCTTTTTCGATATACAGTGTCAATTCCGACATACAGTTACGCGTTTCTTTTTATTCAATATAACAATATATTCAGGCATGAATGAAATTAACTTTCTGTTTCCGTATTCATTGATCACGCTATGACATTTAATAGTGTCATTTTGAAGTTTTCTGTTGTGAAATTGAAATTCATTTCGCATTTCTAGTTTAATAACCTATATAAACAACATAATATTTGAACCTTACCCCATCCATTGCACCTGAAGTAAATTTGATAGAGACTTCCCAACGGATGGAACCATACAAACATTAAAAATGAATACGACATCCTGTTAGCACAGGTAAGGCTATCATCTTGGAAATACTGTATCTTGGAATAATTGCTCTAATTAGATATACCACAGTTACAGTGGGATTTGGTCTATCCTAACTGTGTAACGCCATATTGCATGACGAATAAGCAGTATTCTTTGTCAGGTCGATTGGGGACACACACCTTTCTGGTACAGAATCTCCAGGGACACAAACACAGAGTGAACTAGCATAAAATGAATAAGGGTTGGGGCTATTAGGGCGATTCAGGGTGAAGCTGCTGGCTCAAGTTTGCCAAACATTATGGCTTAGGATTTTTAGGCTGATATAGTGCAATTGCTTTAGGGTCGTGAAGGATTAGTTGCTATAATTAATGGTACTGTTCTGAATAAAGGTTAATGGAGCCAATATGTGATTCATTGAATATCTTTCAGACTACTGAGCCCAATTCGAGTTGACACATCAAAGTCCTCCCTGTACTTGCTTCTTGTGTGGATTGTAATGCTACAGTTCCAGAACCGGAAATCCCACTAGGGATATCGGTCAAAGTATCTCGAGGATGCGAAGAAATCCTCTTTTGTCTGATCTCTCTTCCGCTGTTGTTGATTGAGCATGGATTGAACACCCTAAAGACCGTTCAACCTTATGTTCTTGATCCTTCTCTATCCCTCCAATAAAAGGAGTTGTACGATGTTATTGAGGACATGATAGTACTCAAGGATTTCATATCAACCAAACCGGACAATTCATGACAACGGACTATGTGAAGGAGTTTACTCGCTGCTAATCATCGAAACTGGGCTGGTGAGGATGATTTATTGGTTGGAATATCACTTCTTTCCTATTACAAGTCTGAACATGGCCAAAACACGATATCATTCTCTTCAAGAATTTAACAAGCATCAGGAAATTTTAAGGTGTTTCGTATCAATAAGTTACGTAAAAGACATCAAGTTGCCATAAAATTGCGGAAATAGAATAAAGTAGAAAAGCTTTACAACTTTATCTGCCCCATTTCTACAAGCCTTCAGTGGCTAGCAAGCTTGAAAATTTAATATTTGTGTAGGGTATCTTTTCATTACTCACTAGGATATTCGAACTTAAAACCATCTGATGATTATATCGTTGGTAAACTATTGTCGATTCCTCTTGTACAACCAGATAGAAATAAAACGAAATATGGACCTTTCCTTGTAGCAATACAGTATTCATGAATGTCATTCAAGATTGACAACAGGTTGAATATGAATCGCTAATAAATATATCGAAATATTCTGGTAGTCCAGGAAATCAGCTAGTTTGACCGATGTCGTCTGATATGAGTTTGCAATAGGCAAATAGTACCAAAGTGAGCGAAAGAGTAACGATAACACTAACTGTATATCTAAAATACCGTAGAACTTGGTACAAATGGCAAAGTTGTATCAAAGGGACTCTACGAGTGAACTAGTTCTATCTATCAATAATCGCTAATTAGACTCCGAAGGGCACCTGGTATTTCAAGAGCATTGGTTCTCTTTTTAGTTCGAACTAACACAGAAGTAATAAATTTTCAAAGATACTAAGAAAGGGCAATATTCCAAAAATGAATAGATACTATACTTTACGACAAACACGCAGCTGTTATACCTTTACAACTATGACTATGGAATCCTAAGTGTTCGACTGTAACATCAATTAGGAAACAATACAACACGGTCCCCATTGTGTCCTTTTTTTAACCATACGTTGATCTAGCTCAAATCAGAGTTGAAAATCATGTTAAGAATCGCGCACATGTGAGGTCTTGCCGAATAATTACGGTTTTATAATTGTGTTTGACCATATCATACTATTATCTATGTTAGTATTAATCTAGGATTAACTATCCAAGTCATTCATATGAATCCTCAAAGCTTTCCAGCAGTATGATCGAGTATTGGAATTCTTAAGATGAAAAAAATATAAGGGAACAATGCCGAAGATTAAAGAACAACCACAGAATTAGTAATTGGATTTGACGAATATTTTAAATATTTGTTTGAATTATGATAAGCTGAATATCAAGGGATTGAAATGGATTCAATTTCTTGAATGTAAATGATTATGAAGTAATTCTTCTAATAGCACTAAGAGACCTACAAATCAGCAATGGTTTAGTCTCTATTCGAGTAATATTTCACCTTGAAAATCTTCTTTGTACCTCTCAACTAATAAATACCAGCAAAAGTTCTTATTAGATATACGTATTGATTACAGTGAATCTTATATGCTATATGAAACTTTGTTGTACTCCATTAAGTTGAAAAAGTAACGAAAATGCATTCGAAAGTTTGGCAGTAGTGTAATCATAATTGGAATATTTGACGTAAGCTCCCAACAACTGAATTTCTTAGTAGGATATTGAGGTATTTAGGGAGTTGTGTGCATGTGTTCTCGAGAACAATCTGATCAGCGTAACTTATCCCTCTTTTACGCAATAATCCTCTACACAATTTCAAATGTTTACTAGTACAAAATCTTTCACAGCTTTTTCGATAGGGATGATACTTATGGCTTTAGTTTGGAACTATCTAGTCCTTTTGAGATGTTATAACTTTCATAACTCTTCAGATTTCGATGTTGAGTAGTTTTAATGCACTGAGAGTAAGCAAGAAGTAAATATCACGTAGCTGAAAGTGACAGCAATATGTACATGTATTAGGTATTTTATGGTTCAAAAGTATTCACCGATGCTATCTCTTGTGGATGACACTTTTTGTAGATTGTATAGTGTGAGTTTTTGTGTTCCCTCTCTAAACACATGTTGACTGCCAGAATCTGACTTTTCTTCAAACGGGCTGTAAACTTGAATTTTTACGTCCAAATTACTACTGCCCAAGAGAGATTGCGAAAGTTTAATATTGGATACTACTTAGTAAGTAGGGCAATGAGTTTGTTGAAGTGAATTCTACTGACTTATGCTCTTGTACTATCTAGTTTGCTGAAGACTTGGTTACATCAATTCTAAAATAGTTGTCGTATTTCCTTGGATAGTTTCTTCAAAAATTTCTTGTGGACTGGCTTGGACCACGACGACATTTCTTTGTTCACTACAAATGCTATCAATTGTTTTAATATTGTTTAATTTGACTTGTTTTCCATACAAGAGTTTGTGAACGGTAGTCAATTTATTTTAGAGACTAAGCAAGTGCCTTGTTCAAAAACCAAGTTCCAGAATATTCGACTTTCTTAAAAGTCGTTACGATTCTATTCTTATATTTGATTTCATATGAACCGACGGTTGGTACATTGTTATACTGTAGTACATTTTTGCGGATGCCATAGAACACCTTCTTCTGCTATTTCATTGGCTTCAAAGCCTCTTACCTTGGAAGGGAATAGATTAGAGGAAATCACTAGAGCTTTAAATAACGAGTTTGTAATATAGTATTAACCATGTGCTGGTGTCAATTTCAAGAATATGATGAGGGGAGATAATTTTTGTTTGAAGCAAGACATGTATGAAAAGTGTTTTGCCGTATTTCTAAAACTTCTTGGGTGAGGGCTCGAATTTTCTTAGGAAGCACTGGATTGCATGGATCTTATTATCAAGCGTGAGATGAGGAACTTAAATCTTTCCTTTTTAGTCGAAGTGTATTTTAATGGGGTTTGAAATTAGTAATGTATTTCTTTAGTTTGTACATTTTATTGTATGAAGAATTATTTTCTCTGAATAAACAATTGCACTTTTTCACTGCTTGTAGGGGGTTTACAGTGTTTTTAGAGAACATTCGAACCCTCGGCTCGGAATTTTTCGTAATACGGGCAACTCGATTTTCGTAATAGGGGCCGGAACTTTTCATACTTAGGGCAGATTATTCATACCTCCAAAAAAAATTGCCNCCCTCTCCCCTGCCTACAAATTAATCGTGTAGCACATCTAGAGATTTGTGCTTTAATGTAATCGAAAAAAACCAGACAAGCACCTCTCATAATTTCTCTTGCCTGCTCATCTAGAAGAATCGCTTTTCTCTACACAATTCAATATGCT